AATAATACTAACTTATTTTATGACAGCAATTATAAAATATTGATTGGACTAACAGGAACATTAAAATAAGTAAACATTATTAGCATTCCAGGAAAATAATAATTATTCCTTTACGAATGTGTTGGATAATTTGCTAAAAATGCAGTTTATTATTATTAAGAATAAACTAGCTTGATAGTAGTTGATAGCAGTCCAACTATTTATCTGTTTAATTATTTAACCCTGAATGTTACAAACTTTAGAATTGATATAAATAACATCCAAGGCGTTTTGATGGATAAAAACAAGAATATAGCTTTTTTATATTCAAATTAATTTATATTAACATTTTAATTTCCTAGTATGTAATTTATAGAAACAATATCTTTATAAAGCTATAATATTACTTCTATATTATAAGTTTATCTAAATACATAGTAGTCGTTGATGATCGTTTAGACTTACACATATATAATTGCATTTGATCTGACAGAAATTCTTTATGCTAGCCCTACTAATTTGCTTTAATACTAAAAAGTATAACATTTAAATATCAATTAGGAATTCTTTGTAAGTTATAGTATTCTAAATCTCTCGCTAAATTTGTATTAAAATTCTTAGCTTGTTGATAGTTTACTATTTGAGCCTTCATAATAAGACATATACCCTTATTTTACATAGTTGCTTTTGATCTAAGATTGTTAACTTTTATTTATTTAACTCTAATATATTAACATAGTTTAAGCAGATTTATAATAAAAAAAGCTGATTTTGTTACAAAAAGTAAAGTTAATTAGTCAACCTGACAATTATTTTTATGACGTTTTTGATAATTAAATATTTTTATTTTATTAGTAGAACTATTAGCTTACCAAAATCAATTTAAATGATAAAAATATAACAGAAATAAATTTGGTTAATTTCACTGAAGGAGATATTTCTATATCGCTAATATGCAGTTAGTTTATAGTACTTGCTTCATCCAATTTCTTTTAAATTTATGATATAAACTATTAAAAAATAGATTTAATCAAATTTTCAAGTATTGCTGCTATTAAATTTGCTTTTCAAATTGCAAATCAAGTAATTTTAGTCTTATTAAAATAATTGGTGGAATATTCCTTTTGATTATGAAGAAAGGTTTAATGGTAATGATCCTTAATAAGATAACTAAAAGCTTATCTGTTTAATTGTTTAAGAAGGAAATAATATTATGATATACATAGTTAATCTTTAAAATAAATAAATTTTGTATTAATATTAATTATCAAAATACTCTAGAGTTACAAATGTAGTAAGCGATCCCTTTAGGCAGCTAATATATGTAGTTAATAATTAAAGTTTAACTTTGGTATTCTCTTATAAGCTAAATTTAATTATAACCCTCTAGAATGCTTGTCTAAAATAAGCTAAAATTTCATATGACTCAGATTTTGTATATTCGATTTGCCCAAATGATATCATAATTTATAATGGATTAAGTTTTTAACAATAATTTCCAATTGTTGACAAAGGAATAAAAGAAGTTGAAAATTTTATTAACACAAAATATAATAACTATTTTATTATTATATAAAAAAATAAACTTTCTCTCATAAAAATGGATTATCTATCTGACTACCAGCTTGTTTATGAAGTCAATAAAACTTACCAATAGCTATTAAATATGAATGTCACTAGAGACTAAAACTATTAAACTTCTATAGAACTTTTACTTTCATCATATGATATTATTTAGCATTAAATAGTGCCTTTACAATAAAATTAAAATTGCTATGTAAACATACAACAGTAAAATAGACCAATAGAAAATATTTACACAACCATCTAATTATTTTAAAGTTTTGATTTAATACAGAGTTTTAACCAGCAAATATCACTAATACAAATAAATTACTTAGATCAATAGTGCATTTAAGGGATAAGTGACAATTTATATAACCTCTAAAATATAGATTCTAATATTAAAATTAGTCTTATTATTTAATCTTCATCTCAAAAAGATAGTATTTGTTGGTTATAATCAGATAGTAACGTTTACCCATCTTATATAGAAAACTTTTATCTCAAAAATATGAATTTATCTATATAAAATACTTTTGTATTTAACTAGAAAAAATAAATGAAAAACTTTTAAATGTTTAACATGACTTTAAACATTGAGAACTCACTTAATTTATCTGATTTTGATAAAGTTCATTTTTAAAATATCAAATTCGACAATAACAGAGAAGGTCAGAATTAAATAATAATTCAAAACTGCAAATTAGTTATAATCGAATAAGTAGATATAATTGATATATTATAGCAATAGATTACATTTATTTTAACTAACAATAGCGATGTTATAATTTAAAATATAAACATCTCTAAGATGATAGGAAATTCTATTTTTTAAATGAATAACAATTACTAAGTAGAAATTACTGATATTAAAATACAAAACTCTAGCTACATAAATGTATTTCAAATATCTCAATCAAATTTTTTTAATGTGACAAATTTAATAATATAGTCAGTATTTTCTTCTTAGGTTATAAACATATAAGGAACAACTATTTCTAAGATTTAACACATAGAGGTTGATAATTGTTATTAACTACAATTGATATAATTATAACCAATTAAGTTAGACAATTTATAATATTTATCTAAATATTATATGTTATAAGATTTGAACTTACAAAATTCTACTGATATTTCACTTATTACTCAGTCTGAATAAACACAAATCTCTGATATAATTATTTAAAAGTTAAATACCTCTTTAAATTGTTTTACTATAAATTCATTATAGCTATCTATAAACAATTTTACTATATAGAATTCAATAGTATATTTAAGTTAGCCTTCTGTAATTCTTATACTTAGCTATACAAGCTGTGATATTCAAAAAATAAATTCATCTAAAAATTAAATAACAATTGTAAAAATTAATTAGCAAGATTTTACTGTTAATACATTAATACATTCTTCTTCATTTAGAGATTTTTAGTTATAATTTCCTTTGATGGAGTTTATAAACGTAGATGTCTTAATTTTAGACAATATTTAAGTCAAAAATATTTTATTTTATGATAACATGTATTCTTCAATAATATTAATGAATTAATGTAATAATATTACAATAAATGAGAGTCATTTTATTAATAATACAAATACAATAGGGACTGGAGGATCAATTTATGCTATAGATAGTCATTTTATTTAAATCAAGAATACAGTATTTAGGCTAAATTAATGCTAATAGTAAAACGGAGGTGCTTTAAGTATAAAAAATAATATTATAGTTGCTAATTTGACTATATAAAAAAGCGCTTTTATTGGTAATTAGGCTTAATTATCTACAGGTGGAGCTATTAATTTGGTGAATTCTAATTTGGTGATGGAAAATTCAATAATATCTTAAAATAAGGCCTTAATTGGTGGTGGAATCTATTATTAATAAATAATTCCTGATTTTGTATTAGATTTGACAAATAAAATCAATAATAATAACTTTATCTCTTAAAATTTCGCAAAGCTATATGGAAATAATTTAGGATCTACGTTGAGAAGTATTAAGATTAATCTAAAGGATATATAAACAACAAAGAAAACATAAATAATAGAAAATTAAAATAATTAAATTCAAGTCAGTTCATTTAAAAGTGGAGACTAAATAATTTTTAACAAAATTTAATTGCTTGATGAAGAGGATAAACCCATTTTTATACCCAGTAACGTTAATTATACTAGCACTTAATAATACAGTAATGATGTATAATCAATATTGTAGTAAATTAGCGTTTCTTTATAGTGGGATTAATCTACATAGTAAATATAATGTTTTGGAGAGCTCTAATCAAAGTAATTTACAAACAATGGATTTAAATTGAATGCATAAATTATCTATAAACCAAATAATTAAATGATCTTGCAAGTTGTTTCCAATTTATTTCCGAAACTTTCTGATTCAAAGGGGAATGTATATTTAAAGTAGTACTAACTTTATAAAAACATCACTATTAATTTTAATAGTTGTTAATTGGGCTAAATTACTAAGCAGTAAAGGAATTCAATAGTTTGTGAGGATTGCCCTGAAGGAAAATATTCTCTAAATTTGCTAGATAGTTCTTGTTTGCAGTGTCCTGATTCAGCTATTAAATGCTATTAGTCAACAATTATTTTAAAAAATGGATATTGGAGAGAAAACAAATTGACAGATTAAATAATATATTGTAATTTTCACCCTAATTCATGCTAAGCTGAATCGTAATTATCTAAAGTAAATTTTGTTATTTATTTTAATGAAAATTGATAAAGAGAATCCATTTCAGAATGAATTTGATGAAAATGGAGGGAAAAGAGAATTTATATAGATTTCATCACTTCAAAAATTTGAAATAATTTTAATTAAAACTTATTGGCATACTCTGAAAAATTGAATTATTATTTTTAAACAATAAGGAATCTTTTTAAATAAATTTTAACATTTTTTTTTTAAGGAATATTGTATAACTGGATATAAAGGCCCTCTTTGCTACTCGTGTGATACTTATGGAGAAATATGGGGTAAAAGATATCAATAAATATTTAGCTAGGGAGAATGTTACAGTTGTGAGGAAAATAGCTTTTTCATTATTATATAAAATTTAGTTTTATTCATAATCATCTTTTACTATATATTTGCCCTTTTAAGAAATATAATTAATAGATAGCAAGCTAAATTAGCAGGTTACTATATCACTAAAATGGATTTAGTCTATTTAGGATCAACATGTATTTTATTAGCTTAATTTTAGAAATAATTTATGAAATAAGTTTTATTAAATTAAATTTTAAATTAACTTATTATTTTTTAATTAAAGAAAATGTTTTAATATAAATTTAATAAAAATATAGTAAGATAATAAGATAAGCCTTAGATTATTTCCAAAATTTTAACAGATCACCTTCAGATCCTATCTTTGCTGAGCTTTTTTAACTTTAATATTCCTAACTATTTTAAGCTTCCTATATAGGTATCAGGAAATTCTTTGAGCTTAACAAGCAAGTCTATTGATTGTTTTTTTTCAAGATATCCAAATTTAAAACCTTTATGGTTTTATTAGTCTTTATGGTCGCTATGTTTACCGCTTTCTGTACTCTCACTTTATTTAATATTAGGCTTTGTTTTAAGGTAATTTAAAAGAAATACAAACATTTTTAAATACTTAAATACTTCATGTATCTTCATTTATCTTTATTTTTATCCTATGGTGATTATGTTATTAAGCAGATCTTTGAATTGCCTACAAATTGGTGATAAAAGCTATCTTGATTTAGATGTAAATATATTATGCTATGATCCTTAATATCATAAACCGTATGTTATATTCTACTGCATACCATTACTAGTTTTATGGGCAATTGTTGTTCCGCTATTTTTGCTCTTAAAAATTAGAAATGGAAAAATGAAAAAATGGCCAATCTTTATTGAAATAAAATATTCTTTTATATTTGCAGGATATAAAGAAAAGTATTATTATTGGGAATTTGCAAAATTAATTTATAAATCAATTCTAATTTTGGTAGCGACATTACTTCAACAAAATTCATTCTTAAAAGTAAGTTAGTTATTAATTGTTTTAATAAATAAATACCAATAAATTTAAGTTAGATTTAATACCTCTTTTTATTTATAAAACGAATAAATATACTCATCAAACTTTAAAATAAAAATAGTTGAGCATGCTAAATGCTGTTATCTTATTCTAGATTTATATAATATTTAAGACTAAGCCTTTTGCAATTTAGAATTTCAACAATTTATTATCTAAATCAGCAATCTTATGTGCTTTATCACTAAATTTAACTTAGATTATTGCAAATGTTGCAAATATGGATAGGTTTTTACAAACTATTTTAATTACTTTATTATTTTTTTCTAATCTTTAATTTATAACTTAACTGGTGATTGGAATATGTCTAATTACAATACAAAATGACAGATAAAAAAGAAGTAGAATCTAAAACTGCCTCCTATATTTTATATCAAAATATCCTTCTTTATTTGAAAACATTCAGATTTAATAAAGCTAAATAAAAGTAAGTTCTCTTTTGAAAATAAAGCTAGTCAAAAATAAAGTTAAACATTTAGTTAAGTACTTTAAGCAATATAGCTTCTTCAGTTAAGAATCTTTGTAATAGCATTTTCATCTCTAAAGAACTTCAATCTTTTCTCCTAAATTAGAACAAAAGTTGTAAGCCAGTAAATTTACTTTGTTATCTGGGAATGAAACTATCATTGGATAGAATAAAAAGGTAAATTCTTTCAAGAATATGAGAGAAAAATGGTCATACTATACAAGAAAAACAAAAGAAAGTCCAATAAGTAAATTACCTACTACTTAAAATATTAAATAATTTCCATTTTATATTTAAAAGATATGTATTAATTAGATAGTTAAGATAAAATCTAGAACACTAACAAAGAAATTGCTCTTACTGAAACAGTAAATATGTAAAGTTATACTTATAATGATGAATTTGGAATATAATTAATAAGTGATGATAAGTTAAATTAAAATGTTAATTCATTTTTGACCAAAAAATAATGATAAAACCTCTTAATTAAAAATTATGATAAATAAAATAATAGGATTTAAAAACTATTTTTTAATTAATGAACTTAAATATATTATTTTTATTTTTATGTATTCATGTTAAATAAATTATATCATTTTTTTCAGCTTAATAAAATATTATTCAAATTAGTTTTCTTTAGAAAGTATTAGAATTTCAAAAAAAATATACAAAATATATTAAAATTGAAGAAATATTTTTTTTAAAATCTAAAAAAAATTATGTTTTTAAAAATAAACACAATAGGCATTAAAAAAGATTCTTTACTTTTTTAATTAATTTTCTGTTAATTATTTAATAAGGATCATAAAATTTTTGCAAAAATAAAAAAAATGATTTAAAAGAAAAAATATTACAATTGTTTAATTGATGTAATAAAATTTTATTATGAAATAGATTTATAATAATTTTTATTATTATTAAAAAAGTTCATAAAATCAGACTTTTAATCTTTAGAAAACCTCTAAATAAATTTATAGTAAAAGAATTCTTTTTTCTTAAAATTTTCTATTAAGCCTAAGATAATGAATACAATTTTTTTTAAGGTCTCATTATCTTTACGATGAAGGAATTAGACAATTAGGATCTGCTTTAACAAATTGTTATATGCTTACAAATTTAACACTTTTTTTAAAGTAAATTTAATTTAAGTTTTTTATAATTTTAGTTAAATTTATATTTTTATAAATGAACATCTTATTTAATTTTATATTTTTTGTTTATATTATCAGCAAACTTTCTTCACTTTTCTTTATAGAACTTATTTAAATTATTATTCCAAGGCAAAATGAAATAAGTGATAATGGTATTCTGAGTTTGGGATCTGCATTAATGAAGCTTCATAATATCTCCGTATTAGCTCTTGATTTAGGGTAGATATTAATTATATTATAAATTTACTTTAATGATATTATTTTATACAAATGAAGCTATTATTTTTTTTTCTTTTTACTAAGATATTTGAAATATTTTTTTTTAGAGACAACAAGATTGAAGCAAAAGGTATACAAATTTTATGCTTTGCTTTGAATAAATGTGCTAATCTTTCTAATCTAAAACTTGATATTTAGTAAAAATAATTTAATTTTTCAATACAATTTACAAACTAAACTAACTTTTAAACATCAAAAGTAATAATAATATTTAAGTTAAGATTAACACTACTAATGATCCTATTTTTTAGAAGCCAACTAATATATAAAAATTAACTCTTGACATGCAGTAAATTATTTTTATCTATTTTATAATTTATTTATTTTTATTTTAATTTTATAAAAATTTATTAATAAAATAATAATTAATCACAGACAAATGACAAAGGTTTATTTATTTCTCTATATATAATATTCATCTTCTTTTTTTAAAAAGCAATAATAGTATTGGAAATGATGGTTTATTAATATTGAGTTCTGCTTTAAGCTAATGCCCAAACCTCTTAATATTAGCCTTAGATCTTCAGTAAATAAATTTTTTTGTTTTTTCTATGATATTAGTAAAATGAAAATTTACTAATTTAAAATGGATTGATATTATTAAAAATTATATGATAAAAGTAAAACTGGGATTTAAGAAAAAGGAGCTCTTGAATTAGGCTCTGCATTAAAAAAGTCCAATTAGCTCTCAACATTAACTCTTGATTTAAGGTTAAATACTATTTTATTAATTTTTTAAACAATTAAATATAAACTTTCTAGTTCCTAAAATTAGAATTAGTGATCATAATTTTTTATGTTAAATACTATTTTATTTTAATATAAAATTCTTATATTAAATACATAATCCTTAAAGATCAAATACTATAGAAATATATGGGGGAATTAATCTAGCTGCTGATATAGCAAGTTGCAAGAAACTTACAATCCTTGCATTAAATTTGAAGTAAAAATTATCCTTATATCTAGTTTTTATTAAATTGAAATTAGTTAAAAAACCTACTTTATTTTATTAATAGATATAATTCAATTTAAAAAATGCATCAATTTAAGTTATAGCGAAAATGCTTTAAATCAAAAAGAGTAGTTAAGATGTAATTATTTCTCTGATAATATATAATTTGAATACGGAAATTAAATTAATTAAATAAATTATGTTCCATTAAGCATTTAAGTAATGTTATTTTATATTATACAATATAATTAATTTATCAATTATAACTGCAATTTATTTAAACTACCAAATCAAAAGCATTTAAAAAATTCATTATTTATTTTTTGCATAAAATCAAATATTAAAATTAGTGTTAAATTTTTTTAGATGAGTGTCAATAAATTGAACTGTATATTATAAAATAATAACTCTATCCCCAGAGGGACTCTAGGTCACATTTTTTAAAATTTTGATACAATAAACAAAAAATGAATTAAAAAATAAATTATTAATAAAATGATATATTTTATAATTTATTAATATATAAATTAATTAATTTTTAATTAAATAAAATAAGAAAAGGAAAAAGAACATAAAATTAATTATCATTAAATTTAAAAATTATTTTTTAATTTATATAAAATAAAATTATTATTAAACATATTATTTAAAATTAAAAAATATATTAAAATAAAATAACATAAAAATTATAAATTAATTAATTTATATATATTTTATTTTAATAGTAGCTTAAGTTGCCGTTATTTAAATGAATTATAATAAAGACCAGACTATTTCCGTTTGAAAAAAAATAAAGTAGAAGTTGAAAAGATAAAAAAACTCAGTTATCAATACAAAGCACTTTTAAATTCTACTGTATACAATTTTTTTCTTATAATATGATTAACTGTTTCTAAATAATTAGATAAAAATTTCTTTAAATAATTTAAATAACTCTTAAAAATTGCTTCAAAATAACAAAACAAATAGACAATAAAACGATCATACAATTTTGAATGAAAATAAGCTTATTTTTTGCAATTATTTTTACTCTTGCATCTAAGATTAGAGCTGAATGTTCAAGAGGAAAAATATTTAATCTAGTTTAGTAATAGTGTTTGCCATGCTCAAGCAGCTGCTAAGATTGTTTTAGCACTAGTTAAGACTCTTGCATAAGTTGCCCTCAGAATTATTACAAAAGTAATTTAAATTCTTCTACATGTGTTTAAAATTGCGAAGTTGGAGAAATAAAAGCAGATAACTAATAATGTATTAAATGCTAGATTGTAGGATGCATTAAATGTGATTCTAAATAAAACTGCTTGCAATGCAGTCCTAATTTATACTTTGATAAGGTAAATAATGAGTGCTCACTAAAACCAAAAATTTGTTAATCTGAATAGGATTTTATCTAAGAACCTTTTACAAAATAATAGTGTATAAATAGCTGCCCAAGCTCATACTATCCAAATTAAAAAACATAAATATGCGAAAAAATTAGCTAATGCATACAAATTAACGATACTCCTCCACTACTCAATTAAAAAGTTCTCCAATTAAACTCATTATATCAAGATTACTACCTTATTAGAGCAAATTCATGCAATTTTGCTTTAGTAGATTAAAATTTTTAGATAATTTACATAGAGATACTTTAAAATATGCCAGACTTTGAGCTTAAATATATGAATACTGGAGAGGAAGCTTAATAAAAGAGTTTTATTTTGGAAGAATATGGAGGCTGCTTAGCTAATAATTCTATAAAAGTAATGAATTTTATTACAAAGCAAATTGTTTTTGAATAAACTGATTTAGATTAGGATTATTTTCTTTAATATATTGACTATTAAAATAAAGTAGTCTTTCTTAATTAAAAGACTATATGTTCAATAGCTTGGTTTGATTTGATATAATAAAAATTTACTACATTTGGATGTGATTAAACTCCTATTAAAGGTGTTTTTTAAATCTATATTCTCAACAAAACTAACTATTACATATAGATTTCAGTTGATTCTTATTAGGTAAATAAAATTTTCTGATTTATTTTTATAAAACTTTTTTAATTATTAATTTAGGTAGCTATTTTGTAAGAAGATAGATCTCTATAATTTTTAGAAACCTAATTCTAAATTTCAGGTTATTTAATTATTACGTAAGCAACTTAGAAATATTAATATTTAATTAGCATTTTTTCTGATTATTTCGGAAGATCAACATCAGTTTATAAGTTAGTATACTTAAATGATAGTATTTTCTAAATCAAATTATTAGAATAACTTGTTTTAACAAATAATATATTTTACAGTAGTTTGTTGAATTCAATTATCTAGTTTGATATAAAAAACCATGTGTTATAAATACTTGTTTTAAACTAGGTATCAGATTAAGTGGAATAAGCACTAAATATAACTATTACTAACTAGATAAATTATTCTTATCTTTTTGAAAACCAAGAATATAACTCTACTTTTATTTTCTTTATTTCAGACAAATTATTATTTATCAATTTGACTGATTATTTAATAAAGTTTTAAAATGATTTTTAGAGCTAAAACAATACACTAATCTAAGAATTAAAAAGCGGATTTATTACAAGTTAATCAAAAATAACAAATGTTTTTTTCAAATAGAATAATATTATTGAAATATTTTTATCATAAATTTTGGAAGTTTCAACTTATAATTACTAATAGATTAGAATATCTTTAAATACTACTGATTAAACTTATTTAATTAAGTATTTAAATCCTAATCTATATTAAAAGCCTTATTATTGTATTAGTTAATATTCTATAGTAAATCTTTGCTAATATTAAAATATTTTTAGCTCAAATAAAAATACAGATATAAATTCATTTTATGTTTATGATGAAAACTAAGCATTAACTTCATAAGCTTTAGCAGTTTAAAAAATTTAATTTTCTCTTTTAAATTTATAAAAAACTTCTAGGATAAATACGAGTTTCTATTCATTTGAATTACTTGATAATATAGTGTATTTTGATTTATTTTAAATAATAAATAATAAATATATTTTATTAAGCAAATAATTTGATTTAGCTATATAAGAATATGTGGTTGAAATTAATTCATAAAAGTAAATTATTTCTTATCAATACGATTCTTCAAATTAAATAGGTGTCTTTTAATATTTGGAGAAAAGAAATTTACTGATAATCTAAAGTATTCCTTAAATTTTTAGTTTAGATACTTATTAAGAAGTAATTCAAAATCCATCAGATTACTATTTTTCTCTTTACTATTTTGTTATTTTAAATGATGATTAGATACTTTACTTGACTTAAAATGAATTAGGAGAGACGATTCTTTATTTAATAGATTTTTTAACAAACAATATATCAGAAATTTATAATTTTGGTACAAATCCTTAACCAAATTTTTATTATGTTAATAACTATTACACTCCGCTAGTTGCTTTTAATGATATTATTTATTTTTAGCTTTTTGATAATGACTGCTAGCCTTTTTCCATCAGCTAAAAAAATTTTGTCTACAAATCTATAACTATGCAATTCTCTGTATTTAACTATCCTTACTTTAATTATTAAAAAACAGGAGAAATTTTCATATTTTACTAGTCTCTTATTTAAGTTTATAGCTTTGATTTATCTCAAAGCGACCAGTATAATCTCGGTATAAATTATCCATAAGCAATTAATGGTTAATAGATTCAAGTTTTTAATGACAGATATGTTTTTTATTATGATCAAAGCTATTTTTATAGATTCGACATGGAATTAAAACAATTTACAATAATAAATGCTAAAAGTGATGCCTCTTTGTATGGAAAAACAGAAATTTAGTTTTATTTTTTAGATGAGAATTTGTAATATATCAAAAAGTCTGATAATATAATAGATACAAATAATATGGTTATTATTATGAGTTAACTAGAAGATAGCTATCTATTAGGGAGTATAGATAATGATGATAATACTAAAATTCATAGTTTTTCATCATAAGATGGAGTTTTTTGGATTAATAATTTATTCAACAATCCATTTAGTGTTTATAATTTCACACAAAATTAAGTAATTCAAGACATTAATTTACAAAATAATAAAATTGCAGTCTATGATAATTTCACTTAAAATTTAATCATTTACGATGTTATTAAAACTAATAATGAATTAGTTGTAATAAAGTTAAATTTTACATTTGATCTCTCCATAGTTATTGTTGATTGGAATTTAGTATCCTTCATATGGGTAAAAGAAAATGTCTTTTATCTATAAAACACATAAAATTAACCTTAGACATCAAAAATTATAGAATTAGAATCTAAAATTGTAAAATACTACTACTGTTCAAATTAACAAACTTTAGTCGCTCTCACTTCTAGGAAAATGGTTTATTCAATAAATGTAATCCAACTTATAATATTTTAATTCTATTTAAAAAATTATTAATTAAAATAGGTATTCGCTAAGACATATGAATGGTTAGAATATAATTTCTAAGCCTTTTAGATATCTTTTTTTGTTCAGTGTGAAGATAACTAGATAGTATTTTATTATCCATATGTTTAAATTTTTGATTTAGTTTCAGTAGAAAGATTAGGATACTTTTAAGATAACGTAAATAAAAATATTTCATTTTTTAGCATTAAAAAAAAAAAAATCATTTATTATATAACAACCCTCAATCCCAACTCTTAGAAAAATATAAAATATAATTTCAGCTTTTATTTAAACACATTTAACATTGAAGATTTTTGTATCAATAAAATTAAAAATAAAATATTTTTTTAATAAACTTTTTTACTATTTAAAGTTGTACGATAAAGGAATGATTTTGAATATAGAGTAAACTATACCTTTAGTAAGTAGGCAAGACTAGTTAGTGGTAGTTTTTTTTAGCTAGAGTCAAAATTTTTTTAGTTTAAAATACTTTCAAAGTACTGACTATTTGTTTGGGTATAGATATAATAATACTAACTTATTTTATGACAGCAATTATAAAATATTGATTGGACTAACAGGAACATTAAAATAAGTAAACATTATTAACATTCCAGGAAAATAATAATTATTCCTTTACGAATGTGTTGGATAATTTGCTAAAAATGCAGTTTATTATTATTAAGAATAAACTAGCTTGATAGTAGTTGATAGCAGTCCAACTATTTATCTTTTTAATTATTTAACCATGAATGTTACAAACATTAGAATTGATGTAAATAACATCCAAGGCGTTTTGATGGATAAAAACAAGAATATAGCTTTTTTATATTCAAATTAATTTATATTAACATTTTAATTTCCTAGTATGTAATTTATAGAAACAATATCTTTATAAAGCTATAATATTACTTCTATATTATAAGTTTATCTAAATACATAGTAGTCGTTGATGATCGTTTAGACTTACACATATATAATTGCATTTGATCTGACAGAAATTCTTTATGCTAGCCCTACTAATTTGCTTTAATACTAAAAAGTATAACATTTAAATATCAATTAGGAATTCTTTGTAAGTTATAGTATTCTAAATCTCTCGCTAAATTTGTATTAAAATTCTTAGCTTGTTGATAGTTTACTATTTGAGCCTTCATAATAAGACATATACCCTTATTTTACATAGTTGCTTTTGATCTAAGATTGTTAACTTTTATTTATTTAACTCTAATATATTAACATAGTTTAAGCAGATTTATAATAAAATAAGCTGATTTTGTTACAAAAAGTAAAGTTAATTAGTCAACCTGACAATTATTTTTATGACGTTTTTGATAATTAAATATTTTTATTTTATTAGTAGAACTATTAGCTTACCAAAATCAATTTAAATGATAAAAATATAACAGAAATAAATTTGGTTAATTTCACTGAAGGAGATATTTCTATATCGCTAATATGCAGTTAGTTTATAGTACTTGCTTCATCCAATTTCTTTTAAATTTATGATATAAACTATTAAAAAATAGATTTAATCAAATTTTCAAGTATTGCTGCTATTAAATTTGCTTTCAAATTGCAAATCAAGTAATTTTAGTCTTATTAAAATAATTGGTGGAATATTCCTTTTGATTATGAAGAAAGGTTTAATGGTAATGATCCTTAATAAGATAACTAAAAGCTTATCTGTTTAATTGTTTAAGAAGGAAATAATATTATGACATACATAGTTAATCTTTAAAATAAATAAATTGTGTATTAATATTAATTATCAAAATACTCTAGAGTTACAAACGTAGTAAGTGATCCATTTAGGCAATTAATATATTTGGTCAATAATTAAAGTTTAACTTTGGTATTCTCTTATTAGTTAAATTTAATTACAAGTCTCTAGAATGCTTGTCTAAAATAAGCTAAAATTTCATATGACTCAGATTTTATTTATTCCATATGTCCAAATGATATCATAATTTATAATGGGTTAAGCTTTTAAAAATAATTTCCAATAGTTGACAAAGGAATAAAAGAAGTTGATAATTTTATTAGCTCAAAATATAACAACTATTTTATTATTGTATAAAAAAATAAACTTTCTCTCATAAAAATGGATTATCTATCTGATTTTCAGCTTGTTTTTGAAATCAATAAAACTTACTAATAGCTATTAAATATGAAAGTCACAAGAGACTAAAACAATTAAACTTCTATAGAACTTTTACTTTCCTCTTATGATATTATTGAGCATTAAATAATGCCTTTACAATAAAATTAAAATTGCTATATAAACATTCAACAGTAAAATAGACCAATAGAAAATATTTACACAACCATCTAATTATTTTAAAGTTTTGATTTAATACAGAGTTTTAACCAGCAAATATCACTAATACAAATCAATTACTAAGATCAATAGTGCATTTAAGGGATAAGTGAAAATTTATATAACCTCTAAAATATTGATTCGAATATTAAAATTAGTCTTATTATTTAATCTTCATCTCAAAAAGATAGTATTTGTTGGTTATAATCAGATAGCAACAGTTACCCATCTTATATAGAAAACTTTTATCTTAAAAATATGAATTTATCTATATAAAATACTTTTGTATTTAACTAGAAAAAATAAATGAAAAACTTTTAAATGTTTAACATGACTTTAAACATTGAGAGCTCACTCAATTTATCTGATTTTGATAAAGTTCTTTTTTAAAATATTAAATTCGACAATAACAGAGAAGGTCAGAATTAAATAATAATTCAAAACTGTAAATTAGTTATAATCGAGTAAGTAGAAATAATTGATTTTGTATCATAATAGATAATATTTACTTTAACAAATAATAGCAATGTTATAATTTAAAATATAAACATCTCTAAAATGAATGGAAATACTATATTTTAAATGAATAACAATTACTAAGTAGTAATAAATGATATTAAAATACAAAACTCTAGCTACATAAATGTATTTCAAATATCTCTATCAAATTTTTTTAATGTGACAAATTTAATAATATAGTCAGTATTATCTTCTTAGGTTATAAACATATAAGGAACCACCATTTCTCAGATTTAACACATAGAGGTTGATAATTGTTATTAACTACAATTGATATAATTACAACCAATTAAGTTAGACAATTTATAATATTTATCTAAATATTATATGTTGTAAGATTTGAACTTACAAAATTCTACTGATATTTCACTTGTTACTCAGTCTGAATAAATACAAATCTCTGATATAATTATTTAAAAGTTAAATACCTCTTTAAATTGTTTTACTATAAATTCATTATAGCTATCTATAAACAATTTTACTATTGAAAATTCAATAGTATATTTAAGTTAGCCCTCTGTAATACTTATACTTAGCTATACAAACTGTGATATTCAAAAAATAAATTCATCTAAAAATTAAATAACAATTTTAAAAATTAATTAGCAAGATTTTACTGGTAATACATTAATACAATCTTCTTCATTTAGAGATTTTTAGTTATAATTTCCTTTGATGGAGTTTATAAACGTAGATGTCTTAATTTTAGACAATATTTAAGTCAAAAATATTTTATTTTATGATAACATGTATTCTTCAATAATATTAATGAATTAATGTAATAATATTACAATAAATGAGAGTCATTTTATTAATAATACAAATACAATAGGGACTGGAGGATCAATTTATGCTATAGATAGTCATTTTATTTAAATCAAGAATACAGTATTTAGGCTAAATTAATGCTAATAGTAAAACGGAGGTGCTTTAAGTATAAAAAATAATATTATAGTTGCTAATTTGACTATATAAAAAAGCGCTTTTATTGGTAATTAGGCTTAATTATCTACAGGTGGAGCTATTAATTTGGTGAATTCTAATTTGGTGATGGAAAATTCAATAATATCTTAAAATAAGGCCTTAATTGGTGGTGGAATCTATTATTAATAAATAATTCCTGATTTTGTATTAGATTTGACAAATAAAATCAATAATAATAACTTTATCTCTTAAAATTTCGCAAAGCTATATGGAAATAATTTAGGATCTACGTTGAGAAGTATTAAGATTAATCTAAAGGATATATAAACAACAAAGAAAACATAAATAATAGAAAATTAAAATAATTAAATTCAAGTCAGTTCATTTAAAAGTGGAGACTAAATAATTTTTAACAAAATTTAATTACTTGATGAGGAGGATAAACCAATCTTTATACCCAGTGATGCTAATTATACTAGCACTTAATAATACAGTAATGATGTATAATCAATATTGTAGTAAATTAGCGTTTCTTTATAATGGGATTAATCTACATAGTAAATATAATGTCTTGGAGAGCTGTAATCAAAGTAATTTACAAACAATGGATTTAAATTGAATGCATAAATTATCTATAAACCAAATAATTAAATGATCTTGCAAGTTGTTTCCAATTTATTTCCGAAACTTTCTGATTCAAAAGGGAATGTATATTTAAAGTAGTACTAACTTTATAAAAATATCACTATTAATTTTAATAGTTGTTAATTGGGCTAAATTTCTAAGTAGTAAAGGAATTCAATAGTTTGTGAGGATTGCCCTGAAGGAAAATATTCTCTAAATTTGCAAGATAATTCTTGCTTACAGTGTCCTGATTCAGCTATAAAATGCTATCAGTCAACTATTCTTTTAAAAAATGGATATTGGAGAGAAAACAAATTGACTGATTAAATAGTATATTGTAATTTTCACCCTAATTCATGCTAAGCTGAATCGTAATTATCTAAAGTAAATTTTATTATTTATTTTAAAAGTAGTCATCCATTTCATAATGGCTTTGATGAAAATGGAGGGAAAAAGAGAATTTAATTCGATTTCATCTCTTCGAAAATTTGAAAATAATTTTAATTAAAATTTATTGATATACTATGAAAAATTGAATTATTATTTTTAAACTATAAGGAATTTTTTAGAATAAATTTTAACATTTTTTTTTTTAAGGAATATTGTATCGCTGGATATAAAGGCCCTCTTTGCTACTCGTGTGATACTTATGGAGAAATATGGGGTAAAAGATATCAATAAATATTTAATTCGGGAGAATGCTACAGTTGTGAGGAAAATAGCTCTATTATAATTACATAAAATTTAGTTTTATTCATAGTCATCTTTTGCTATATATTTGCCCTTTTAAGAAAAATAATTAATAGATAGCAAGCTAAATTAGCAGGTTACTATATCACTAAAATGGATTTAATCTATTTAGGGTCAACATGTATTTTAATAATTTATGAAATAAGCTTTATTAAATTAAATTTTAAATTAATTTATTATTTTTTAATTAAAGAAATTGTATTAAAATTAACTTAATAAAAATATAGTAAGATAATAAGATAAGCCTTAGATAATTTCCAAAATTTTAACAGATCACCTTCAGATCCTGTCTTTGTTGAGCTTTTTTAACTTTAATATTCCTAACTATTTTAAGTTTCCTGTATAGGCATCAGGAAATTCTTTGAGCTTAACAAGCAAGTCAATTGACTGCTTTTTTTCAAGATATCCAAATTTAAAACCTTTGTGGTTTTATTAGTCTTTATGGTCGGTATGTTTACCGCTTACTGTACTCTTACTTTATTTAATATTAGGCTTTGTTTTAAGGTTATTAAAAAGAAATATCAATATTTTTAAATACTTAAATACTGCATTTATCTTCATTTATCTTTATTTTTATCCTATGGTGATTATATTATTTAGTAGATCTTTGAATTGCCTACAAATTGGTGATAAAAGCTATCTTGATTTAGATGTAAATATATTATGCTATGATCCTTAATATCATAAACCGTATGTTATATTCTACTGCGTACCTTTACTAGTTTTATGGGCAGTTATTGTTCCGCTATTTTTGCTCTTAAAAATTAGAAATGGAAAAATGAAAAAATGGCCAATCTTTATTGAAATAAAGTATTCTTTTATATTTGCAGGATATAAAGAAAAGTATTATTATTGGGAATTTGCAAAATTAATTTATAAATCAATTCTAATTTTGGCAGCGACATTACTTCAGCAGGATTCTTTCTTAAAAGTAAATTATTAATTGTTTAAATAAATAAATACCAATCAATTTAAATTAGATTTAATACCTCTTTTTATTTATAAAACGAATAAATATACTCATCAAACTTTAAAATTAAAATAGTTGAGCACGCTAAATGCTGTTATCTTATTCTAGATTTATATAATATTTAAGACTAAACCTTTTGAAATTTAGAATTTCAACAATTTATTATCTAAATCTGCAATCTTATGTGCTTTATCACTAAATTTAACTTAGATTATTGCTAATGTTGCAAATATGCATTAGTATTTAGAAGCTATTTTAATTACTTTATTAGTTTTATCTAATCTTCAATTTATAAGTTAACTCGTGATTGGAATATGTCTAATTACAATACAAAATGACAAATAAAAAAGGAATAAAATCTAAAATTGTCTCATATATTTTATATAAAAATATCCTTCTTTATTTGAAAACATTCAGATTTAATAAAGCTAAATAAATGTAAGATCTCTTTTGAAAATAAAGCTAGTCAAAAATAAAGTTAAACATTTAATTAAGTACTTTAGGCAATATAGTTTCTTCAAGTAAGAAACTTTGTTATAGCATTTTCATCTCAAAAAAAATTCAATCTTTTCTCCTAAATTAGAACTAAAGTACTAAGCCAGTAAATTTACCTTGTTACCTGGGAATGAAAATATCATAGGATAGAATAAAAAGGTAGATTCTTTTATGAGTATGAGACAAAAATGGTCATACTATACGAGAAAAACGAATGAAAGTCCAATAAGTAAATTATCTACTACTTAAAATATTAAATAATTTCCATTTTTTTTTTTAAAGATAAAAATTCATATGATAGTTAAGATAAAATCTAGAACATTAACAAAGAAATAGCTCTTACTGAAACAGGAAATATGTAAACTGATACTTATAATGATGAATTTGGAAAATTTATAATAAGCGATGATAAGAAAAATTACAATATTAATTAATATTTGACCAAAAATTAATGATAAAATCTCTTAATTAAAAATTATGATAAATAAAATAATGGTATTTAAACACTATTTTTTAATTAATGAACTTAAAAATATTATTTTTGTTTTTTATCTTAAATTTATCCATGTTAAATAAATTAAATCATTTATTTCAACTTAATAAAATATTATTCAAATTAATTTTCTTTAAAAAGTATTAGAATTTCAAAAAAATTTACAAAATATAAATTATATAATAATTATTGATGAAAAAATTTTATAATAAATACATATTTTAAAAATTTTATGAATAATTCTAAAATATTTTTTAATTTAGTTCTATGAATAAAATGAAATATTCCATTCATAGTTGTAATAAAAAATTTTTAAAAATAATTAATTATTATTTTTATTATGCAATTATATTATAAAATATAAAAGATAAATTAAAATGAAATCTTAAAAACAAATTTGTTATTTATTATTTTATATAATTATTTTTCTATATTATACTTCTATATTTTGTTTAGGGCAAAATGATATAATTCAAAATAAATTAAATGTTATTTATTTATTTAGTTACTTAGTTTATAATCTGATCACATTTATTTGTTATTTTATTCTATTCACTAATTAATACTTTAACCTGAAATTCTTTCATGTTCAGTAATCAATTAAACTTACTAACTTAAAGACTCGCTATTTCTGACTGATTGAACCTATAAATCGGAATATAATACACTTGGATCCACTATTCCATTTGAAGCTGAGCGATCAGTACCATCTTCTACAAATTATTGAGCTATTTCAACAACATCGTAGAAACTGCCATTCCATAAGTATAAGTGCTCGCTTCTTTTGTAGGCAAAAAGCAGTATGAAGAGACACATTATAGGGTAATTAACTGTAGAATAAGGCCATTGATGAATATTAAAAGTAGCTATAATCATGTATATGATTGAACTGAAGAAATAACCAAACAATCCAAGATATGTAAAAGCTCTAGTGTTATAGTTTTGATAGCTTCTATCATAGCGATAACAGTAATTAATTAAAATACCAGGGAAAGCTGTACCTGTAACAGGCAGCCACGAACAATATTTGTCATATATTATATTGATACTCCTTATTGCTATTAAGAAAGGCTCATTATATTAATTAATAAATAAAATGTCATAGCTTAAGTCTTCTTTGAAATAAACAATCAAAGCACCAATTGCATCCACTAGTAAGCAAATAGATAAAAACATGAAAGCCTACTTTAACGATTTGAATTTAAGAAATTTCATCAGTGAACCAAGTAAGAATAAAGCTAGAATATCACTAAAGTACCATGTCTTTCCAAAGTAAAGCCATAGAAACTCTAAGATTGCTGTAAAGCATAAACTAATCAAGTCCATAAGTTAAAATTTAAAGTATTTAATTGTGAAAAAAACTATCTAAACCCTTTTTTTAATCCATTTGCTGTGGCATTAAAGCTCATTTGTAAAAAACCAAGTTGAGAAGCTTGTTAATATAGCCATAATTATATCCATGATTTTTTCAAGCCTGTCATGATTTATATATATATTAGATATTCCAATTGTGATCACTAGTGCAGCATAAACAGAAGCATGATAGTATTTTAACTCATACCTCTCAAATTTACGTTAATTTGAAATCTAACTGTATGTACTATTATTTATTTAATTACTTTAAGGTCTTGTTTAGCAAAGTGAAGAGATACTTAAAGGTGTAGAGTAAATAGCCATTACAAGAACTATAATACTAAGTACAATTACTAATATATTAAGGCTTACTGCATACTTAACGGGTCTAAACTTTTCATCACAAACAAAGAAATAATAAACATTAATAGACTCTGAAATTTATTCATCTCCCACTTCTTGTGCCTCATTATTTGCTTGCGTTTTCACTTAAACACTTTATATATCAATAGTAATAGAAATAGCTGTCCAATAGTTTTCAAAGTTATAATGACTAGGACAGGCTGTAAGTATTTAGAAAAGACCTTTTTCTCCGCTTTTTATCAAAACTTAATCTTACTAAGGTGGAGGAGGATTAAGATTTTAATCAAGATACATTATGCTTGGCCTAAGTCCATCAGTAAATTATGTTTTTATATTTGTTGATACTATAATATCAGTATTTTGATGAAGATTTTATATTATTAATCCTGGATTTTCATTACTTTCAAAGTTATAATTGTACAAATTATCAGGACGTGAGCAGCATTACCTATTCCATAAACTCTAATCAAATTATTTAGAAAGTTTATAATTGTTATAGACTTCTATGCTTTCGCCTTAATTAATGGACTGAATCTGAGTATTATATTAAATCTAAATATTAAGTTTTTGCTGATTTTATTAAAGATATTTATAAGTTTAAAGTGGACGAAGGCCATATTCTTCCTTTTAATTTTATTTTTCCTGTAATATATTTTCCTCTTAGCATTATCCAGATTGGAGCTATTGTTCGCTTTCTTTATAGTTACTTAAACTTGAGCAATAAATAATTGATCCAAAAATAAGAATCAAAAATATCTGAGATTAATTATGCTAGCAGAGCTTCATCAAAATAATAATGTTTATTATCTAATTTAATATCCTTTGCTTGCTAAATAATACCTATATATCTTTTAATATAAGAGATTATATCTTGATATTTCTTTCGAAACCCTAGCTTTGTTTGCTTTTATAAATGTGATTCTCTTTTTAATTTTCAATTATTTTTAGAGTCTAAATTAGTATTGATGATTGATTTGTCTTAAATAAAGTAATTAATTTTCTTTATCTTATAAGCAAAAAGTAAAATTAAAAACAAAGTAATAAGAATTATACTTATTTATATTAAATATTCGCAATAACTACAAAGATATCATCTATAGCTTATCACTCATCATTCACTCATTCACCACCTTTTGTCAACTCATCAGGAAAAAATTATTGCAAATATTAAATTAAGCAAACTAAATATTAATGTAAATAACTTTCCTCATTTTAATATAAAAAAATGTAAACTAAAAAGCTTAAATTAATCAACTATATTTAAAATTTCTTTAATATTTGTCTTCCTCGATAAATAATTAACTAACTTTATCATATTAATTTTATAATAAAAGATTTTATTTTCTTTTAAATAACAATTAGTCTGATTTTCTTAAAAAAAGAGAGTTATTTGAATTTTATCATATTTTATTTATTAATATTTTTTAAAAAAATATTAACTTTTTAATCTTAAAAAAATAAATTTAAAGTTTAATTTCATCTACAGATATAAATTTAATAATAAATAATATATTAATTTAAATAAAATAGGGACAATTATAAGTCAGTTATTAATTAAAAGTAGTAATTTTTATTTTAGTTTTTAGGTATGTATTCAAAATTCTATAAATTTGGAAAATAAGATTTCTTATTATTATTTCAAATTTTTGATCATTTAAAATTATAAAGATAAATTAATTTTAATAAATTATTTGCTTTCTTAAAAAACCCTCTCAATTAGTAAAAAATATTTTTGCTTTCTGAAAAGTAAAATAAATACTTAAATAAATATAATACTTAGTTAAATAAAAGCATATACGATGGTATCTTTTAGAATTGATTTATAGTATAGTGTCTTCATGTTATATTTATTATTATTATTAACTAATTGGTTTTGTATTGTATAGATGTAGAAAATTAAATTTAATTATAATATGGATAATTTAATTATAATATGGATACCTATTTTAAATATAATTGGTAGTCTTCTTATTAAATGAATATTTCAATAGTGTTATTTAGATAAATTTGAAATTTATATTGCATCAATAGCAAATATTTCCAATAAATTTTGTTAGCTAACCCGCATTATTATATTGATAACAGTGTCAATTAGTGAGATAGAAGAATTTATTTAATAAATTTATTAGAATGATTATTGATTGATATTAACTTTTCTGATTATCTAGCTCTCTTTTTTCTATCTATCTATATGCCTAATTATTTTTAATAACAAAGGAGAATCTATTAAAAATTTAAAAATATTTATTTTCAATAAATATTGATATTTCATTTAGTTTAAAAATAAAAGAAATCGTAGATCGATAGATAAGTAGATATTAAATAAGTTATAGCAAACTAAAATGGACGTAGAAGATAACAATTAGAATAACGGCATGCTTGGATTAATTCTTAAAAACGATCAAAGAGTAGAAGTTGATCCTAGATTTAAGAATGTTTCAGTTTTAGTTAAAGAGTTGTCTGAAACAAATAATGGAGAAGATATTCCTATTTCTTAAATTTCTATTGAAATGCTTAATGTTATTTTAGATTACTGCAAGCGTCATAATTGGAATCCTCCTAAAGTTTCAAAGCCTTTGCAATCAGGAGAATTATAAAAAAATTTGAGTGAACAAGACTATCTTTTCATTAAAGACTACCCAATTTATAAAGATAATCGTTTGAATGATTTACTGCAAGCAGCTTATTATTTACAAATATAAACTTTATATGACGTATGCATTTGCAGAATTGCAACTGAATTCTATTTTGGTAAAGACCAGAGCAGCTTTGATGATCTTAAAAAGAAATTGTAAGTCACTGAAGATCTTACAATTGAATAGGAAGAAAAAATACAAAAAGAGTATCCTTGGATTTAATGAAAAGCAATAAATATTATTTTAGTCAGTATTTCAACCTATATATAAATAGATATATGTTTCATACTCATAAATATAAAAATAATTTTTCAGGTATTGATATTTTTTTTTATGCATTTAAATATTACTTTGTCATTTTGAATATTTCGCCAAATATTTTATTTAAATTCTACCGCCAAATAATAGATAAATAAATTAAAAATGTTAGCTAATATAATGTAAAATTAAATAGGAAATTGCTCTTACTTAAATTTGAATTGATTAAAAAACTACTAATAATCTGAATTAAAAATATTATTTTGATTAACTAAATAAAATACATTTTATCTTCAAGCTAAAATTTTATTGATTTATTTTACAAAATTTTTATGTTTAAAACTAATTGAAATAAAAGCTCTCCAAAATTAATTTAAATTTATGAAGTAAAAAAAGTATAAATAAATTAGATTTTTATTGCTAAAGCATACAGTTTTTTATTTATACTTCAAAAAATATTGAGAAGTGATCTAATTAATATTGTTAATGACTTGATTTAGATTTATTTATTTGAAATTAATTTTATAATTTATCATCATTTATTTATTTTAATTTACTTTTTGAAATAATTTTAATTAAAATACATAAAATGTCTACTTTTTTATTTTATATACAAAAAAATTATTTTAAGGTATTTAATTAATCCTTATTTCAAAGTTTAGAAAAGATGGAAAATTTGTTTGCAAGAGTTTTATAGTTAATTAATTTATCATTCGTTTCATTCATTAATGAGACTCAACAGAAGAATTAGAGGGCTTATATATGTATGGAGAAGAATCTTAGAAATTAGATTGAGTATATGAGCCAGACGCTTTATTAAGATGACTATTTAAATATTCAGATCCAAACTGCTCTTTAATGAACAAATTTTCTCTTTCTTTGTTGATGTATGCTTAATTAAAATTACTGTTTTAGTCAATTACTTTCAACTAAGTCATAAATTCATTCAAGTTGAATGGTTGCATTGAGTTACTTGCACCAGCCTTATGCTCTTAGTTATTTACAGTTATTTTATAAGGATTATTTTCATTGTTTGAAAAAACTCTGTTATGAGTTTAATTTAGTGGAGGCTTTTTAAATACTTATTAGGTTTCATTATGTCTTGTTTGTACAAAATTATTTGTAAGAACTTCGTTAAGGCTATTATCTCTTCTGTGCTTATTATTATGTAAACTTGATGATCTAGCGTGTTACATAGAAGGAATGTTGTAATTAATGTTTGATGTGTTAACGTTTTCTTTTCTTGTCAAAAACGAATTATCTTCGTAAGCTTAAGAGATCAAAGAAGCATTTAATACAGAAAGTTTTTTATTATCAAATTCCTTTATTGCATCACTCTTTAATGATTGAATTGTTCTCTGCATCATTTACAAATCTCTCTTCTCAGTTTCAATATGACGAACATCTTATTATATTTTCTTTTCTTTCAAAAACAATTCATGCTATTACCTATCTAGTTTCTCTTTTTCATGCATAAATGTTTGTCTGAATTCCAAAATACTGCTTTGTTCTTCTTATATTTTTTTTTGTATCTCAAATAGCTTTTTCTACTCTGCCTCTAACTCGCTTCTCTCATTATAAGACACACTTGAAATTTTTTTGAAATCCATTTCTTTTCTGCTAAATTCAATCTCTTTCAACTCTAAAACCTATTATAAATATTTTTAAATATGAGTTTATCATCTTAAATATTAATTAATAAATCATCAAACCTTTTGCCTTTTTAAGAGATTCTCCTCCTAGTCAATCAGCTTTTGTCTTATTTCTTCATTTTCTCTTATTTTAGATTTATGCAAGGCTTCTAATTTTGTTATCTAAGCCTCATTAGCTTATCTCTGTTTTTCAAACAAAACTATTTACATTTCAAAATCTCTGTATTTTTATTCATATTCTTCCTTAATCTTTAATCTAATTTTATTGAAAAAAAATATTTAAATTTTAAATAAAATATTGAATCTTGATTTACCTTTCATCTTAGGTGACACTCTTTTCATTAATCAACTCTTATCTCTCTATGATTAATTACCTTTTTTTATCTTATTCTTAAGATGATATTTAATCTTATAACTCTTATAGCCTATTATATTCTCTTTTGAGAAGCACTTTTTCTGCATCTATTTCTTGTCTTAATAGAGATTCTCTACTATCTAAATCCTCTCTCATCTTGTTCAAACGTATTCTTTCATTCTCTAGATAATCCTATTCTACTCTTATTTTCTTTTCTTATAAAAGGAGTTTTTCTTCTCTTTCTCTTAAATCGTCGTCTTAGCTCCTTTTTACTTTATTTTAACCAGAAATAATATATTAAATTATTTATTTTACTTAATTTTAATATAAACAAATACCTTCGTTTTGATTATCATATTTGTTTGTTAAATTATTGAGTTTGTCTGCATTTAGTCTTATTTCTTCTGCAAGTGATATCATTTTTTATTGCTGTTCGATTTGCTTCTTCAGCATTTCAGATTCCTGTTAAAATGTTCTTTGCATTTGTTGCTTTTCATAATCCCAAGTTGCTTCTTTAGATTTTAATTCAGACTCGTGAAGCATTTTCAATCTCTCCTTTTCTGATTTCAATAGGTTCTACATTTCCTCGACTATGTTTTCTCTCATTTTCTTTTCATGCTGAAGTTGCTCTTCATGATTTTATCTCATTAGCTGAATCTATCCTTCATAATTATTTCTTATCATAGTTATTTAATACATAGTTTCTTCCTAAATCTATTTCTTTGTATCTTCAAACACTTTTGTATTCTTAAAAAAATCTTGGCTGTTTGTTTCTTTATTAAAAACTTCAGTATGCCTAAAAGACTCTTCTTAATTGAATGACTCCTATACTCTAACTATTTATGGTTGAGCTGGTTGTCTTTGAGTGGTATTATACGTAATTTATTTAGTAGTCGCCTCGCTGAATAATTTAGGCTAAGTGTTACTTAGTTCTGATTGATTTCTAAACACCTACTATTGAGTGTTTGGTTTTTGCAACATAAAATGAGAATCTCCTGGTTTTTCTAATGAATCTAAAATAGAACTTTTATCTGTTTTAAGTTGTATCTAAGCAGAAGCCATTCTATTGTTGCTGATAATTGGTTCGTCTTACTTGTTATTTAAATTATTTTAATTTGTATAATCTCCAAAATCATTTCTATCTCGATATAAATTATTTGTATTCCCAAATCTATTTGCGTTTCTTCCTCCTCCTGTCGTAGTATCCCCAAACATATCATTTTTATCAGCAAAAATATTGTTTGTACTTTTGTTATTGTTATCTTCAAAAAGATTTTTATCACTAAATAAATTATTTTGAGTTTATGATGGCTTTTATGGATTTTCAAATTCATCATGAGTTTTTAATAGTCGAGGAGGTTTTTCTTTTTATAAAATTACATGTTAAAAAATTTTTATATAAAATTTATAATAAAATGATTACAATTATTGTTATCTGCTGATTTTTCTCTATTCAAACCTCTATTTCTAGAAGGTAGTCTAGATAATGTTGGATTATATCCTCCAAGATCGTTGTCATCATCTAATTAATTTGCAGTTTTAGAAGGGTTTTCATCAAAGACAGATCTTTTTGCTGAAGAAGGAGCTGCCAAAGGTGAATTGCTTTTATCATCTTTTTGCTGTATATTTTAACTAATTTTTCTTGTGGAACTTCTTCCTCTTCTGCTATGAAAATTATCTATATTTAAAAAATCATCATCTTCATCTAACATACTTTTTGAGCGATCATTCCCAAGCTTATTAGCTGATGGAAAAGTAGGCTAATTTCCTTACTATTATTTAGAATAGTCCTTCTTTTTAAAATCATCAAAGTTGTCTTTTTCAAAGGGTGAATAGTCTTTTTCTTTAAATAAATCTCTGCTTGAGCCAACAGAAAAGTTATCTCCTCCCATATTTTGCTTATTACCTGCAGGTGCTGTATTGCTATTTATTTTTGAGTTTAAAGGCACTCCAAACAAAGATGCTCTTTTTTCCAAGTAATCATCGTCATCTTTCTTAACAGCTGTTTGAGTTTTCTTAAGATCAAGATTTGATGATGGAATGTATCCTGATTTTGCATATCCTGTATTCTTGTTATCATCAAGGTCAATATCAAAGTCATCGAAGAATGTACTTTATTACTTGCTGCTTTAATTATTTTACATCTTTATACCAAATGATGAATTGGCATTAGATTTTCCAAATCCCTTATCATTTTTATCATCTTCTATCAATTTCAAAACATCGTCAAAATCATACTAACCTTGCTTGCCTCCTGCAGTGCTTGGTTTACTACTCATACCGAATCCTGATGAAGAATTTGCTTTTTTATCATTTGCTTTATTATTTGAAATACCAGAAGGATTATATCCACCCAAAATATCATCATCTTCATCCAAATCAGCTGAGGAATTTTTATTATTTTTATTTCCATATTCGAAAGGACTCCTTATTTAAATATTTAGTATTCATGAAATTATTTATTTATAAATTAATTTTTTTTAAATATACTTGTTTGGTTATGCTTTAGTATTATTTGTATTTGTCAATGTAGCTAATAAATCATCAATGTCATCTATTTTTATTTAATTAAACAAATAATTAGTATAACCAGCTCATAAAAGCTTTTATTTTAATATTAATACCCATTTTTAATCCTTATTTTAATATCTTATTTATAAATTATCTTTGAACAGCTGAATTTTTGGTTTAAAGTTATAATATTTAGATGCTTAATTCTTAATTTATTTTAAAGTGGTAAATATTATTTAACTATTGATAAAAAATTTGCACTTCGATTTCATCAATAAATCTAAAAATCACAAAATTATTTGAATAACTTTGTTTAATTTCAAACATTAATTCAAAATTTTTAAATGAATCTTAAAGCTGTTTGTTAAATGTTAAAAAGTAAGCTGTTTATACAAAAAAAACATATTTTATATTAGATTTATTTTTTATAGAAATATTTAATAAAAATGTTTAATTTTTGATATTTAAAATAATAATTTTATAGTTTGTTTGTTTATCCTATCTCACAATAATATATTTTATTATTTTTTTAATAATATTTTATATTAAAATTAAGCTTTTAGAGAAGCAAAATAATCAATCAAGATTATTAGTATTATGCTATAAATATACATTTAAATTTAATTTCAATTAAATAAATTAGTAATACAAAAATTTGTATGTATAATTTAATTAAAATTTAAAAATTAATATTTTTAAGGATTTTTTCAAATCAACTCTATTAGAATATTAATAAAACTACTTCTTTTATTTGTATTTTATACTTCTAGTTCTCATCTTAGGATAACTCTTCTATTTTAAACTTAATTTAATTAACTTATAAAAATAAATTCTAGATAAAAATTTATAAAAAAAATCTTAATAATTAAAATAAATAAATAAATAAAACATAATTTTAATTTTTTCTAAATTTTTTAAATTTCACATTTTCTATAAATATATGAAGTTTAGAGTAATTATTATTAAACCACAAGTTTATTATTAAAATAAATTATTTAGTATATTTATACAAAAGAATGGTTATGAGCTTTGATATCTGCAATTTATAAATTAATAATTTTTTAGGTAAACAAAAATTATTGGATATATCAATAATAAAAAAAATTTAATATTTTAAGATAGTTTGAGGAGAATGAATATAATTCATGAATATATTTGCAATTTTATTAGTTAAGCGATTATTATTTTTTTCAATAAAGACTTCCTTTTCTAAATATTTTTAAGATTTTTAACAAGTAATTAACAAAAAAGCTAAATGAATTATTAAAGGGATATGAATAATATATAGCAAATGCTAGGGATTCTACTCCAGTTGCCAGACCCTAATTAAATGCTTAAAGCTAGTAAGCCGTTAGATAGAGAGGAAGGATAAATTTAAGTTATCGAATAAGGAGTAGTTTAAAAATATAAGTGGCAGGGAGCCTTACCTAGTAAATTGAGAGATGAAAAACTTCAGCTTAATTTTGATAAACAAACAAATAAAATCAAGCACAATTCATCTTTATTAAGCTATTCTTAACAGATCAATCATTAGAATTCTATTTAAAACAAAAGAGAGCATATTCAAATGAGGTAGTCAAATAAATTTCAAAATCAAAGCTTTTCTGTTGATTATCGTTCAAAAGAGCCTATTAGTTCATATAGACACAACAATAACTTATCTTAAACCAATTATGATGAAAGCTTAGGTTTCAACTAGAATTAATCTGTTTTTATATAAAAGAATAACTTCTTTGATAGCTCTTTAACTCCAAACTCAACAACTAATCGCAAGAATCAATAATATTAACATTCTCTATTTACAAATACCAATAATTTACTCTCTCCTAAAAATAATTCTTTCCATAACAATTAAATTAGAATGAGTATTTCTGAAAAAGCGCAATAGCCCTAAGAGCCCAAATAAGTTTCAATTAAATATATAGGTAAAATTTGTTAAATGAAATTAAAAATAAACATAAGTAATTTGATAATTAGGTGTGCATAACGATATGATTGGAGTTCTTTCAAGAAAGATACCTATGGAATAGTAAGTAGAAAAAATTACTAAATGTAAACAAATTCAGTTAGAAAGAAGAATAAAAAGTGGAGCAGGCTTTAGATAAAAAATAATTGAAAACTAGCAGAATTTTTAAGGTGATCAAGCACAAAATTAAGAAATAATTGCTCAACAATAAAGGAATAAGATTTTCATAAACATCAAATCATCTTAAAGTATTTTACTAATCAATATTGATATTATATTTTAGAAAATTTCATTAGGCAATTTATACAAAAATATAATCAATTTTTATAGAAAAAAGGTTAAATGCTGAAAATTAAAATGAAGAGCTTAAGAATAATTTAATTTAAGAGACAGGCACAACAAATGATAACACTTTATCTCCCATGTTAGAAGCAAAGAGTAGAGAAAAACTTCTGAATATAAGCTAGTAGCTATACGATATTAAAGAAAAAGAGGAGGGAGAAATCATCTTAAGCTCAAGAGAACTATATCCAGACCATACCAATGGCAATCGAGATTTAAAAAAGTAGCATTAAAATGCATTGAGATAGGTTTTAGAAGAACAAGATTTTTAATCAAAGGTTGCTTCACCTCTTATTGATATAAAAGCAAGTCAAGATAGTAAGAGAGTAGAAAATACTCATTCAACTTTAAGCAGCACTTAATAGCAGAGATATAATCACAGCAGTATTTAAAAAAATGATAAAAATATATAACTATTTTACACAAATGATTCAAGACCAAATACAACAGCTCATTCAAGAAATTATTACAACTATGCTGGAGCATCACCAATGAATTCTTAGAATAAATAATAAATATAATAGTAATAATCTTATAGAGCTTAAAGTCTAAACTAATAACGAAGGGTTGTTTAAAATGATCCCAATATTGAAATTGCTCTAGAAAATAATTAAATTAAAATAGATAAATTAATGAATAATACATAAAATAATTTTTAGTTAAAAATATAAGAAATGCCAGATCCAAGCAAATATGATAAATTTATAGTCACAAAATACTCTTTAGAAAGAAAATTAACAGCTTTAAAAAAAAAGAGAGAGGAAAACCCAAATTTCAGCAAAAAGTAATTCTACGTTGTTTGGAATAATTAGCAAATAAATTGTGTTAATAGTATTTTATGATAAACCGAATTAAATAACTTTATTAAACTACTTCTAATAAACCTTTAAAAAAGTAGATAATTTTAAATTAAATTATTGAATTATAAGTTAATAAATAGAATATTTAATTAAATTTAATTTTTATTGATTAAAATTTTCCTCAATTTATATAAAATATTGAAAATTGAAAATTAAAAGAATTAATAAATTTATAATCACTTGTAAATATATTTATATATATAGAGAGAGTTTATGTAACAAACTTAATTATAAAAATTAAAAATTTTTAAAAATAATTATTTAACTCCAAAATTTCTGAAATTTTGTAATTTCTTTAACTTAAAAAACTTATTATTGATATTTAGTATAAAAAATGGATCAGAATATTCAAAGCTAATTTTAATAAAAATAAAAACTTTTTTATTTTTTAAGTTGAAGATTCAAAATATTTCAATAAATGAGAAATTATTTAAGTTAATGGAATACATTGATATAAATGAAAATATTCATAAAACAAAATAATTGGAAGAATAAAATAAGATTGGTATTATTTGTTTTTTGTGTTATTTAGGTTAGTTTTTTAGTTATTTTTATTGAAAATTTTGAGATGTTTTTTGTTTTAAATTAAATTAGCTTCATCACTCTCACCATAATTCTTTGATGATTCTTTTTTCTTTTTCTAAATTTTCAACAAATTTGTGAGCTTCTTGTTCATCAATATTTTTGAATTTTTGAACAATCTTTCTTAAAGCATTAACTACACTTTCACCCATAGCAGTAGCACTTTTTATTAAAATATAATAATTAGTAAATAAATTTAGTTAATAAAAAATATTTTACCCACAAATGTATATTAAACCATTTCTTTCGAAGAAGGTGTTATAAATTTCTTCTTCGTTTTTAATCATCAAATCTTAAACGTATACCTTACTACCCTATTTAATTATAAAGAAAACACTTTAGACTTTATATTTGCATATTAAAGAAATTACTTGATCTCTAGAGAAGGCTGTGTATAGCTTATTGATGATGCCACTCTTAACGTATTATTCGAGTTCTTCTCTGAAAATATAATCACCATTTTGATGTCTGCAGCCAAAGTATAAAGTAAATTCACCAGGGCAGATATTAATACCTGATTAAATAGAATAAAAATTTAAATTAAAAATGAATAAATAAGATTTTAAATACCTTTTTCTAAAAGAGCTTCCTTTTCTTAGCAGAAGGCGATGAAAGGTGCAATACCAGTTCCGGGACCAATCATGATGATTGGAGTTTTGCTGTCTTGAGGAAGAATAAAGCTAGAAGCCTTGAAACCTACTCTGATTCTGTTACCAGTCATACCATTCTTGAGTTTGTTTTAGAAATTAATTAAATACTTAGAGCATATACCATGCTTAATGCTGCCATCTTCAAGCTTATCTGCAACGAGACTGTCAGTTACAGTAACTATTTCAGGATTTTTAACATCGGAAGAAGAAATTGTGAAAAGACGAGGGCTAAGACGAGGACAAAGATCAACAAATTATTCAAGGGTAGGAACAATTTAGTATTCTTTCAATAAATCGAAAAGGCATTTCTTCTTTTAGTAGATTTCGCTATCAAACTCTTTCTTACCAGCAGCAGAGGCTAATTTTTCTAATCTGTTTAATTCATTAAAAAATTGTTTTTTTTTAATTTTGTAAAATATTTAAAAGAAAAAAAGACATTAATTCATTTATATTTAAGATTAATTTATTCCATTTTATTGGTAGAAATTTAAAATAAATTCTAAGATCAAATCAATTTTTGGCTGGATCCAATTTTTTATTGATTAAATTATTTCTAATAAATAAAATTGAAGCTAATTAATAATATTGCTAATGAGAAAGTTTGTTTTTATGCTTTTTGATTTACTAATTCTTTTCTTTATTTTTAATTATTAACATTTTGCTTAATAAAATTTTATTGCTTAAATTTGCTTATTTATTTCTTTCCTAATTCTAATAAACAATTTTTTTTATTTTAAATACTTCTAAAATGAAATAAGTCCATATTTTAAAAATATTTTGTTAAATAATTTGCAATTAAATTTGTTTACTTAGATTTGTGCTCTTCGTTAGTAGTTAATTTTGCTAAGTCTTTAAGAGTTTTTTTCATAAGTTAACCTTAAAAGTCGCAGAACTTGGTTAAAATGCTTCTGATGCTTATTGGAGAGGGGAAAGGATACTTGAATTTTTCAATAAATTCTTCATCAACAACAAGTTCTACTCTTTGATTGAGATCTAAGTTCAAATGGGCTCCTACCTTTTCAACAAGAGCAGGATCATTTTCAGCAAAAATCTCTATGTTCATTGCTGTCTTATACTTTAAGTTAGTGTTCTTTAAATCGATTTCCATATGAAGAGTAGATCCATCATTGTTGTTTTAACGTAATTCCTTAATGCTCTTGACATTAGCGACAGTTCCATGAATATAACCATCAGTTAAGAATTCGTACTTCTTTCCATCGTTTTTAGCATTTTCAAAATTAATTTCTGCAGCTTCAGTTGGAACTAACTTGAAAGCAGTACCAGATTTCTTTTTATTGTGATGAGAGGCAGCACTTTAATCATTTTATTTTGTTAAATCAATAGGAGTGATAATCTTCTTGAGTTCAGTCCACAAGTTCTCCTTCCATTCATTGAAGTCATCTTCTAATGAGCTATTATCATCACCTTCACCATATTTGTAGACTCTATAGTTTTTATAGCATTAAGTTAGAAAAAAATTCATAAAATGTAGAGTTAATATCAAATTATCAAAGCAAAAAAATAAATACCTCTTAGCTCCAAGACGCTCGAAATGTTAATTAGTTTGACGACCCATAGCATTGTAGTGTTCGTATTGAGTATTACCCAAACCAAAAACAGTGAAACGAATGTTCTTGAAGGCATTTTCTTCTTAGTGATTTTTAATCCACTCAAAGAATTCTTTGGCATTATCAGTAGGATCACCTTCTCCATGGGTGGCCATGCATAATATGACTAAATTATCTCCTTAAGTGAAAAACTCTTTTTTAAAGTCTTTCAAATCTTCAACACTGGGTTCAAAATCATTATCTAAAGCTTCTTAAGAGAGAATGTTGCAAAACTTATTTGCAGTACCGCTTTGAGAACCGAAGAACAAAGTAACTTTACCATAAGTTATGGTACTTTCCTTTTTTTTGGTCAAAACTTTTTGTTCAACCTTAACTCTTTTTATGAAACATAAAATTAGATTAAATTTTTCATTTTTTAGATGACTTTCAAGTCTCAAAAAAAAAAATCTTCATTTGTGAGCTTAAAAATTTAAAAAAAGTAAGATAAAGTTAAATACTCTTCAACAATTGCGTCCTTCTTCAAAAATTTGAAGACCAAGGCTACTATAAAAATAGCTATGCCTGCTACTATAAGAATGGTTTCTGTGTCCATAAGAAAAAACTCTTTTCTAATTTATTAATTTTCTATGTTGTACTAATTTCAAATAAAATATGCGAATTTTGGCTGATAAAATTAATTACAAAATTTTTAGTTTAGCATTTAAAGAAATTTTAATAATGATCAATTCTATCTTAGATAATTTTTAAACCACTAAATTGCATCACTTACCCTGGTTATATATCTTCAAAGTTAAATAAATTGCATCAAAATTAAAAATCAAATACGTAAAGTAAGTGTTAATTTCTTTTACAATAACATAAAGCTTATATTATCATTTTTTTCAACTTTGCTTAATATCTTGCCGAACTATTGATGATTAAAATATACCTATCTTAACTTCTTAAAATTAATATTTAAATTCAAATAAAAAATATCTTACTTTTTAAAATCAGCAGATTACTTAAGTAAAAGAGGCTAGTATTTAATCAAAATTAATAATCTGTTACTTACAAAATAAGAATTACAAAAGAAACTTCTACAGATTTAAAAAACATAAAAATGTTGAAAAATTTAAAGTTTTATATCCAATTATTAGTTTTAATTTAATCCATTTTTTGGTGCTCTTAATCATTTATCAAACAATTTGAACTCAGAATAACAACATAGAATCTAATTTAGCTTTTATATTTTTGCCACAGCTTTGCATTTGAAGTTAAGCTTTTAAAAAACACATTTATTCATTTATTAATTAATAAAACTTCTTATAAATTTATTACATGTGGAGAGATAAATAAATAGATAGAAAAATGTATTTAGAAATATTTCAGGATATCTTTTGAAAAAAGATATTTTTGATTTTTAGTTAAATAAAATTAAAAAGTCATTATTAGATAAACCAACAGATAGATATAAAATTAAGACACATTTATACCCTAACACAAAAGCGTTTATTAAATTATTATTTTTTTAAATAACTGCTTTAAAATGTTTACAAGCTAATGAGATAAGATTTACCGTGAAATGTAAATTCAATATTTATAGAAATTTATGAAGGAGCTTTTACTGTAATATATAAAAAATAATAACTTTTAAATTAGTGGATATTTTAATTTGCATTAGGAGTAAAAGAATTATGTGATTTCTAATAGAATCTATTTTCAATAATTTACTCAAATCTTTATATGATTTATTACATATTTTTTGATATAAGAAATGATAAAAAACGTGACAATTATTAATATTTATATATTCTCAAAATGAAATTTAATTTTGAACTAAAATATTTATATTTAATTGTCTTAATTTAATTTCTCCTTATAGAAATGGTTTCGATCCTAATAATAATAAAGATATATAAAATAATCAATATAATTTTACATTAAAGACATATTTTTACTTAGTTTTTTTTGTTCCAATTTTGTGGTAAAATTATATTCAAGATTTACTGATAAATAATTAAAAACAGAAAAATTTTTCTATTAAAATTTTATGTCTCTTTTTAATTATTTGCATTTTATTTTCTAAATAAAAAGAGTTTATTTACTAAATATATTTTTTTTTAAATTTAATAATTTAAAAATGTTCATTTATTTAAAACTTGATTTCATATTTTAATATTTTGATTGTTGTTTTTTTATTTTACATTTATAAACTGTTGATGTGTGCAATCTAAAAAATAATACATACATAAATAAATAATTAAATAAATTAACCTTAATATTTTTGTCTCTTAAAAAAATTGTAAGCTTATTAAAATCAAAAGAATTTTTAATATAAGTTTTTTAAAATATATTAATTGATTTTTCTAAAATATATTTTTTAGAAAACTTCTGAATGCTATTATAAAATAAAATTAAAAATGTTAATACTTCCTTTTTAAAAATCAGTTAATACCATGAATAAAATTAAATTAAAAAATTACTTTTTGAACAACGACTTTTAAAAGCACAAGAAGAAAAATTTATTTAAGAAAAAAGAAATAATAGTAAGATCATTTCTTTATATTTCTAATTTATTTTTTGAAATGAGTCCATAATAGAATAAGAATGTAAATTAATTAAGATTAAAAAATTAAATGTAAAAAAGTTAAATTTGATTTTAAAAATAATAAAACTTAAACATGATGCTCAGTTTACAATTAATAAATTTAAATAAATTTTATATGCTCTTTCACTTATTTTCATTTAAATTTAGCATTATATTATTCTAATTCATATTTTTTTAATTTCTAAGGTACTTACTATAAGTATCTCTAACTGGTTTTTAGCAAACTTCATACTCGCTAAATGTTTAAGCAGGATTTAGATCATCACTATCTTGCTAGCAATGTGTTATAGTTTAAATGTCTTTTATTGAAGCTTACCCAGGTTATTGAGTATTTAAAACCTACTAATATTCATTTTTAGGTCTTTGTGTTTATTAGAAAAAATGTCTTTCAGTATCGTTGCTTGTTGGTGATAAAAAGGGAATCTATATAGCAAACTAATTTTTTTTTTATCTGCACGAAGGTGATCTATCTCTTAACCAATCAGATTTATCAAAAGATTGTAACTTAAATAATTCAATTAATTTAGGATGAAGGAGATTAATCAACTTTTGATTGAGTTCTGAATTCTACTGGCTCTAATTTATTATGTTGTTATAAGCTTCTTGGGCATCTTCCGCCTTTTAAATTAAAGTCCTTTTATCTTCGTAAAATATTCCTGCGTTGCTAGAGTCATTCTAGTCAGTTTAAATTATTTGATTTGTGTTTTTGTTCACTTTGATGATAGGCTTAGGAATATAATCGAATAATCTCAATTGATTCTCATTTAATAAAAGCTTTTTTAGTTTTTCGAATTCTATCAATTTATTGAGAATGTAGACAATGTCAAGATGATTATACAGTTTTTGTAATCCATAATCAATAACTTCAGATCTCTATTATCTTCTGCATGTGAAAAAAGATAAATAGTAACTAAAGTAATCATAAGACTTAATCCTCAATTATTCAAATGTTTATTTAAAGAATCTTTTCAAATCTCTCTCATTTTCTTTCTATTTTTAAGTAACAGAAAGTCGAGATGATCTTTCAGTAAAATTTAATGATTTTTGTCTAGCTCTAGTAGAATTTTATATTGTTTTTTGTTCATAGTGATTTATATGTTACTCTTCGAAGTCTTTTGATTGCTATTCCTTTTCTTTTGAACCCTCTTAAATTGAATCCTTTTCATAATTAGTATATATACCTCTTTACTCTAGTATTTCTAAATGATCTTTATTATTCTTATTGTTTTCTTCTTCATCTTCCTTGTTTTATTATTTTTATTATTCAAAATCAGAATACTCGAAGCCAAACACTTTATTCATCAGATTGCGCTTATATTATAACTAAGCATATGGCCTGCATATAAAGCACCCAATAGCAAACAAAATATTATAGATACCACCTATCTATGACAATCCTTAAGAAATGGTTAAATATTTTCTAGTGTAATTAATTTATTTATTTGGATCTAGAGACATCTGAAGCAAAAACAATCTATTACCATTTTTAGAAACTACTTATTCTCTATCTGAGCTAAAAGTTAAATCAGTTTCTTCTTGAGTATCTTCCATAACTATTCCTGTGTCAGTGGATATGCTGTTTTGAGCGAAATATAAATTGATTGTCTTTGAAAAACCAGTTCCAGCTATATAGAATACAGACCTACCTATAGGATCAAAAGGGTTATTTAGATCAGTTGTTTTCACATTTTTATCTATAAAATAAACTTAAAAGTAACAATTATTTAGTTTTTTATTAATATAGGCTGGATCTGCGCAGCTATTACCAGAACAAGAACTAACTTCTATCTCAATTTACTAAAAAATTTCAGAGTTGTAAATGCCTTACAATTATAATTATTCATCGAGTGATAAGCAATAGAAATTTTTATAATCTTATTGCAAAAAGTAGTCTTAAGTTTTTTGAATTTAAAAATGATTTTCTGTACATCTTTAAAGTTTAAGATTATTAGTTGTTTACTTTGTCTAATACTTTCCAGTCGTTTAATTTAGCAGTTTTTATTGAATGTTTTACTTGACGGTCAAGGTGTAAACAGAATCATCAATAAACTAATTATAGTATACATCTGTGATTCCAACCATAAAGGAAAAATTATTTGCACTCAGGTTAAACTATTTAGAGTTAGGCATATTTTGAATTTCTTGAATCACTGACACTTAAGAGTGTGAAAAGTAGACTTAAACTATATTCATTATATACAAAATGAGAATGGCGCTTAAACCAAATGTGATGAACCCTCCAAGTTTGGTATTAAAGCTATGTTTCTTATTATACTAGATTCCAATTTGAGTACCAAACAAATCTATATTTTAAAAACTTTAAACAACTTTCATTTATCTTTTAATATTTCTTTCTTATTTCTTTCTAGTTATTTTAATTTATTATTTTATATATTCTTTATATCTCTAAAGGGTCAATAAAAATAATTTAAGCCATTCACTACTAGAATCAAAAATTTATCTTAATTATAAAAATTTGCATAGATAATGGAAGTGTCTTTATTTATAATATAATAGTTACAAATATGTGAACTTCAAGCATAAATTGAAATTCTTCATTCAAAATTTATCTAAAGTGGTTATTTAAGCAAAGAAATAAGTAAATTTAAAATACTTTCATTACTTTCACAAATATTAATGATTATTTTTTCAAAATTTAAAAAAATTGAGATATGTATAAATAGATGCTTACATATTAACTTAATTTAAAGTTAATTCAGTAAATTTTAATTTAAATAAAACATCAAGAATTTAATTAAGCAAGAAAAAAATTTTACAGATATTAAATTCAATTATAGAAATATAAATCTTTCAAGAATAGAAATAAAATAAGAACTTCTTTTCATTAATTTTAATCATCAATTTTAATTTCACTAAAAAGAATAAATTTCATGATTTTCTTTAGATTTTTCTTTCAAAAAATAAACAATATCTTGCTTGAAACGCTACACTTGTCTCCTCAATTTGAATTGTTTTTTTTAAATTCATCATAATATATCTATTTAAAGAACAAAAAAATCAAAAGTAGTTTTTCAAATAATTCTAAAAATCTTTCAATAAATTAGTTAGAAAACTTTCAAGAAAAATTCTATCAGTTATTTGAAGAGTTCTTTCATAAATAATAATTATATTTTTGTCTTTTATTTATTCATAATTTGATAAAAATAATCTTTGATTGAAATTAAAATTAAAAAATAAATTTTATTTCTTTTCTTAATTTATTAGATTCAACCAAATTTATTTTGAATTTTAATTCTTAAAATAATACACTTTCTTATTTGATTTTAATAAAAATTAAAAATAAGAGACTAATATTTAAAAAATATATATTTAACGCAATCCTCGTAAATTAACCCTACCCCAACTCATCCAAAGATTATAAATGTGTCATAAAAATAAAAACTAATATTTAATGTATTCTAAAATAAAAAACATTCTTATCTATGAAAACTGGCAGTAAATATATTTACAGTCAGTTAATTTTTTAAATAATTCTAAAATACTGATAGAAATTATGAAAAAGTTTTATAAAAATTCTAAATTTTTAATCATCAATTAAAGAACTTAAATATATTTATAAATTATCAATTCATTATTTATTACATTTAATGTTGATTTTTTAAATTTAAATTTGTATAAAATTTGCTTAAAATAAAGAAAAATTCTTTCGTCAATGTTGTCATTTGAGATCACCACTTAAAAACTTATTTTACAATTGCATAATAAACTATTTAAAATCATGGCTTTTCAAAAAAAACTTAAAAATTATTTTATATTTTAATATTTTTTTTCTTTTGATAATAAAATAGAATTTCCATATAAACATAAAAAAGATAAACATTAAACTAAAAATTATCAGTTCTTTACAATCATAGTTTCTGTTTAAGGTATTTACTATATTTAGTGAAAACATCTTGATTTTCATTTTAACACTAATATTCTTCTTGCATCTCTTCTTAAACTTATATTTAAGATTATGTTTCTGAATAATTTTTTAAAACAAAAGTTTAATTATTTGATTTAGAGAGTTATAAAGGACTTTAGATCTAAATCTATTACTCAGTAAAATAGCTTTTACTATCTTGCATCAAATACTGTTGATATATGTTTCTCTCTTAGCAATAAGAATCTTGCTTTATAGGACTTTTAATATTTAACTTTGAGTTTCTTTACTTGATTAGATATTTTCTATTTTCTAATTTTCTCTATTTATCAAACTATTGCTATTTAAAAAGCTCTATCAATTTAGGATGAATTAAACTAATTAATTTTTCATCAATCTATTATCTTTTTTAATCTGAATTAAAAATGTTATTATATGCCTCTTAAGCATCCTCTGCTTTCTCCATTTGAGATCTATTATCTTCAAAAAAAATATCAATACTGTTACTTGAACCATTCTAAGTTATTATATCACCTGTTAATTTATTTACTTTGATAATAGGTTTAGGGATATAATCAAATAACTTTAACTGATCTTCATTTAGAAGAAGTCTTTTAAGTTTCTCAAATTCGATTAATTTATTTATAATTTAAACTATATCGATATGTTTGTACAACTTTTACATTCCATATTCTATTGCATAGGAACTTTTAGCCTTCTTACATATTACAAAGCCCAGAATATACTTTAAATAATCAAATGTTTTAATTTTCATTTCTTCAAAAGTCTATTCAAAGAATTTTTTGAGGTTTTTTTCATCTTTATTTGTACTCTCTTTTGGCTATTTTAAAATCACATTCAAATTTTACTTTTGCTGTGGCTAAGTGCTTTTACTATTTAATATTTAATTATTGCTACAATTTTAGCTCTCAATATCTAAATTAATTCGCTTTTATTGGAGTTATGCTTTATTGCCTCTAACATTATAATTGTTTAAATCAATATTCTAATCTAAAGTTTGCTCTTTTAGTCTTTTTTCTATGTTATCTTCAATTTATTATGATTACTGTTCAGGGATAGAGTACTAGAAACCGAATACTTTGTTTATCAAATTACGTTTATATTACAATTAAGAATATGGCCTACATATAAAGCAACCTAGTGCAAACAGAATGTTGTAAATTCCTCCAATTTATGAAAGGACCTGAGAAAAAGTTAAATACTTTCTTGAATATAATATTTCTCTGTAAGGATCAAGTGAAATTTAAAGTAAAAACAATCTGTTTCCATATTTTTACACAACTTATTCTCTATCAGTGCTATAAGTTAGTTCTACTTTTGTTTAAATGTCTTCAAACACTATTCCATTATCTGAAGAAATCTAATTCTAAGCAAAATATAAGTTTATTGTTTTTGAAAAATCTTTTCCAGCTAAGTAAAAGACAGATCTACCTATAGGATAAAAAGGGTTTTTAAAATCAGTTGTGACCACATTTTTATCAACAAAATATATTTAGAAATAACAATTATTTAATTTGTTAGAAATATATTAAGGATCTGCACAATTATTTCCTTAACATGAAGAAACTTCTATCTCAATTTATTGAAAGATCTATGAATTGTATATACCCTAAAGTTGTAATTATTCGTCTTAACTTAAGCAATAAAAATTATTATAATCCTATTATAAAAAGAAGTCATTTGTTTATTATATTTTGAAATGCTCTGCTGTACATCTTTACAGCTTAATTAATCTATATTCTTATGCTCTTTCATAGATCCCTGTATTATGGTTAAGTATTTTTTGTTATGTAAATTACTTAATGGTTAAAGTATAAACCGATTCATCAATAAATTGAGTGAAATTGACATCTGTGATTCCAACCATAAACGAGAAATTGTTAATAGTTAGATTGAATTAGTTGGAATTCGGCAAATTTTGTATTTCTTAAATAACTTGTACTTAAGAGTGGGAAATAAAGACATTAATAATATTTACAATATACATAATTAGAATACCACTTAAACTTAATGTAATTATTCCTCCAAAACCAGTGTTAAAAGCAGTTTTTTTGTTATATTTAATATGAATTTGAGCTCCAAATATATCAAAAGCCTCCAAAAAAATATTTGACAGTGTATTCATTTTTAATTATATTTTTATTTTTGTTTATATTACAGATTAGTATTAGCTTTTTAAATAAATTTTTTTAATTGCTAAAGATTATTTTATTGGTAGTACTATTAAATTATTTCATAAATTTTAAAAAAATAAGTATGAATATTTTCATTTACTCGTGAAGTAATGCTATAATTTAAAATATTAGATACAACAATAGAAAATAGATATTTAAGCAATAGCCTATCAAATTATTTAAAATACTTATTCAATTATAAATATTCTATTGAATGAATATCAAAAGCAAAGAAATGGTAAAAAATTGAATCAGTAAGAAATTAATTAATTTTAAGATAATCAATAACTAAAATTTATCCACAAAAATTAGTAACCAAACAAAGGAAATAAAATGACAATCAAACTGAACTAGAACCCTAGTAACTGAAAACTATTCATCAAAAAGTTAATAGTTTTAAGACAAGATATATATTTGTGTACTATAATAAAGTGATATAAACCATATTCTCCATATTATTTTAGTATTTTTAAATTTTAATGTTGTATTTTGTAGAATACTAAATTAATAATTACTTTTAAATTTCTTAATCAAAAAAAGAAATCTTTTGCAATTTTTAAATACTGAGAAATTTAAATGTTTGTTTTAGATGACTTGATTCATGCGGATTACAGTAAAGATGATAGGAATTCGAAATTAAAAGTTGTGTAAATACTATTTGATAATTTATTATATTTTTATAAATAATAAATTTCATTTTATTACATTAAAAATAGTAATTCATATAATAAAAAATTTAAAGTTTTTAATTATTTTAGATTTATTTTATTTTTTGAATAATATTTTAAATTAAGAGGATATTTTTATATTTTATAAAATATTTCAAAAATTTATCTTATTTAGATAGTTTCTCAGTGTTTAACAGAATTAAATTACATTTTTTGCATATGTACATTTTTTAAATTAAATTAAAGCATGTTTAATGTTACACACAAATTTTTTGCTTAATAAAATTTATTTATGTAATTTATTTCAATTATTCATTATGTTTGATATTACTAAAATATAAATATCAGTTTTTAATCATTATTTTTATCATTAATTTTTTATTCAATATCATAAAATACCTCCTTCTTTGTAACTTGTAACTTAAAAGTTAAACTAATGAATTATTTCAATATATGTTTTCAAAAAAAATATATTTTTAGTTTACTTCATAATATTTAATAGAAAAGTGCCCTCTAGCAATCATTTTTTAGGACTTAATATTTTCTTCATTCATAAATTTTTAATTTTTAATATTTTTAATGTTGTTTTATTTATTTTCTGTTGGTGTATGCAATTGAAAATATAATACATAAATAAATATTAAAATAAATTAACCTTAATATTTTTGTCTTTTCAAAAATTGTAAGCTAATTTTAATCAAAAAGGATTTTTAATTTAAGTATTTGAAATTATTTAATTTATTTTTCTAAAATTTATTTATTAAAAAGCCACTTACAAATAGTGAAAAGAATAAAATTAAAAATAATAATACTTCCTTTTTTAAAATAAAAAAATACCATGAGCTAAAATTAGTTTTTAAAATTAAACACTTTTAACAATTCACAAAGAAAAGTTTATTTAATAAAAGTAAAATAGTAAGATCATTTCTTCATATTTCTAATTTGTTTTTGAAATGAGACCACAATATATATAATAATTTAAATTAATTAAGATTAAAATATTTAATGTAAAAAAGTAAATTTAATTTGAATAAAAAATAAAATTCAAACATAATGTTCGCTTACAATTAACAGATTTAAATGATTTTTATATGTGATTGCTTTCACTAATTTTCATTTAAATTTAATGTTCTTTTATTCTAAATCATTTTTTCTTAATTTCTAAGGTACTTACTGTAGGTATCTATAACTGGTATTTAGTAAATTTCATACTCGTTATCACCATTCAAATCATTAGTATCTTGCTAGCAAGGTGTTATTGTTTAAATGTCTTTTATTTAAGCTCGTCCAGGTTAGAGTGTATTTAAAACCTACGAATATTCATTTTTACATCTTTGAGTAGAATGGAAAAAATTCCTATCAGTATCGTAGCTTGTTATCATAAACTAACTTTTTTTAAATCTAGAATAAGGTGATTTATCCTTTAAAAAATCAGATCTATCAAAAGATTGTAACTTAAATAATTCAATTAATTTAGGGTGAAGGAGATTAATCAACTTTTGATTGAGTTCTGTATTCTACTAGCTCTAATTAATGATATTATTATAAGCTTCTTGGGCATCTTCTGCTTTTTATATCAAAGTCCTTTTATCTTCGTAAAATATTCCTGCATTGCTAGAATCATTCTAGTCAGTCTAAATTATTTGATTTGTATTTTTGTTTACTTTGATGATAGGCTTAGGAATATAATCGAATAATCTCAATTGATTCTCATTTAATAAAAGTTTTTTTAGTTTTTCGAACTCTATCAATTTATTGAGAATGTAGACAATGTCAAGATGATTATACAGTTTTTGTAATCCATAATCAATAACTTCAGATCTCTTTTATCTTCTGCATGTGAAAAAAGATAAATAGTAGCCAAAGTAATCACAAGACTTAATTCTCAACTATTCAAATGTTTATTTAAAGAATCTTTTCAAATCTTTATCATTTTCTTTCTATTTTTAATTTATACTAAGTCTGGCATATTTTTCTGTGAAATTTAATGATTTTTGTCTATTCCTTGCAGAATTTTACATTGTTTTTTATTCATTCTGATTTGTATGTTACTCTTCTAAGTCCGTTAATTGTTATACCTTATCCTTTATACCAACTTAAATCGAATCCTTTTCATAATTAGTATATATACCTCTTTACTCTAGCGTTTCTAAAACATCTTTATTGTTCTTATTGTTTTCTCCTTCTTCCTTGTTTTATTGTTTTTATTATTCAAAGTCAGAATACTCGAAGCCAAACACTTTATTCATTAGATTGCGCTTATATTATAGTTAAGCATATGGCATGCATATAAAACATCCAATAGCAAACAAAATATTGTAGATACCACCTATCTATGACAACCCTTAAGAAATGGTTAAGTATTTTCTAGTGTACTTAATTTATTTATTTGGATCTAGAGACATCTGTAGCAAAAACAGTCTGTTACCATTTTAAGAAACAACTTATTCTCTATCTGAGCTAAAGGTTAAATCAGTTTATTCTTGAGTGTCTTCCATAACTATTCCTGTATCAGTAGATATAATATTTTGGGCAAAATATAAATTGATTGTCTTCGAAAAACCAGTTCCAGCAATATAGAATACAGACCTACCTATAGGATCAAAAGGGTTATTTAGATCAGTTGTTTTCACATTTTTATTTATAAAATAGACTTAAAAGTAACAATTATTTAGCTTTTTACTAATATAGGTTGGGTCTGCACAATTATTTCCTGAACATGAACGAACTTCTATCTCAATTTGCTTAAAAATTTCTGAGTTATAAATGCCTTACAACTATAATTACTCATCTAGAGATAAGCAAAAGAAATTTGTATAGTCTTATTGCAAAAAGAAATCTTAAGTTGATTAAATTTAAAAATGATTTTCTGTACATCTTTAAAGCTTAAGATTATTAGTTTTTTACTATGTATAATACTTTCCAGTTGTTTAATTTAGCAGTTTTTATTGAATGTTTTACTTGACGGTCAAGGTGTAAACAGAATCATCGATAAACTAATTATAGTACACATCAGTGACTCCAACCATAAAGGAAAAATTATTTGCGCTTAGGTTAAACTGTTTAGAGTTAGGAATATTTTGGATTTCTTGAATCACTGATACTTAAGAATGTGAAAAATAGACTTAAACTATATTCGCTATATACAAAATGAGAATGGCACTTAGACCAAATGTGATGAATCCTCCAAGCTTTGTATTAAAACTATGTCTCTTATTATACTGGATTCCTATTTGAGTACCGAACAGATCTATATTTTAAAAATTTTAAAGTACTTTCATATATTTTCTAATATCTCTTTCTTATTTATTTTTAATTTCTTACTTTATATATTTTAATATAAATAATTTAAGCTAATTTCTGCAAGAAGACTTGAAAAAATCAAAAAATTTGCTTTAATTATAAAGTAACGAAGATTTAAACTAAGTATATTTATTTAAAATAATAGACTTAAAAATGTGTGGACTTCAAAAATAAATAAATTATATTCTTTCATTTGAAACTTATCTATGGTACTTTAAGCAAAATAATAAGTAAATTTTAAATACTTTCATTATTTCCACAAAACAAATGATTGATTGTTCAAAAATTAAAAAAAATTGACTTAATTGATATTGGCTTAAATTTTAAATTAATTTAAAGTAAGGCCAGTAAATTTTAATTTAAACATAACATCAATAATTCTGTTTGACAAAAAGAAAATGAAATTTACAGATAATAAATTCAACAAATGAAATTTAAATCTGTTAATAACTAAGGAGTATTTATATATAAATTTTAATTGTTAGTTTTATTTTTTGTAAAAAGTTTCAAATTCTAGAGCTTGATAAATCTTTCTATTAAAAAATATCCACTAAATTCCTCATAATAATATGCTTGGCTATTGAATTTGAATTCTATTTTTCAATATTCATCTTATAAATTTTTTCTTAGAACAAAAAAATTAAAACATGTTTTCTAAACATTTTTTAATAATTTGTTAGAAAATATTTCAGTAAACATTCTATCGGTTATTTCAAAAGTTATTTCTTAAATAACCTATAAATTTGTTGTCTTTTATTCATAATTTGATAAAAAATATGAAATTTAAATTTAAAAAAATAAATTTTATTTCTTTTCTTTATTTTTATTAATTTGTCAAATTAACTAAATTTATTTTCATAAAAAAAGAAAAAGGAAGGAAGAAAAATAAATATTACACTTAATTGTTTTTTATTCTAATCAAAATTTAAATTAAAAAGAAAATCTTAAAAAAAATAATTACAGTAAATCCGCATAAATTAATGCTTTCCCCACCCAAATTTATCCAAAAATAAAATGGGTTTTTTCTTAATTTTTAATCGTCAATAAAAAATTTAAATAAATGTAAGAAATATAAAAATTATGATATGATTATTTATTTATGTAATGCTAAATATTTATATTATTTAATTTTGAATAAAATTTTTTGGTGATTAAATAAAATTCCTTCATTTAAATAGTAATTTTGAGGTCATTAATTACTTAATAAAATTTTCATTATTAATTATATGGTTTTTCTAAAAATAAATTAAAATTTTATGATTTTTTAATATTTTTTTATATTAAAATATAATTTCCATTTAAATACAAATTAGATAAACATTAAACTAAAAATTATCAGCATTTTGGCTCTTTAGTTTCATAGTTTCTGTTTAAGATATTTACTATATTTAGTGAACACATCTTGGTTTTCATTTTAACTCTAATATTCTTCTTGCATCTCTTCTTAAACTGATATTTAAGATTTTATTTCTGAAGAACTTTTTAATACAAATACTTAATTATTTGATTTTGATAATTACAAAGGACTTTAGATCTAAATCTATTACTCTGTCAAATAATTTTAGCTATCTTACATCAAATATTGCTGATATATGTTTCGCTCTAAAAAATAAGAAGCTTACTTTATTGGACTTTAAATATTTAACTTTGAGTTTCTTTACTTCATTAAATATTTTCTATTTTCTATTTTTTTTTATTTATCAAACTATTACTATTTAAAAAGCTCAATCAATTTAGGATGAAGTAAACTTATTAATTTTTCATCGAGCTATTATTTTTTTTAATCAGAATTAAAAATGTTATTATATGCCTCTTAAGCATCCTCTGCTTTCTAAATTTGAGATCTATTGACTTCAAAAAAAATATCAATACTATCTTTTGAATTATTCTAAGTTATTATCTAACCTGTCAATTTATTTACTTTGATAATCGGTTTAGGGATATAATCAAATAATTTTAATTAATTTTCATTTAGAAGAAGTCTTTTGAGTTTCTCAAACTCTATTAATTTATTTATAATTTAAACTATATCGATATGTTTGTACAACTTTTACATTCCATATTCAATTGCATAGGAACTTTTAGCCTTCTTACAAATTATAAAGCCCAGATAATACTTTAAATAATCAAATGATTTGGTTTTCATTTCTTCAAAAGTTTATTCAAAGAATTTTTTGAGGTTTTTTTCATCTTTATTTGTACTTTCTTTTTGCTATTTTAAAATCACATTCAAATTTTAGTTTTTCTGTGATTAAGTGTTTTTACTATATAATATTTAATTATTGCTACAATTTTAGCTATCAATATCTAAATTAATTCGCTTTTATTGGAGTTATGTTTAATTACCTCCAACATTATAATTATTTAAATCAGTATTCTAATCCAAATTTTACTCTTTTAATATTTTTTCTTTGTTATTTCCAATTTAATCTGATTACTCTTCAGGTAGAGAATACTAGAAACCGAATAATTAGTTTATTAAACTACGTTTATATTACAATTAAGAATATGGCCTACATATAAAGCAACCTAGCGCAAATAGAATATTGTAAATTCCTCCAATTTATGAAAGGACTTGAGAAAAAGTTAAATATTTTCTTGAGTACAATATTTCTCTATTAGGATCAAGCGAAATTTAAAGCAAAAACAATCTGTTTCCATATTTTTACACTACTTATTCTCTATCAATGCTGTAAGTTAGTTCTACTTTTGTTTTAATGTCTTCAAATACTATTCCCTTATCAGAAGACATTTAATTCTAAGCAAAATATAAGTTTATTGTTTTCGAAAAATCCTTTCCAGCTATGTAAAATACTGATCTACCAATAGGATGAAAAGGGTTTTTAAGATCAGTTGTGACCACATTTTTATCAACAAAATATATTTATAAATAACAATTATTTAATTTGCTAGAAATATATTAAGGATCTGCACAATTATTTCCTTAACATGAAGAAACTTCTATTTCAATTTATTGAAAGATCTATGAATTGAATATACCCTAAAGTTGTAATTGTTCATCTAGACTTAAGCAATAAAAGTTATTATAATCTTATTATAAAAAGAAGTCATTTGTTTACTATATTTTGAAATGTTCTGTTGTACATCTTTACAGCTTAATTAATCTATATTCTTATGTTTTATCATAAGTTCCTGTATTCTGGTTAAGTATTCTTTGTTATGTAAATTACTTAATGGTTAAAGTATAAACGGATTCATCAATAAATTGAGTGAAATTGACATCTGTAATTCCAACCATAAAGGAGAAATTGTTAACAGTTAGATTGAACTAATTGGAATTAGGCAAATTTTGTATTTCTTAAATAACTTACACTTATGAGTGAGAAATATAGACATTTATAATATTTACAATATACATAATTAGAATACCACTTAAGCAGAATGTAATTATACCTCCAAACCTAGTGTTAAAGGCCGTTTTTTTGTTATATTTAATATGAATATGAGCTCCAAATATATCAAAAGCCTCAAATAAACTATTTGATTTCTAATTCATTTTTAACTGTATTTTTTATGTTTGTTTATTTTATAGATTAGTATTTATTTTTATTTTAATAAATTTTTTATTGATAATGATTATTTTATCAATAGTCCTTCCTTTAAATTGCATTTGCTAGCTTAAAAATACTATTAAAAATTCGATACTTCAATAGAAAATAAATTTAAATAATAGTCTATCAAATGACTTAAAATTCTAAATGAATTATAAATAAATATTCTATTGTGTGAATATCAAAAGCAAAGAAGTGGTAAAAAATTGAATCAGTAAGAAATTAATTAATTTTAAGAAAATCAATAACTAAAATTTATCTGTCCACAAAAGTTAGTAACCAAGAAATAGAAAGAATATTACATTCAAACTAAACTAGAACCCTAGTAACTTAAAATAAGTAACCAAAAATTTAATACTTTTATTACAAGATATATCTTTATGTACTATAATAAAGAGATATTAACGATACTCTCCATAAAATGTAATTTTAGTATTTGTAAATTTCATTTTGTATTTTGTAGATTTTTAAATTAATAATTACTTTTAAAAATCTTAATCAGATAAAGATTATTATCATCACAAATTTTAAATACTGAGAAAATTTAAACATTTGCTTTAGATTAGTTGATTCAAGCGAATTAATACTTTAAATTAGTGTAGATGAGGTTTTCCAAATTTAAAGTTGATTTTTTAGTAATTTATTGTATTTTTTATAAATATTAAATTTAATCTTTTATATTAAAAATATAATTAATTTAATCAGAAAAATGAGGCTTTTAATTATTTAAATTGATTTTATATTAATATTTTTTTTAATAATATTTTGGATTTTGTGGATAGATGATTATTTTATAAAATGTTTCAAAAGTTCTTCTAATAGTAAGAGTTTCTCAGTATTTAACAGAATTAAATTACATTTTTGCATGTAAATTTTGTAAATTAAATTAATTAATTAAAGCTTGCTTTATGTTCACACAAATTTTTGTTTCATATAATTTTTTTGCATATGAGTTGTTTTCCAATTATTTATTATTATTGATATTTAAATAATATAAAATTATGAGTTTTAATTACTTATTAGTAGTAATTTTATAATATATTATATAGTTGATATCATATAAAAAGCCTCCTCCTATGTATAATTTATAGTTTAAAAGTTAAATCAATAAATTATTTCACTCAAGGTTTAGAAAAAAAATATATTTTTGGCTTACTTCTTAATTGAATTATAGTTATAATCGAAAAGAAGATTTAATGTTATAAAAATATTATAAGCTTATTATATTTGAAATTCAAGAAAAAGAAATAAATCTATTTTAACTTCTTTATTAAATTCAACTATGATACAAACAAATTAAAAAAAAATAAAAATTCATTTTATAATTTTTAACAAGAAAAATATTAATAAGTTAAAAAATTCGCTTTAAAAGCTAATTTATTTATTTTTTCACATAACTAAAGTACTTAAATTTTTATGAAAAACATAAAACAATAAATATATTTTTTATTCTAAAAATTATTAATGAAAAATTAGTAAGTATTTTGTATATAATATAATAATAATTAACTAGCAATAAAGTAAGTATGAAAGGAAGTTAATAACAAAGATTTTAAAAGGTTTCATATTACAAAGCTTTAACAAATTAAACAAAAATTTTCTTGAATGCATTTAGGAAATATAAACTAATTTTTTATTTATAAGAATTGATGATAAATGAAATTATTTTAAATGTGGAAGAAAGAGGGTTTCTAATATTTGTCTCACTTAAATATAGGAGAATACTAATTGGTTAGCTTAAATAAAGTTAAATAATTTATAAAATATCTTAGATCTTAGTTTATTTAATTAATTTAATATAAAATAAATCTGATTCAAATTTTAAAATTAATTTTATTTTATATTTATTAAATTTCTAATTTTGATCAAAATTGAATTTTATTAGGCCTTGCAGCTAGGTGTCTTTTTTGAGAAATTGCATTAAATTCAATAAAATTTTATTTATAAATAAAACACTTTTAAAAAAAATATTGATAATTTATAGTAAGATTTTTAAATGGCATTTTGCTTACAATGTTATAAAATAAAACTATCTCAAATATTGAATGAATAATTTAACTTCATGCTTTAATTTTATATTTCTAGAATTAGGATGTGTTTTTGTTTTCAGTAAAATTATTTGCTTTTAAAGATTTTTAATATTTGTTTTTTCTTTGCACATTCCGTAAAACAAATTTTCTATTCACTTTGAGATTTTCTATGTTATTATGTGGAAAATAAATTTTATACGATTTTGCAGATTCTATGCATAAGGATGAAGAACCTTCAGATTAAATGAAATTATATTATTACAACCTTTGAAAATATTTATCTTACTCTTAGTTTTAGTTGAGATAAAAATTTTAAGCATATTATATTATTTCTTATGGTAAATTATTTTATAAAGTCAAAGTTTGACTCGAATTTGTCTTCAAAAAAGTAGGTCTCGTTTAATTTTAATTTTCTTAATATATTTATGAATCTACACTATTTAGATTTTTAGACTACTGCTGAGTCATTTAAAAAATCCTTAGTATTGAAGGCCTTTAAAGAATGCTTAATCGAGACCTTTCTGTCTTATTTTCTTAGTTTTAAATTATTAATTTACTTTCCAAAATTTAATCATTCTGCTGAGTAGATTTCCTATCAATACTAATATCTAATTAACTATCAGTATTTCTTGGTGAATTTAATTATTTATCATCTGTATCAGAATTTTTGATGCTTCTATTGATATCATTTTTTTAAATAGGGCTACTATTTATGCTTTGCTGTGATGCTAGTGCCTATCCCTAAGATTGGCTTTTATTATTTTAACTTAATTAAGAAACCAAGACCTAAGCTTATGATTATCTTTGTTGTTTTTAATCAACAAATGAGATTGTTCTACTTCTACTTTACTCAGAACTTTAAACGTTATCAGTGTTTTCATACTCATCTTACAAAAATGATTCCTCGTCAAAACTGCTATTTTTTTAGATTTCCTCTACAATTTATTTATTTTCATTTAGTCTCTGTAAAGTGTTATGTTTCTTCTATTATTTCCTCTAAATTTCTTTTATCAATTTATCTTCTTCTTAAACATATTTACTTATAACTTTAAGTTAATTAGGCTGATATGAAATAAATCTGCATCTGTTTATTAAATGACCTTAGGTTCTGCAAGAAATGCATTACTAGCTGATTACACCATACATTTAATATAAATTTAATTAATCTTTTAGAGAATAATAAACTTCTTTATCATCAGGAAACTCATCAAGCAATTGTAGAAAATCATCAAGTTCTAAATAGAGTAAAGTTGAAATTCTTTATTAAATATTTAAAATTTAACATTTCTAAAAATATTTTTTTTAATTTTTTAAATATAAAATGATTGAAAAGGAATAAATGATTGAATGAATGAATATATGCACTAAATAAATTATGTTTTCAAATTTATTTATTATTTTTTAGTTTAATTAAATTAAAAAATTTTTTCTGGTTGATCGAAATAATTTTTTTTAAAATTGAATTTATATCTTATTATATATGAATTGATAATTTATTTATTCTAAAAATAAAAATAAAATATCATCATTCATTCGTATTAGAAGTTGTTGGATTGATTTTCAAATAATGTCTAATAAAAATTACCCTATTGAGTTAACTGAATGCAAACTTTAAAGATTTTGAGTAAAAAATTCATACTAACCAAAGTATTAATATTTTTTTAGCTTTTAGAATTTATTATCAGTTTGAGAATATTTTTATTTAACTTCAAGAGAAACCTTTCCTTTCATCACTATTTGTAAAGTTGGTTGCCTTAGTTCGAATTGATCAATTATAGTTTCTCCAGAGCCATAACTTTTTTCTTTAAACAGCAAGGAAACTCTTTCAAGAAATTTAGTTGAGAAGTTTTATCTCAAACAAGGTATTTCTTTTAAGTATCTCATATGTACCTCCTTTTTAATTAGATTCTTAAGATTAGAAGACAAGTTTTCAAGAACTGAAACTGAAGTTTAATTCTTACTAAAATTTTCACAGAATGCGTACTCCAAATATTTTCTAGCTTAACTTTGAAGAGAACTTGTCACTTACATCTCTTTCATATATTTGTTAATATTTGCTGTTTAAATCCTGTATTGTTACTTTCTTTGGTTTATTTCTTATATCAAAGCTCCTATCTAATTCAAGGCATAACCAAAATTTACACAGGAAAGAAATGCCATGAAGACTATAAACAGTTTTTCTAAATAATGAATTGGAGTTATATCTCCATAACCAATTGTTATAATTGTAACTATTGCAAAATAAATTGAGTTTACATAATAAACTTATTCACTCGTCTCTTTAACCTTAAAATTTTATATCCATGATTTCTCTTATAAGTCTCTATCTACGTAAACTCCTATTTTATACCACATACATGCAAAAACATGCATCAAATATAAGATTTGTATTAGCAAAAGTGTAAGATTAGTGAATTAAGCATATTTATCATCAATTTAAAAATACTCTCTTATTTTATCTGAAAGCCTTGATAAATGTTTGATTTTTATTAGATAAGCTATCCTAAATATTTAAAAATTAAAAGGATTTTTCCAATATAGGCAAATCAATGATATCAATTCTACGTATATTTATTCCTTTAAGTAATTCTTTAGAATCTACCATCTTCCTTTTTGTATTTCTCCTATTTATAAATAAAAATGTTTAATTTACATTAATTCTAAAATTATTCTTCTTTTTCAATTTTTTAAATTAATTATGTTTAATAAAAAATTTTATCTTTATTTTTTTAGTAGAAATAAAGTTCATAGTTTAATTTATTTTTATTAAATTGCATTGATTTGATCTTAAAACTAATTAGATTTCAAATCGAAGAAATTATAATAGATTTATTTACTCATAAATTTTATTTTACCAAATTAAAACAAACGAATTTTTTTACTAGATTATGATGATGTTATTTAATTTCAGTTTTACCTTTGTAATAAAAGCTGGTGTTCAGTTATATAAAAAAGTCACTTATTATAATAACATAGTTTGAGAGGTTAAAGTAAGGAGAATTTGTGAAAGAAAATGATATTTCGTAAGGTATACTCATTAAATTAAGAATAATATGAATGATTATTATAAAGTCCCAGAAAATTAATAGGGGATGGAATGGCTCAAAGACTTTTATCGTGGAAACACAATACTAGAATTTTAATAAACAGTTAACAATTGGTTTATAAAAGCATTTCATCTATTTCTTAAATTTGAGGAACATTTTATGAATTTTTTTAACAAAGTTGGATCTTTTTGTGGGTGTACTATATTCCTTTTTAAGTGATCTGTTCTGAACAATGTTGAAAGCAGCTTTATCATTCAAAGCCTAAGTATGCTGCTTCTGAAGCATGTAAGGTCTTGTATAAACTAAGGATTTTTTCATGTTAAATAAAAATTTGTTTACAAGTAGAAGAATTTTAAAAAATTTATATCTCCATAGCTGCTTAGAGAGTGTTTAATTGTGTATTTTTTATTTTTTTTAAAGATTCTTCTGCTTCATCTCAACATTTTCATAATCTACAATGTGTTCGTATTAAAATTTCAATAGATTCTGAAATATTTGATTGGAATTCATTCCACTTTATTGCGTTCTATAACTATCTATTAATTTTGGTGTGAGACTTTATGATTATTCATCTAAAATAGAGCTTTATTATTTTTGTGCTAAATTTGTGGGTTCATCCTTTATTGGTTCTTCTTCTTTTATGCTAGTGAGTAGAGTTAATTATAATTTATTATCAATATTTAACTAGCTTTTTAGTAATTCCTGATTGAAAGAAAAGTCTACTTTTTTGTTACCTTTCTAATCATTTTCAAATATTTAATTATGGCTACGAGCGCTTTGGTCTTAAAAATGAAGACTATTCCCAGCAAACTCATCTTCCTCAACATTATCTTACTCCTCTCCTAAACAAGGTTTTTAATTCATAAGAAATATCATTTTATTATCACTTCTAGAAGTGATTAAACTATTAAAGCTAAGTTCTTAGCAATTCATATGCTTTTAATTACTTAACTCTACTTTGTTTTTTTAAATCAAAATATCATACAAAAAATTAATATACAGTAAAATGCTAAAGAATAATATGCTATAATAAGCTTTAACAAAAACTTACATGCATTTAAATGAATTAACTTGTAACTAAGACCAAACAAAAGTTTTAAATGATTATATTCTTGCATCGACCAACCAACAAATATAATTTTTAATATTAATTCAATTATATAAAAGCAATTTATTCATTTATATTATTATTATTATTATTAATGAAAATAAAAAGAAAAAGCAACTAAGAAATCCACTAAACTTTCAAAAATTTTATTTTTTTACAATTAAATTCAATTAGAAAATATTTTATGAAAAAATCAATGATTATTATATTTATTTAAAATTTATCAAATATTTTTAACGTGCTCTTTTTATTTATTTCCTCTTCCTCCTTATAAGATCGCTTAAATATATTATTACCAGCTAATTAATAATTTGTCAAACTAAAATAAGTATATCAATCTAATAACTTTTTAAAAATTTTACTCAGATATGTTAAACATAATTGTTTAATTATTTTTAACAGATTTAATTAACGTATCACAATGTATTCATTAAATTTTTAATTTTAATTTTCAGTAAAAAAATTCAGTTAATCTTTTTTTAAAGTATAAAAGTAAGATATTTATTATTTTTATTTTATACATTTTTAATTTTGATCTGCATCATATCTTTTTTCTGATATCATATAAATAACTACTAATATTAATTAATTTTTGTTCCATTTTTAAAAATAATTGTTTCTATAAAAATAAATCTAATACTTTTGTGAAAATTATAAAATATTTATTTAATAAAGTGAATTATTTAAGAAATTTAACTTTAAAATAAAATTAAAAAATATTTTTTATGAGTAGTTAAATTTTATCTTTATAATGTAAAATAATTTGAAGAATATTAGCTGTATTTTCTTTTTTAGGTAGAGCGTTATCATGTTTAACAAAATCGAATTAAAGATATTCAAGCTACAAAATATTTTTTTTTAATTTAAAATGAATTAACTGAGAATTACTCATAATAGTAGAATATTAATTATAAAATTTAAATATTCCACTTAAATATGTAGTGAAATATTATTTTTATCTTAAGATATAATATTCCTTTTAATATTTGGTTTATTTTTTTACTCCAAGATCATTTAGTTTTTAACATTAATTATTCCTTAAAAATAATCATTCTAAATTATAATAGATAGCTATTTAAGATCAAAATCGCCTTTATTAGAAAAGCTAACATAAATATCGTGAAGAATTATTTTGGTTATATGCTAATAATAAATTTTAACATAAAGCAAAGAAGCAATTTTTTTCATCAAATGAAAAATTAAATAAACAAAGCTAAATTTTTTTATTATTCTTTTTAATAGAAATAAAAAAAAAGTATTTTTAATTTTTTTTTTTAGGTTAATTCTAATTTTACCTTAAAATTTATTAATTCGGATTGTAAATTTTAGATTATTTATATTTTGAATAATAATTATTATTATGTGGAGTATATTCTTTCTTTTATCATGATTTTTTATATCTTTATTTTTCTATAACACTAAATCTATTTTTATGATTAATTGCTAATCTAATATTTATAAATTAATATTTAGGTCGATACATCAGTGATACTGAAAAATATAAAATAAAAAGCAAACTAAATCAAATATAAATAGACTCAATATTATTTTGCTGGATTCTATTTTCTAATTTATCTAAATTTTAATTAATTTTACATTTTAATAAATTAAGTAAAATTTATTTTGTTTCATAGAAAAAATTTAATGAATTTGTTTTTCTAGTAAAAATAAAATAACATGATATCAGATATTATTAATTTTTTCAGTGTTTTCAGGTTAATGCATATTCACAAAATGTAAACAAATATTTTTATTTAAAAATAAATTTCTAAAAATTATTCAAAGTTCCAACTTAAATTTATTTTGTGAATATAAATATGCAAGATACTAGATTTAATTAAATTTGAGCGAATAATATCTTCTTTTTACAGTACCAACAAATTAATTTTTACAATTACTTTTGGAGTATTTAATGGGTAAAAATTATGCTAAATATTTTTGCTTTATTGGTTATTATTTATAATAAGCTAATTGATACATTCTGAAATGATAAACTAGTGTGATTGTATTTTATTTAGTTTGTTAGTAAAAATTTTGTATATTGAGAATTTAAAATTATGTTGCTAATTAAATAACAAAATATCCAAAAAAAGGGATTTTTTATCTTTAAGAATAGTAACAACTAAAAAACCAAGTAATGTTAATAAAATTTTTAAATGGACTTAGAGATTTCCTTAAATAGTAACATGATGTTTTACTTAAATTATTATTAATTTTACTTAAATTAATTACTTTTAGTACATTCAAAGAAAAGCAAATTGTAAACAAAAAAATTAAGAAGAAAGGAAATATATATAAATAAAATCAAATAAATATTATTCATTCATTCATTTTTACATCAAATGAAGGAACATCTCAATTATTTGCGAAAGATAGACATGTTTGGAAATAGGATAGAGCTCTCCTACTACAAAGAAAAAACTCATAAAACTAAATTTGGAGGATGTCTTACTGTACTATTAGTCCTATTTTCATTCTTGGCCATCTATTATTTTGGTTAAGAGATTGTTAATAAAGGTTCTCCTAACATTAAAATGGAAGAAGATTACTTGGAAGATTTTTTTATCAATTAGTTTTTTTAAAGTCAGCAATCAGATAAATTCATGTTAGCAATTAGAATTTTAGATTATTAATAGCAGGTTGTTTATAACAATTAAATAGAAGTAAGTGCTTTGATTTATAGCATCGAAATTGAAAATTAAAAGGAAGCTAATTAGATGAATGAATAAAAGTACATGAAACATATTAAATTGGATAGGATTTCCTGTTTAGAATACTCTATTTTGTCTTCTGTAACTAACTATGAGGAATTTGATTTTTCAGAACTCCTATGCTACCGAATCTAAGATGGCTAACTTAATGATGTAAATTTGAAATATCTTTATTTGATTTGACAACTCTTTTGTTACACTTAATTCAAACTACAAAAAATTGCATATTTTAAATTATTTTGAAATTAGTTAGTAAATTTCTAATAGAACTAACTAATACTTATTATATTATCTCTATTCGAAATTACACCAATTAATATATAAATCAATCAATAATTTAATAATACAAATCCATTTATTTTTTTTGAAGCAAATGTCCATTCATTTTAAGTATTAACGCTAAATATTTTGCAAAATACAAATAAAAAAGATGATTAAATTCAGAATCCTACAATATTTTTAAAATTGGTTAATGGTACCTAAAAATGTAAAAAAACTCTTAGGATTGATTTATTTGAATTAATTTTCTAAATAAGATGTTTGATAGATCTAACTTGAGAACTAAATGAATCAACGTATTATGAATCTATTACTATAAATGCATTATATTATTCTACTTAGCTGGATCATCCAGTGTAAAATTTTATTAAAAGAATTAATCTAAATGATCTTCTTAATTTATCTATCTCTATCCATCAATAATTAAATCAAAAAACATATCAAATATTATTTATCTATTTAATTAATTTTCCGCAATTTTTATTTTATAAATCCAAATAGAATTATATAGAACCTATCTAACTAATTTGTTAATATTTAAAGCTTATTATTAATTTTCAATCATTTGTTTATCATTTTTATGATGCTAATTTGTAGTATTCCATCTAAAAAAAACTCATAATACTATATATCTATCATTTTAATGTGATAAAAAACATAAAAATAAGTAGATTTTTTGTAAAAAATAAATTTAGAAATGTATTTTCGCCCTGTTTTACTCTAATATACATTTAAATTTTTTAAAAATATGATAAAATAAGGAAAATGATCTTTTCTATTTATAATTAATTAAGGATAGATATCTATCATGAATAGATAAAATATCCTAAAAATAACTATTTTATTTAAATTGAAGTAACTGATCATTATATTTAAATTTAATTAATTGATTAGTTGTCTATCTGATTTAAAACTTTCCTATATTTTTATTTTATTTAAAAAGGATTAGGGTGTTGCTAAATTTGATTTGCTAATTAACTTGATATCGAACAGCTCAATTTAAAGAGGAATAGTGGAAATTTACTACACAGATTTGGCTTTAGATGTCTCTATGTATAACAATCCTAACATTAATTATTTACAAAAAAGAATTTTCAGTTTCGAGCAAGGATCTTAAAAAAGATTACCCATTAATTTGAAAAAAATGGTTCTCAACACTGATTATGGGAATGTCCTCACAGATTATCATACAGAAACCTACCTAGTTCCTTGTTTTTAAGGAGAATTTGAATAATTCACTCAATACTTGAAAGATTTTTAAAAAAATACAGTTTTTTCAATTGAAATTTAAATGGATCGCAAACAAATCATAAATTATAGAACCTACTTGAAACTTTAAGATTTTCTTTCTTCAGTTGGTGGTATCATCAAAATATTTAGTTTAGTTTTTATCTTTCTTAGTAAGAAGCTTACAAAGTTAGATTTTTATATGAATCTTCTCAATTAAATTTTTAATTTTGAAGATCCAAATGAAGAAAAAATGAAGTAAAATTCAGAAAACGATTCAGATGAAGATGTGGATGAAATTATTGAAGGTCACCAACCTCATTAAATATACACTAATAAGTTAAGCAATGATTAAAATAGCAATGTTAAAGAAGTTGATAAGAAATAAAACTTTGAAAAATAAATTAATAAATCTCCAAAATAACAAATATTATAAAATGGGGATTTTATAAATGATAAACGTTAAAATATTCATCTAGGATCAGACGAATAAATCAAAAGAAAGCTATCAATAGAAAATAATAAAAATTTATTAGCAATCAATAAAAGCGAAAGCTAAATTCCTCTTATTACTGCTAAGTTTTCTTCTAATAATAAAGAATAAATAACAAACAATAACTTAACTACAAATATTCTTTAGCATACAGAAACCTTGATTCCTCTTTAATTATTATAAAACCCAGCTAATAACGATCAAGAATTTCTGTTTAATAATGGAATTACTGAGGAAAAATAATCAGATGAAAAATAAAGTTCAGAATCAAAAGAAAATGATCAACCAAAGAAAGGATCATTAAATATTGATTTACAAATCCTTAAAGATCTTGAAGAATCTTAGGAAAGTAAAAGTAACTAGTTAGAAAAATAAGTTAAGAGAATTTAATAATCATAAAGATAGAATTAAATCAATAAAGATGAAGAAAACCCCGATAATGATCAACAAGAATAAGGTGACAAAGAAGATAACCAAAAAAGAAATCCTTCATATAAAAGAAGAAATGCAATTCCCAAAAACACCCAGCTTATCAGTAAGTTCATGCATAAAGTTAGACTGTTATTGAATAATGATTAAGCTGATGCTGAGCAAATCGAAACTATAAAGAATAAACTCAACAAAAAGGGTAATTAATATATTTAACCTGAAAATAAACCATTAAAATGGGGGTTTTTCGATTATATTTAGAACTTGTTTTGGTTTGGTAAAGCTCGTCAAAAAAGAGAGTAAATGAAATACTGCTGGAGAAAAGTCAAGGAAAGATTAAATGCGGTTTATATTATGCAAAAATTAGTAGAGTTGGAAAAACTTAAAATTCTACTCCTTGATGAACATTAACTTAAGCTTTTCGATTATCTCCCTAAGCCTATGATATCATTAGATGTTTAGTCAGACTAACCTAATAACTCTCCATTAAATAGAACATAATCAAAAAAATCAAATGAGTAGTCTAAAAATGTTTCACCTACTAATCCTGTATAAACTCCAAACAATCCAAATAATACTCCAGTATCTCAACTAAATTTAGAAAATAAATAGCAACCAAATCAATAAAGGAAAAGCAACTCAAGCGGTGGCAATAACAACAACAACAACAACAATAATAACAACAAAACTGATTCAAATAACAATTAAGGTAATGATCTCAGATAAACAGGTCTAAATGAAACTCAAAAAAGTTTATCTCCTCCTAAAAGAAATAAAATAATTACAACATGCTTAGGATTATTTTCTAATAATTAAAACAAAAAAGAGAGACATAGATCGTAAAGTTTAAATAACAAAGATAAGTTAAAGAAATCTACTACAACTATTTAAAATAAAGTTCAAAAAAATTAAAATGCTTTTCATCAACAATGGATTTAGCTAAATTCTCACTCTACTCCAGTTGAAAAAGCTCTACATGCTATGGAAGCCTTTGAATTCATCAAAAACAAATAAACGAAATCTGCTATTGATATTAAATTAGTAGATATGCTTGATTCAAGAATGAAGAAGTGCTTTGATTTCTAAAACGCATATGTAGACTAAAATAATGAAGAAAACAATCATGATATTTCAAATAATTTTAGTTAATTTAGATAGTTTTTCGATGGTGATAATACGATAAGAGATTTTCTATATCCAGAGTAATTAGATGGAGTGAGAAAAAACAGGAGAGCAAGAACTGCAGGTCCTGTTTCTCCTAAAAATGGTAGTGCTTAGAATTCATTATCAAACCACTTTAACAATCCTAGCAACAGTAATAACAACTCTTTCAATTAAAGTTACATGCCATTTAACAATTTAAACAACTTAGTTAACCTTAACAATGTAAATACTCCTATAAGGCGTAATTTTAATGGTTTTTATCCAAATAGTAATCCGTTTATATTAACTCCTAATTTAAATGAGTCTGGCTTAGATTTTAGTAGATATATGAATGAATTTTAGTAAGGATAGAATTACTCTTCTTCACATAAAAGCAATTACCAAAATAATTTTTTAGCAGTAAATAATTATAATAATCATACTTCATACTAACCTAGGAATAATAATGGGTTGATTAATAGACAAAGGTCTAATTCCCCTTCAAGCATTATGTAGGCACAAATGAAAAATAAATTTGCTCTAAAAAGATAATTATCTTCTATATCGAATAGCAGCAATAATTAAAATATCCCAAACATAAGCAATAAAAGTCCTAAGCACTAATAGACAACAGTCAGTAATAACAAACCTTCTTTATTTTTTAGGAGACTGCAAACATACGATAACAATATTTAAGAAGAGGCTTATAAAAATAAGAATTAGCCAGAGCAAAATAATTATTAAACTCAGCAAAAAAGCTATTTTTGCAACTATCAATAATAGTAGTAGCTTTAAGCTTCCTTCAATTCCTAGTACCATGTAAGTTCTGGTAATAGTAAAAAATAAAATCAAGGAAATGGCGGATCAGAATTATCCTCACCATAGAAGTTTGAGATGGATGGCTCATCCTCTTATGATTCTCACAGATAAAACATAAATCTGTATAATTAGTCTGCCTCTAACATTAAACCTTCACATATATCTCACCAGTATAATAATAACCTTCCTTCCAAAAATATTAACTTAAGTGTGATTGAATCTGACTTAAACACAATAGAAGAGGATATCCCACAAGAAAATAATACACCAACAACAATCTCTAAAAATTCAAATATAAATGAGTCACAAATAAGAAAGTAGATGAACACCTCACTTTTCTAACATTGTATAAGTAATATGGTATAATCATAGAATTCGCCTCTGAAAGTGACAGATGCTCTTAAAAAATATAATCTAAATTTCTAAACTATGTAACATTAAGAAATTTCTAATAAATGATATTATATTAAATTAATGTTCTAATCAATTTGATTTTAAATAAAATTTATCCAATTACACCAATAAAAAAATAAATATTCTACTCAATAACTAATTAACTTTATTAGATACTATCCAAGTTTGTATGTATAATAAATAATATATATTTACACTAAGTACTCTAACTTATATTCTTACATCTAACTAATTGATTTTTTTTTTCAAATTTTTAACATCAAATAATTTTTTTCTATCAAAAAGCTCTAAACCTTATCACAATTACAAATATTATCAATCATTTAGTTTATTTAAAACAATTTTCTCATATTAAATTTTATTTTTTTTCTTTACATAAGTATCAAGATGATTTTATTAAAAACATTAAGTAAAAAGTATAAAATTACTAATTACACTTTTATAAATTTTTATTGAAGACTAATTTTTCTATCAATCAAACTAACCCTCTTGTATTTTTATAAAATTTTTGTATCCAAATATATTTATATTAAATTATATGAAAATTCTAATAAAAAAAAAATACAGTTTTAGTTCTCAAATTATTCTCCAATCATATTTTTTATCAAAAATTATTTCATTTTTTAAATATATTTTATGTGATTAAGTTTTAATTTTGATTTTTCTTTTTTACTTAAATGTTTATTTGTATTAAAAGCAGATATCTATAAAATAAATAATTTGTATTACCAACATAAATTAGGAATTTAATTTATTTTAAGAAAAATACTTCAGATAATTATAAAAATAATAGTAATTAAATTATATTTATTTTAAATCTTGTATTTTTTAATAATCATTATTTTTTTTTGGATTATTCAATTTGAAATTTCAAAGTTTGATTTTGCCAAATAAATATTCATATAATTATTACATTAATACACTTAATTCAATTCAAAATATATTTCTGGTATAATCAATAATAAATGATATATCTATTAAATATATTCTTACTTAGTGCTCTCTTATACTTGTTATCATTCCAGTGACTAAATTGAAAGATAAAAATTAAAAATTATGGGAAGGGATATATATTTTACAACTGAATATATCAATATATTTTCAATAATGAAATTGAATTACAATTAATGATTAATTTTTAACAATAAAATAATACTTTCAATATAAAAAGAACAATATTTTTAATTTAAATGCACTTGAATACAATATATTATTTGAAAATTAAGTTTGAGTTTATATTTATTTTAGATGGTTTATTATAAATTTATAAATAAAATAGATTGTTTTTTTATAAAATATAAAATTATGAAATAAGGTAAAATATTTTACAAAATAAAGAAAATTTTTATAATTTTATTAGATTAATTAAATTTAATTTCATTAAATATTTGAAATACTAAAAGAATTGTTTTAAATTTTATTATTATTTTCATTAAAATGTGTTTATTCTTAATGGAGATGGCTGCTAGTTGTTTCTAATCCCCAATTCTCTAAATAGGCTATTAATAGACTATTCAATATTTTGATGTGTTTATTTTAACTTTTGACGCTTTTATGAAACTGTGCTAGGTCTCACTGTTACTGAATTCTAACTGTTGAAATTTCTTTACATTTTTTAATATTTGCTAGGTGTTGCTGATTGATTAGTTTGATGAGTTTTTAACCTTCCCTCATTAATAGAGCAATCAGTTTTTTGCAGATAGAATGATTGATTATAGCTTGAATTGATTGCATCTTTTACTGTATTAGGATCTTGTAAATATGAAGGATTTTTGAGTATATCTAATTCTTAGCAATCTTCTTCAGTTTATTTTTATATGAAATCTTATATAGGATTTGTTGATTTTACTGAGTGATATCTACTGTTTTTTTCTTACAAATTCAAGGATTAGTGATTACTTTTTTATTTTTATGTTTGATTTACAGCGGATATAGAATTATTATTAAGAGTTTAAGGTGTTGTGGGTCTTTATCTCTGAACTGCTGAAGTTGTTTGAGGTCTAAAACCAGACTCAGTTTAGAAAAAATATATAGACTAAGCATAATTTACATTATGAGATAAACTGCTTAACTCAAAGAGATTATTTGAACTTGCTTAATTATGATTGTTTAACTATCGACTTTATTGTTGTGCTAGCATAGATGCATTTCTGATAAATTTGAATTTTTAATTATTGATATTCCTAAGGACTTATCTTTAATTCTTTTATAAAAGTTGGTTATTGGAGTGAATGGGTTTTTCCTTTTTCATAATTTTTCCCCAATCTATCTGATGCAAATTTAAGTCATCTATTCTAACTGAATTATTAATTAAATCATTGTTAGCCTACTTTTCTTAATTTAATTCTGTGGAATTCTCGATTAACTAGCTGCCAAGAGTCACTTGATTTGCATGTGCGTTTAAGCTTTATGCATTAATATTTTATGTCTAAGCTTAATTATTGATATTGCAAGGAGATTTTCCTTTACTTTACACTCCACTAATAGACTGAGAATAGTTTTTTATATAATTTTATTTTGTCTATAATATCATTTGATACTAATTTTCATCTAATATCTATTATTTTATTATAGGTGCTGCACTATAATGCTTTATTTTACTTATATTCTTTTATTATTGCTTTATGCTCCACTATAATTAATCTTTTTAGTTAAGAAATTAGCCTTCTAAGCCTTATGAATTGTTCAAGAGATGTGAATTTGGATTATTATGATGAAAAGGTGTAGTCTTATTCTCTTAGTAAAAGTCAAGTAAATTATTTTTTTTATCATTATTGCTATTATATTCATTTTTATTATCAAAAATAAACTAATTATCATTTCTGAGACCAATATCAATTTGGTTTTGGTTTTAGTCATGATATCCACCTAAAGTTTGCAAATTCATGTATCCTTAATCCTGAATTTGATTTATTTAGCTATTTTAATTTAATATATGTTATTAATTTACTGTATTTTAGAATTGATCATTTTCATTTTATTGCTAGTCTTAAATTTTTTATTTGTTTTATTTAATATCTTAATTATTCCTAAATTGATTTTGAGAGCTATTCATTTATTCGAAATAAGGACTTGAAGTTTAACTATATCTTAATTGTTCTTCATTTTCAGGCAAGTGAAAAGTTTTATCTATTATTCCTTAAACTTATTATTTCTATTACATTTTTGATGCATTTTAATTACTAATAGGAGATCTAGAATTGCTGTGAGATGAATTATAACGCTAAAATACTTAATTGGCTTATTTTGATCTACCCTAAACTGATAATGTATTGTTTTACTAAATTTAATTTATCTCATCATTAAAAGCAAAAGTTTAATATTAATCAGGTTCTGTATATATTGGAAACATAAGGTATTCAGAATTTTCATTAAGCATATCATCTCCATAATTTTCATTATCTAAAATGTATGACCTATCATGGCTTTTAAATTCATTAAATTAACTCTGATTCAAGTCTTTCCTTTTTGAAACACTCATAACATCTTTACTTTTTTAAGACAATTTCTTTTAGTGAGCTGATTGAGCTCTTATTTTCTCTCTTTTCTCAAAATTGTTTTTGATAACTTAAATGCTCCTTTTTTCTTTAGTTAATTGTTATGGCTTTTCAGCTGGCTTAAAAAGCAAACAATTGTTAAAGCTAAATTTTTTTACTACATCAGCAATATTATTTTTATTTATAGTGGATTTACTTCTATCTTAATACTAAAATTCCTTAATAACCCTTGTAGACTTGTCTAACAAATTAGCCTTCTTAAAAATTTCTGCTAAAGATGGCTGTTAAAATGTATTTTGAAAATATTTTGATCTGCTAAGAGTTTTATTAAAATTATCGTCTACTTCTTGGCTGCTCTGCTGTTTCAAGTGTTAGATCTTTGGCTTGAGCTTAGTATTAATTAAAAATCCTGAATGCTAATCTAATATGACCTAGCCTTAATTGTCATTCATCCTAACAAATCAGCAATTAAAAACTTGTTTTAATAATTACAAAATTGCTAATTATATTGTTTATAATTATTTAAAAAGTACTTGTGAATTTTAGATAAAAACTTAATAATATAGTGTTAAAATTGCTTATTAACTTATCGAAAGAACCAATCATTATTACATCTAAATCAATAATCCATTCAAAAATAAAAGTATTCTTTTAATTTTAGTAAGCTGATAATCACACATTAGTATTCCTAAAAGTAAGAAAAAAAGATTATTATCTATTTAGTTATTTTTTTTTGCTGTTAAGATAAAAAGTGTAAATTCAAAAACTAGTTTCTGTGCATTTTTTAGATAAATATTTTAAGTAAAATGACTAATTTAATAATAGTAACAAAAGCCTTAAATCATAGAGGAGTAAATCATAAATAAAAGAATATTAATTATTAAAAAAATATACTAAAGCAAAGCAAATAATATTTTCATTTTGATAAATAGAGAGTACTTAAACTAATAATATAAAATCACAAAATAAATTTTGAGATATTTTACTTCAATTAATTATATGTTATATTTTTTTCTATTATTAAAATAATAATAATATTTAATTATTATAAAACAATATTGTACGTACTCTCTTTGTTTGCTTGACAATTAAGTGACTTGACTCAGTATTTTATTATTAAGTAATATTAAATTAAATTTTACATTAGATATTTTTATTAAGATTATAATGTAGATTTTTTCTATTTTAAAAATAATTCTTTAACAGTTGAAAATCAATTTATAAAATATATTTATTCAATTTTTTTACTCATATTAATTATTATTCTCTTTATAAATATTTAAAATTAAGAGTAAATTTTTTTTATCGTTTTAATAAAAATTTTATTTATTTTATTTTTTTTTAACTTTTCTTAAATTATAATTAATTCTTTAAAACTTTTGTTCTCGTAATTAAAAGTTTGCGAAAAAAAGAGGCTGCATGAAAAAAGTTTTGAAATATTTAGCTTAAATTTTGTAATTTGAACTTCAACAATTTGAAAATTTTTGGCATATGTCTTTATAAGATCTAATTTATATGTTAAGAAATTACAAGTTTCTATTAAATTTATTAATTTAAAAAATATAATTTAGATGAAATAATTTTTTATTAAACTTTAAGTAACATGTAATATTTATAAAAATTAAATAGTCAATATTTCTACTGCTATAAATAGACCTAAAGATATTTTAATAGTATAAATAAAAAAAAAATAGCAAAGAATACTTGAGTGATTATGTTAGGGAGTTAGATATGTATTTATTATAAATATATGTTTTACATTTATTTACAAAACCTGATAAATTTTATAACTTAATCTATCATTTAAACAAACTTAAATTAAACTAGAAATATAAATTGTTACTTAAAATATTTATAATTATTTATTTATAATATTTATATATTAAACAAAGTATTTTTAAATAAATCTATCTTTTAATTCAGTTTAAATTTTATAATTTGATTTAACTTTAATTATCATTAATATCTAATCAAGTGTATTTGTTGTAAATCTTTTTGATTTAATTATTATTAAAAGTATTAAGTAGTATTAATCATATCAAAAAAAACACTAAAGTATTAAGATAAATTTTATAATTTATAACAAAATACTCTTTAAATAAGGCATCAAAAGCAATACAAAGCATAATAAATAGGCTGAAAATGACATTAGCGGATTTGGATTATAGTAGATACACTAGAAATAACTAAAAAATAAAAGAATTAATTTAAAAGCTGCAATAGCAAGATTAAAGTGAACCAATTAAGTAATATAAATTTAATAGCACAAATCAAAATAAAATTCAAATAAAATAATTTCTTGTTATATTATTTGTGTTTAAAAAATAGAGATTATCTCAAGTATCTAGAATTCGAAAGCTCATGTCTAACAGATTTAAATATATCAAAAATCAGTGAGGAATAAATAAGAAATCTTTTCCAATAAATTGATCAGCACCTACTAAAATATAATAATGAATCTTTGGTTTAAATGGTAAAATAGTAGCAAATATTATTTTAAAAACAGAATAAATTGATCATTTAACTTTTAATAATTAACTATTTAAGGATGGACTTTGCTTCAAGATATACTTATGCTAATATATGTTTAAATTTGAAAAAAATGATATTGATTTAAACATTTAGAATTCTTTGTACAAATTGCCTTCAATAAAGAATTTAATGAAAAGAGAATTGCTAACATCGATCGAGCAAACCCCTTTCAGAGTTAAAAACTTTTAAGAAATTTATTTAAAACGCATTTTGAACCCTGATTTCTAAATTGAAACATAAGATTACTTCTAGGAGATAATTGACTGGTTAGATTTCTTTGCAGAAATCTATAATATCCACTAAAAATCTTTTTATTAGACATTTAAAGTAATAAAATTCTTATGCTAAAATGATATTTTAAAAAATATTTTCTTTATTTATGAGCCAAGAAATAAAATTGTATCCAAAATAGCTTCTTTTGACAAAAAAATTTTATTTAGCCATTTTTTCTACAAATTTAAAGAATAATTTAATAGTTTTTATAGATAGTATCATTAAAATAATAGGGATAAGTATAATCATAGAATTTTTAAAATATAATATATAATCATAGAATATTTAAAATAGAATATATAATCATAGAGTGTATAAAACAGAATGAATGTATATTCATTGAATAACAATAATATAAATAATGAGTTTATTCATAAAAAAATAATTTGTTGAATTCATTTTTAATATAAAAATAAATAAATTATTTTTAATATTTAAAAAGGGATTTGAAAAAGTAGATAAAAATTTAATTTTAATATGCATAAACAAACTGATTTAAGTACAAAACAAAATTAGCAATATCTCAAATATTGAATCTGTGATTAGAGTTTTGTAGTTCTTTTAGAAGGATTATCGTAATTTATATGGAATAGATATGGTTGTAACTCTTCTATACAATATTTGTAAGAACATACTTCCTCTTTAAGGATCTACTGAATTAGAACAAGATTCTCTTTAAAAGATTATTTAAAATGAAATAAACACAGGCTTATTTTAATACTTTTAAATTCACCTAAAAATTAGTTCTTGGGACCATATTCTACTTACTTGTCTTGGATTTATTTAAATATAGATTGATAAAAAAGTAGAGAAGTATATGAATAAAAATGCTGATCCCTCTAAAAAATAAAGCAGTAACAAATAGCTTCTTAACTACAGAGAAATATCAAATATTCCTAGCGAGGTGTATGATTCATTATATCTATTCACCTGCATAAACTACACCTAAATTAGAAATAAAATAAAAAAGACAATGAGAAGCATCCTTTCCTATCGTGTAATTTATTAATTAATTATACTTTATTTGGTGTGCAATATTATACTTTTGGGAAATTATTCTCATAAATATTATTAATTATATTAAATTTTAATTGATAATAACATTTTTGTTAAACTTGGTACATTAAATCAGAACAAAGTCATAAATAATTACCTAATTTTAGTAAAACATGAAAGAACAGACAATTCTCTATCTACTTTTATTTACTGATTTTTTTTTGGATCAAATTTACATGTGCCAAATTTACTAAAGAAAATACTTACAATATGTCTATTTATTTTTAAATAGAAATAAAAAAAATATTCCCTCATTTCCTCAGCTGATAGTATTTATGATGATATTTTAAAGATTGTCAAATTTCTATTTTAACTATACTTATTTTTTAGAGAAATTGAGATACATTTTTGAACTTAAAACAATTTTCAAACTTTCAAAATTTGCTTTGGAATATTTTTGTTTAAATTTTAATTTGCTAATTACTATTTCAAATATTAAAAATTTTAGAGCATAGAAAGAAATAATAGACATTTAAATTCTATTTTGCTAAAATTTATATTCTATATTATTTACAAATATTATTTATTTTTAGGTAAAACACAATTTAAATTGGAAAAATATAAAAACAATAAATTTCATAAAATATTCAATAATTAAAGTAAAAATTATAATAGATATTTATTTAATCGCTATAAATTAATTAACTGCAGAAATAAATGGATTTTTAATAACTTTACTATAAATACTTATTTAACATTAATATAAATCAAAAAAATGTAGATTCTGGTAGGGAATTTTTTAATTTGCAAAATATATGGACATAATATTTTAAAAATATCCTATGAAAAATAAATTTAATATTAGCTTATTCTGTCTTAGATTTAAGATAAAAATAAGTTACAAGCTAATTTTTTTTAAAAAAAAAGGTTCCTTCCCTTGTAAATCTACTGAGCTTAAAAATAAAAAGAGAAGATTTTGCATTTAACTTCATGGAGTTTATGATGAGCTCACCTTTCGATGACAATATTTTAGGTATGAAAATGAGTGTTTAACTATACCTCAGAGAAGAGTATTCTAAATTATATCAGTTGATATAAAGCTTAACTTAATCTGATCAATTACCTTCTCATTATGCTTTCCCTTTACTATTGTCTTTATCTTCAATTTTTACTGGGCTTAATCTTGGCAAAAATGAGGTATTTATAAAATTTTCATATATTTTAATGGAAAATTATTAAAAAAAGTTGAAATAAACATATTTTTTAATTTTAAACACCATTTACTTACAGATTAAAAGAATGTTTAAAAAAATATTTGATGAATTATAGATTTAGGTTTTTTTATTAATTAGATAAGCTGAAAATTAATTAGATTTGAGTTTTGATTACTCCTACAAATAGCTAAAAATTTTACATTTTCACACTTTTTAAATTTAAAAACAGGAAGGCTTATCTTTGGCGAAGCTTAACTTGAATAACTTTTTAGAATCTAACACAGAAAATTCGAGGAAAATATTTTTGTAAGAAACTCTGCTTGCAAATGTTGGATTTAGCTATTACAATATATTTAGAAATGCTCAATATGAGCAAGATAAGAATGTTTATCTTTCTAAAGCAATTGAGTATTTAGAAAAGAGTTACAGCAAGAATAATAAAAACTATTTAGTTTGCCAAGCACTTGCAAAGGCTTATGCACACAGCTTGAATATGGACAAAGCTCTTGAGTATGCTTTACAATCATGCGCTCTTAATAAAAGCTCACATTACGCATTCATTCTGCTAGCTCTTATTTACTCTGCTAAAGGAGAACTCAAGAAATGTTAGCTTTTAATTTCAAGTCTACTAAAAGAAAACTAAAACGAACCCATCCTATACATCCTGATGGCATTTATTGAAGCAGAGAAATTACTGATTGCAGAAGAAAATTTACCTGATTATAAAGTTTCTCATCACTTTGGCTCAGGGATAAAAGACTTTTTAAAATCTGTAATCTATTTTTTTAATTTTAAAAAATTTAAGGATAGGCAAATAGAGAGAGATTTCTCTAAATCTGATAAATTTAAATATTTCTTGTAAATTTACATTTTGAAACTTAAAACAAAAAAATTTTTTTCTTTTCTAAATTAATTAATTAAACATTATTTATGGTAATAATGTTAAAAATATATTGAATGAATGGCAGATTAATTAATTTACTTATTTTTTTTGGCTATATAGGAATCTTAGAAAAGTAAACAATTTAAACAAATTATACTGTATATGGTGAATGCTTGCTAAGTTATATTAAAAAAAGAATTATCCAAGGAATTTGATCCTGAATTTTGCAGTAAATTATTTTATTATGTTTTAAATTAACAAGTAAATACCAAATTGTTTGAATGTGTCAAATAATGTAAAAAAAACCTCGTTAGAAAAAAGAAAAATAATGGAAATGATCCAAACCAATCAAGTTAGTTTCCAGAATTCAATTAATAATTATAATTTTTATGTGCATAAAGCTAATCAAAGCCTTAAATATATAGGAATCAAAACCATTTTTTTTATTTTAGAAAAGAATTTGATACCACTAAAAGACTAGCATTCTTAAGAAATCCCTCCAAGAGTTTACTTAGATTATAAAAATGTAATTTTATTATAAGATGCTTTTTTAATTCTTTCAAGCCCTTTCTTTGTTATTTTTTCACTATCTACTAATTTATTGTCAGAAGTTTTTTAAATGAAAAAAATTACTAGTAATATATGTAGTAAGAATACATACAAAAGGCAAAAATTTAAAAAATCACAATTCATTGATTTATTTATTTATTCTACCTTATTATTCATTTATTTTATATTGGATAAATGTTGATAATAGCTTTTGCCAGTGTTTTTCTCAAAATTTTAATTAAAATTATTACCTTTATTTTAAGATAAAAAACTAAGAAAGAAATCAAATAAAAATTTAAAAACAAAATTCGTCATTTAAATCTCTAACTCATTCATGCTTTAATTTTCAGAACTACTTAAAAATAACTCACTCATAAACTAATTTTTGACAAATTGATATGAAGCAAAAATATTTAGAATTATATATTATTACTTAAAACCATGCTATCAACCATCATCCTTGTAAGTTAAGCTAACTAACTTGATGAGTTTATTATTTTTTTAACATTTTAATTGTAAATTGACTGGGCTTGGTCTAGTAAATCATACAAAAAATTTATATTTAAATAATTTTAAATGATATAGACACTAAATTACTTTATAGACATACTGTTCCATCTTGAGTACTACGATTGCATTGAAGATATGACAGCACTCTTGAATGATGGAAATAAAAAAAATCTGATTGAGTCAGAATATTATGTACATATTTATTTTCATCTTTTTAATAACAAACATACTTATTAATATCTTAATAATCTAAACAAATCCCAATTTCTTTTATTAAAAGCAAAAAAAATTTCACAATTATCAATCAATCAGCTTTTTTAAATATTTTCTATGAAATTTTGCTTTGAATTTTTTTATCAGTAACTTTTTCAAAAATATGATAGCATTTTTGCTAAATATTATATCAAAATACTAAGAACTGCTGAAATGTAAAATTCCAATTAAAAAATTATTAAAATAAATAAAAGCTTGCACTTCTGTCTGAAAAAAAGGAACAAGATGAAATAGCTATGCAAAAATACGAAGAAATCTTAAAGACAGATTTTTATCACCTTAAATCTATGCAAAATTTGGCTCTACTTTACTTAAAAAATATAAATACTGATAGCAGAAGAGTAGACAGGGCAGTAGAACTATTGATAGCAGGATCTAAATTCAAAGAATCTTCTGAGATTTGGTAAAAATTTAATTTAATAATCTCAAAACTTTTTTTGAGCGAAACAACATTTTCTAATATGCCTTTAATTCTTTTTATAAAATAAATTTTAATTTTATAAAATTATATACTTAGTTACGGATTTGGATAAATCCACTAACTCCAAGGGAATCTCCAAAAATCAAATCACTACTTGCTAAAAGCTCTGGAAAAAAATAAAAAGTAGCCAATTTGCGTCTATGACATTATACCAGATTTGTTATTTATAGTTTGAGAGACGTTATTAAAAGTATTTATAAAATAGACAGTTAATAATTATTTCTTAAAGCTATTGTTGGCCTAATAAACAATATATAGATAAATTATTAGTTTAAAAATATAAACTTAACCTTGCTTTCATAACCTAGGAAAATCCTAAATAGAAATTAAGGTCAATCCTTCATTTTCTTTAATTAGTTATTTTAATTTAAAAAGGCAAGTATTTCATGTGGTTTTCGAGTGTATTTTTAAATAGTAAAATATATTTGAATAGAAATAATATTTACATTTATGAATTAACCTATATCTATTTATTTATCTATCTATCTATATTTGCATAATTTTAAATAATAAAATCAACCAGACAAAAAATCAAACAATAAAATTAATTAATTACTTTTTTAAATAAATATTCGGCATTAAATTAAATTGGAGCCAAGAATCGCATTAATTCTTTCAATTTAAAAAAAAACTTTTTTAGATTTTTTTAATAAATATCTTTCTACAATATTATTAGTTTAAATCATTGATTATATTCAGCAAATCTCAAATTTTGAGAATAAGAAGCTGATTTTATAATTTATTTGATTTATTTCCTTTTAAATGAGAATGATTTAAGATTCTGTTTAAATTTAAACGGGTATTTTTTTTTAAATAATTTAAAAATAAATTTTATAAAAAAGATTGGAGTGAGTTTCTGCTTAAGGAATGGTGTTTATTAAATTAAGAAAACTAAATCAGCATATTTAAGAGAATGCCGTTGAAATAATAATTAAATCTAATTAAACGAAAAGTAATTTATTTATTTATAGATGTTGGCTGAAAATTTTTGCGCAAAAACATAATAATATTAATAATAATCACATTTTTTCTTTTTTCATAAGAATCTTCTATCCAAGCAAATCTATTTATTTATTTATTTATTCAATTGCAAATCTATAAAAATTTATAGATAACAAATCTATAAAAAATTTTATTGCAAATCTATTGATCCTTTGAATTACCTATCTTCCTACTTACTTACCCAATAAATTTAGTAAGAAATTTTCAATCTTTTCTATTTTTATAAGTAGTGATATGATAGCATTAGTCCTCATTCATTTATATCTTATTCCTAAGCTCATTTAAATTTTTTTTGTAATAACGAAAGCCTATTCGTATTTATTTCAATAAAATAAAAAGAAAATAAAATAGAAATATAATTAAGTACTAAAAAAAGAGCATAAAATTTTAGTAGAGTTTGTTTGAAAATTTACCATTTATTTACCCATTTGAAATAACAGAATGCCAACAAATCTATATTTAAATCTGGATATTGCTTTAGATTTTAATTTATTGGAATCAGATCTATTCGAATTTTATAAAGCGAAGCGGTTGTTGCCAAATAAATTTGATAATATAAATTACACAAAAACATAAAATAAATCTTAAATTAAAAAAAAAACCTGATCTTAAAAGAAAACAGTAAAAAGGAAGTTTTACTTAAGCTTTTACAGCGTACCTCATTTTTCGATTAAGATTACTCTATCAAAATATCTTATAATTAGATTATCCCTCTTATACAACTCAACTCCTCTATTAAAGTCTCTCACTAAAATAAAAAATCTATATTTTACCTACAAGAATGCCCCACTTCCCTGAAGAAATTGAATATAGTGACAAGTATACTGATGAATATTATGAATACAGACATGTGATTCTGCCTAAAAATGTATTCAAAAAAATACCCAAAAATAAAATTCTTACAGAGGCTGAGTGGAGATCTCTTGGCGTATAGTAAAGTAGAGGATGGGTTCACTATGAAATTCATAGGCCAGAACCCCACATTCTGCTTTTCAGAAGACCTAAGGGCACTGATCTCACTACTGGCGCTCCTCCACCTAACTTCAGAGCTCCATACTGAAAACATAATTTCCTCACTTTTTACACTTCACCTCTCAACAATTAAATAAAAGTGAAAAAAAGTTACTTTCTCTAAACAAAATGTCTAACTTAAAAATATACTAAAATAACTTCTATCTATCTACTTTTCCTTACTTACTTCATAAACAAATAAATAAATAAATTTCTATCCAATTTACTGATTTAAATGAAAATTTAATTTTAGAAAAATAATTAGTTAGATTAAAAAAGTTTGATTGATTGATTGATTAACAATTAGACAACTTTTTTAAATCTTTCATAAATAACAAAGAGTTTTTTAAATTCAAAGTGATTTATTTAAAAATGACTCTTTAGAAAATTTAAAAATGAAATCAGTAACACAATCTAAATTTTTATTGAAATTGATATATATATTAAAAGTATTCTACTCATATATACTTTATATTTTAAACGTTAATATTTTATTATTTCCTACTATCTTAAGCATTCTTTCTTTTTGGTCGATATTGTAGTTTTTATCTATAATTACATTAAGTTCTTTTTATTGACAAAAAATATGTTTAGAAAGTTTAAAAATAACCTTATTCTGCAGTTTGCAGAAAAACAAATTAAATAAAAAGAAAAGAAAAAGGTTTAGCATTTTCAGTTTTGTGTTTTTCTAATTTGTAACAATAATCAAAGCTGAAAAAGATTCTTATTAATTTTCATTATTTGATTAAATCTTTTACATTTTTAAATGTAATGAAAATTTATTTGCATTGCAAATTTAAAAAAATTTGATAATAGAAATGTATTTTCAAAAACTAAATAAAATGAAATGAAAATATTATTTAAATTTTCAAAAAATATTAGATTTAGTTTTTTAATATTTAAAAATTATACTAGAAAATATTTTAAAACTAAAATACTTAACCAATAAAACAATGTATAAATCAATAAAAAATATTGAAGTAATAACAGAGCTAAATTGACGTCATTTTATGAAGGATAATGAGAAATTATTTAATTTGTGTAAGAATATATCAAATAAAATAGAGGGAAAATCAGACGAAAATTACATTCAAATTAAAATTGAAGACCTCAATATTTATTATTTGCTTTGAAAGATTTATTCTAGTTAAGAAATTGATTTGATCAGTAACACCCAAACTAAACAAACTAACTTTAATTTATATTGCTAATCATTTGATTTAAATGCAATAAATAATCTTTTTCCACTGAAATTTGCACTTTTTAATTTGAGTTATTTCTCAAAAAATCTTATTTTTGTGATTGATTTATTTTTTTTTATGAAATTTAGCATTTTTTAAATAACTTTTTAGAGTTTTTGACTAAAATATAATATTATAAATATAAAGTTGCTAAAAATACTTTCTTCTAAAAATGAGTTATTTTTAAAAGTAAATTACTTATTTAAATAGTAGGGTTATAGAAACTTTTAACATAAGTATTATAGAAGTTATTTAAAAACGTTTGATGATTAACATTTGATTATATGATTAATAATATTAAATAAAGGTATATTTTTATTTAAAACTTATTTTTTCAAACAAAAGATACATTTTTAAATTTTGTAAACAGACAGAAGAAATTTAAAAATTATTAATCCATTTAAAGACATTTGTCATTTGAATAAAATTTGGTTTATACATTTAAAAAAATTTTCCCAAAATTAGATTTGTATTTTCAACAAACAAATAAATATTTTATTCGTAAAAATATTTAAACTAACTATTTTTGTTCTTAAATGCTAAATATTACTTAGTGCTTTGAATTCTTTCGTTTAATAATTGGTATTCAATTTCTTATGCATTATTTTAATTACTTTTCCATTTAAATTTTGTTTAAATATATTTCATTTTTAAATTATTTGAACAAACATCTCATTTAAAAGAATCTTTTAATTTATGTATTTGATTTACTATTAGATCGGTTATAAACATTTATTTATTTTTGAAATATTACATTTTAAATAATATTTATTTTTATTAGTCATTATATATTTGAAAATGGTAATTGCATCAATGAGGAGATATCTTATTATTTTTAAAAATCTATTACATTCAAATTCAACTTTTTAGGTTTTTTAAATGATAAATAATATTTTTATTTGTTTTATGTTTAATTAAATGTTAATTACTAACTTGATTTCGGATAGATTTTTGTGCTGCTTTTATTTTATTTTACTTATTTAATGAAAGTTGAACATGTTCCACAAAAAAAATAAATTTTGTTAATGTTTTAAAAAGGGATTAATTATTTTATTGCCAAAGTATTTATCTGGTGGAATTATTAATATTCTAAATAATTATTATATTCTTTTTGTTAGTTTTTGTGAAAACTTAGTAAATAATATACATATCATTCATTAAAATTACAAATATAAAAAGTTAGGTAGAACAAAGCAAATGCAAATATCATTCTAGCTAAATACCAATCAGGTTGAAGGATAATTTAAAGTAATACCAGTAATTAGTATCCCAAATCCAAAGTCAAAGTAAAAGACCTGAATTTATGGAAAAGCAAACAACATTCTCTCAAATTAATTATAGGATTAAATCTGTCCATGAAGAGTTTTTGTATGAATATAGAAATTTAATAGTAGAAAATGAATAAATGAACATTTAAAATTAAATTGCTGATATTTTTGAATAGGATCTTCTAGCGAAAGGAGTTAACGTCATTTTCTAAAAGTACTCCTTCTTTATTCCTTGCTTAATTTTATTCAAACTTTTAAATAAAGTTAAAATCCGAATGAAATTTCTGAACAATTTCATAAATGCAAATTTAATATTCAAGAATTGAAAGGTATTAATGTCTTTTTAAAGTCTATAAATGCGTTAAATGTAAAGAAAATATAACTTTTATTTCAATTTAATTTAATTTTTATGCTTAGGAATGGTCTAATGGAAAATACAGAGAAGCTCAAGAAGATATTATATTTTAAAATAAATATGAGCTTGAAATAATTCACATTCGATATCTTTAATTTCTTAAAAGAATTCCTAATACAATATCAATAGACTCTATAAAAATTGATCTGACATTGTAAAATTTATTGATAATTTTCTAAATTTTATTTTCTATGCTGTTTCTAAAGCCTAGTCTTAGTTTAAGAAAATGTCTCTTAAATATCTGATCTCTTAAAACTAGCTCTCAATGGCAGGAAAATCAAGAGCTTTTCCTTTTCTGTCTATGAGTAATTAATTTTTTAACTTTGAGGTTACTTCAAAAAAAATAAAATATCATTTTTTAATTTAATGAAGACCTATCACACCAAGTACTGAAAATATACCAAAAGAAGACTATGATAACTATTATGGGATTGAAGAGCAAGAAGCTTTTGAAATCATAATCTAACAACTTTATTCTTTTTAAAATAGTCTTGTAGATTTAGAGGAAATCGAAATAGTTTTTTCAAGGTTAATTTATTAATTTTAGTTCAACTTTTTCAGTTTATAAAAAATCAATTTATTTTTTTTATTTTTTCTGTAAATTAATTTATATTTATTTTTTTCAAATAAATAAAGATGGACAAAATTGAAAGAAGTCAAAAGTTTGTATGCATTTTTAGAATTGATAGCCAAAAATGGCAATTTAAAAAATATCAAAGTGATTTTAGGTCTTAATGAAAATGGATTCTAGTTAGAAGAATACTCAACCTAATTTCTTACCAAAATTATTAATTATAGTAAAAATTTAAAGGGACTTTTTCTTCATATTGGAAAGTAAGTATAACATTTTAACAGTTAATTTAATATTTTTTTGTATAAGCTCTTGGGTTTAAGAATACGTTTCGCATTTATAAGACTATGCAAAGTTAATATCAGAAACTATGATCACTAATTGTCCTAATCTCACACAATTTTCGTTAGATATGACTTAGTAATATTTATTTTTAAATAACACTAAATAATTAACATCTTTAAATTAGGAGGAGTAGTTATGATAAAAACTTTAGTTTGCTAATTTCCTTATAGCTTTTTTTAAAATAGAGATATTTTGAATACTTGAACCTCAATTTTTCAGGGTAAACACAAATTTTTAATTTTTTTCATTCATTAATTTTAAATTTGTTTAAATTTGACATTTAATAACATAAAAAAAATAATAAAATTAATTCATATTTGTTCTTTTTAGAAACAATACAATTTTATAATCAAAAAGTTAATTTTAAACTTGTCATGAATAAAATAGAATAATTGTTTACTAATAAATTTTTAATTTTTAATTATTTATTTCATAGATGGCATCAAATTAGTGATCAAATTGAATTCAGAATTTTGACGGCAGAACAATTAGTGAAAACCCTTACAGCTCCTTTAGCTGTTAGAAATTATTTTATTTGTATATGCTAGTGAGAAATTTATAAATATTTAAATCTATATAATTTAAATCCTCACTAATTAAATTTAAAAAAAGCATTTAAAAAATGTTTAACCTAAAATTAAGTTTTATTATTCCAAATAAATTTTTTTCAATATTTGGACTTAATTATTGAGGATTTAATGTAAATTAATTTTTTAAAAATAAAATAATATAATGAAATAAATAGAGCTAACCTTTACTAGTATTATGATGATCTTTGGCATGGACTGGCAAAAATGTCAAATGAATATTTCATTAAAAAATTTTCATTAAGAATGTAAAATAATAAAATAGTTTTTCTATTTTTTATAATTGATAATAATTGATAATTAGGTAAAAACAAAATCATAGAAATTAATAGGCAATTAATTAAATGAAATAACACAGCATTTTAACTGAATAGGCGATATATTAAATACAACAAATATTTAAAACATATGGTTAATATTTTAGAAAAGAAATTTTATCATAACTAATTAATACTTGCTTGAAATAAAATATTTCCCTTGTTGACTAAAACATAAAATCTGAAAGATTCAGATACTATTCAGCTTGAATTAATTAAAAAAATAATAAATCAATCAATTTCAATATTTTTTAATTTCATTTTGACTTTATATATAAATAAAATCCTATTAATTATATCAAATCTTTTAATTTAAATGATATTTAAAATATAATATATTATAAATTATTTACTGTTTTTTAATATTTTAATAGTTTATTATAAAACATACCTATTTGCTAAACTTAGTCTAATCCTAAAATGCATATATATATAAACAAATTTAATTCTTTATTAAATGTTTGTTTTAACCCAAATAAAATGAAAATTTACATTTTTCTTTATTAAAATTTTGTTTTCTAAAGATTTAAATTTTATAATAACAAATTCAATTAAAATATTTAAAAAGATATTAAACAATACCATATATTATCTTTTATTGGTTTTCTTTTTACTTTCATTTATCAAATTTTAATAAATATTCGTATTGTGATTAACAAAATTTTTAAGTATTATCTTAAAAATTAGGTTTTAGTAAAAAAATGTAGTATTTTTTTGAGTTTACAAAAATAATTAATTTGTTAGTATCTTTGTAATGAATTTAAATATAGAAAAAGTATTTTTAAAATTAATTTATTTAGATACAAATTCATTAAAAAAGATTTAATTAAAATAAATTTTTTAACAGAAATTTTCAAATTGATAGGATATAACATTCATACTATTATAGAGAGTGTTGACTTATAAATTTATTTGTTATAATTAATATAATTTCAAAAGAATAAGTAAATTAATTAATTATTCATATATCTTAGATTTGCATTTAAAACTGTGATACTTACTATTTATTTGACAGAGCAATACATACTAATTATAACGAACTAACTAAAACAAAATAATATAAATACTAAAAAAGCAAAAGTCATCTAGCAAGTAAGCAAGTTTTTAGGTAGGCTGATAAATCTATTACAAATATAATTAGATAGTTGAAATGTCTCAAAGCAAGCAGTATGTAAACAATTAGGTTAAGAGTGTGAATAAAGTATAGACTCCTCATCTAATATCAGATATATCTAATATAGTTAAAGTAATTTTTCAAGCGTTTTCGATTTCCTATCTAATAAAGTTAAAATAAAATGATTTCAAAGGAAAAAAAGATTTTACATTTATAGTTAATATAAAATTAATAAATATGCTTTACTTAGTTTTTGTTTTACTTACATTTTATATATTTAATTCATAAAAGATAGTATGTGGAGCAAATCATTCTTACGCAATAGACACAAATTTTGAAGTTTATGCTTGGGGATGCAATCTAGGCAGAAAGTTAGGACTATCAGATGAATATTATAACCAAATATTTCAAGCAGATATACCAGAGTAGATAAAAATTCCAGTTAAAGTGACAGAGCTCTCAAATAAAGTAAAAAAAATAAAAAATTGAAAGCAAAAAATACTAAGCAACAAATGAAAAAACTATCAGAAAATAAGAATTTGATTAAATAAACTAAATCTAATCAATTCTTTCCTTTTTTAAGCAATTATTTTAAATATAAAATAGAAAATAAATAATATTTCTACTGGCACTAACCATTCGTTCGCTTGGAGTACAGAATTAAATTAGGTCTACTGCTGGTAATAAAGCAAATAATTAGCTATTTTTTGATGAATACAAAAATGTTTAAAGTATATGGCAAGTTAAATAAACAAATGAACCAATTAAAAATTTTCAAATGATTTTCTAGCTTTATTATATCATTAGGAATTATCAAATAAGTATTAATGATAAAAGGATTTGGCTTTTATTGAGTTAATTTTGAAATATTTAAATAGGATTCCTTTTAAAAATAAGAATAAATTAAGAAAATATAAATAAATTAAAGTTAATTATGGATTAACAAATATAATTTTTCTAGTAATTAAGTTATAAATAGAGAAAAATTTCGAAATAAAAATGTCTTAAAATTAAAAATTATTAATTTTATAGAGTAAAAATCTATTTTGAAAAATGAATCTCTTTCAATTGGTTTTTAGAAGATATTATTCCCTACCAATAATTTAAAAAGTCAAAGATAGTAAAAATTAATAAATTTCGTATTAGCCAATTAATTTAGAATATTTTTAAAAAAATAACTTTTAAAATTTAAATTAATTAAATTTAATTTAGTTTAATTTTTAAAGATTTTAACATAATTGATGATAATTAAAAAGTTTTTTAGCATAAAAAGATTGCACAAATTTTTGCTAATAAATAATCAACAATAAAAATTTAAAACAAAAGGGGAATTGGAGAATATGGAAAATTAGGAAATAAAGAGAGTAAAGATTTATAATATCCTGAAATTTTTAATGGCTTGAAATAACCAGAAGGTATTTAATGGGAAATTTCAGAAATTTCATGTGGAGAAAATCACACTGTTGCAGTAATAAAACAAATAAATGTAAATAATTCATAAAGTTAAAATAAATTGTATGTATGGGGTAGTTCTAGTGATTGGCAGCTTGGAATTGATACAGGAAAAACTGATTATGTAAATTAGCCCTTAGAAATGAGTCCTGATTATTGGGAAGGAAATGTTGAATCAGTGAAAGCTTGCTCTGATTTTACAATTGCTATTGATAAATAAGGGAGAGTATTTGTTTATTTATTAAATACAATAAAGTTTATTTGAATAATTTTTTTGCTAACTTCAAGATATTCTCATGGGGGAAAGGAGGATTTAATAGACTTGGATACAAAGCTGAAATAGTTAATTAAAAGCATCCATTACAAATTGAATCGCTTAGCAAGCAATAAATTATTTAATTTTCTTTAGGATCTTTTCATAGTGCTGCTATTACTAATAATGGCCGCCTATATACATGGGGAAGAGATAGTAATGGACAACTGGGTCATGGCTAAGCAAAAGCAGATGTATTTTTATAATTTTATTATGCATAAATTTGATAAGATAATTTAATTATAAAAGATATTTCCAAAAGAAGTGTAAGCTCTACAGAATACTTATATAGTAAGTGTAGCATGTGGAGAAGGACATACATTAGCATTGTCAAAAAATAATGAGTTATTTAGTTGGGGATTAAACTCATCTGGATAACTTGGACGTGCGTCTGAGAATCTAAAAAGCAGTGATCCAAAAAAAATATCTTTTTTTGAAGATAAAAGCATAAAGTAAATAGCATGTGGTTCGAAGCATTCCTTAGTTTTGTTGTAAGATGGCACAGTCTACTCCTGGGGAAGCAATCAGTATGGATAATTAGGATTTGATTAGGATAGTAATGCATAAAATACGATAGCCTCATCATAAAATGTGGATCTTATTTCATAAAATTCAAGTTAAATATTTAATTAATAACTTAATTAGAATAATACAACATCATAATTTTAACAACAACAATTTAATCAATAAAATTCAAACAACATTGATTTTTAAGGTGTTAATTAATTTAATGGTAACGAACTAGCCCCTTTGAATAATGTTCATCAAGCACTATAATTAGGAAACGTTTAAACTATCAATAATAATTAATCATAAACATTTATGTCTCCTAATTCATTTGTAAGTAACAGAAATTAAATAGGTCAGAAACCCTACCAACATATGAATCCAAGCTATTTTTAAAATCAGTAATAATTTTAATAACCACAGTTATATCTACCTTAAATGGTAAACAGAGGAACACCAACTAATCCTATACAGTCCCATGATTCCTCTAATTCTTTTAATTCTTCAACCCCAATAGTCTAAAAAAACGGGAAATCTCCATCAAGCGAATCTAGTAAAGACTACCTCAATAAATTGAGTCCATAGCTGATTGTAAATAGATGTAAGAATTTCAAAAATTTAATAATTGTTTATAAACAATTTTTTTGAAATTTAAATTTATTTTTTATTATTTAATTATTAATAATTAAATTATATAAAGAAGTTAGCAGAGTGAATAATAATAGTGCAAGTTTGTATAACAACTAAGATCCTAATATAAATAATTACAACAACTACCATGGGAGTAACAGTTAAGATATATAATAAGATGAGAGGGACAAATAGATTTAGCTATTGATGTAGGAAAACTAATTTTTGAGAACAAGAGTAAAATACTTGGAGTAAAATTAAGATTTGGAATCAGAAAGTTAAGAAAAGGTTTACAATCTCACGAATATGTATCTAGATTACATCATGGAAAACGCTGTGCTGCAATCATAAAACACTATAAATAGCTTCTATCAATAAAAATATGATTCTTATTAAATAGAGCAAGATATTAACTATAAAAACCACTAAGTAGATAGGGTAAACTGTTTTCCATTTGTTTTTGTTTATAAATTTTATACTAACTTAATTATTTAAATTCAAAATTGTTTTATTACTTTTTTTAATGTTTTTTGCTAAATGAAATAGAGCTTGGAAGAGTTTAGAAAAAGAATTGATTTGGTTAAAAATCCAAATATAACTTCAGTTTGCTTTTGTTAATAAATAATGAAAAAACTTTCAAGATTTATCAAATAAGTATATAACAATTTAGATTCCTATCAATAATAGTATTAATAGTAGCCAGGGTTTATTTAAAATATGAATAATTCATAACATCATCAATATCCATACTTTAATAATAACAATAACAACAATATGATTATGAAGCAATAATACATGTAAAATAATCAATATTAATAATAATAACATTATTTAATGCATAATCAACTAGCCCAGTCAAGTGTTAATCCGAATTTATCACTACAGTAGTAATAGCAACCATCTTCAAATATAATAGGATAACTATAGATAAACTAGCAATAAATACTTAGTAATATTTAATAAGCATAAAGTGTTATAAATTCAGCAACTCCACCATTATAAAGTGTTTAAGGAGAAATCTTAAATCCAACTACTTTGCATCTTCTTTCATCTTAAAACTAATAAATATGATATAGTGTCTTTTATTTTCCCAATTTTATTGTACTTATTTAATATTTTTATTATTACCTATATTATATATTTTAAGAATACTTCAAAATATATTATTTTTAATAAATTTTTACATTTCATTAAATTATCTTCAAATTTAAGTAAAAAAATCTAAAAATGTTGTAATGCCGTAATGCCGAATATTTACTAACATTTCATGAGATGAATAGTTATCATATTCAAATTTTGATCTATCATAAATGTCTTAAATAGAATATTAATTTAAAAAGTTCAATTGTATAAATAGACATATTTATTATATTTTTTAGCCAGTTTATTAATTTATCTGTCTACTATAAAAAATCAGATAGATTTCCAATTTTAATTATTTATTTTAAGGAACCATAAAAATAAAAAAGCTATTTAATTATATATACAACTCAAATCTGTTGAAGAATTTTCATACCTTCTCGGCCTTTTGGCTAAGATCAAGTGTAGTATCTGTTCTTATCAGTGTGAAAACTGATACTGTCCCTACTGGGACATGTGGTTTCACATTAATTTTTCAAGGGGTCGGATATATTAGTGGCTTGCCACTGGTCCCGACGCGGTTGCCCTTAGCATGCACGTAACTAAGGAGTGGCTAACCCTAACTTCCCTTAATTAATCAAACAAAACTATATTTTTTTTCTCTTCTATTAATTTTCAATAATTATTTTAGATATGTCAATAATTTAAACATAAAGGTAAATAATAAAATTATAACAAAATCTTCATGAAAAAATGCATGAAAAAAATGAAAAATAAACAATATGAAATTTCTTGATAATTAAACAAATAATTACTATTATAATTTTTATGTTAACTTTAAATATGTAAATAAATTTAAATTACATAATGTTAAAATTAAAGCCAATCAATTTACTTATTTCTTACTTTTCTAATAAATACTTGATTATTCCCTTCAGTTTAAATATTTAAAATTAATAAAATTTAATAAAGAACCATAATAATAAATAATTGACTTAACTATATATTTAGCTGTATAGCTATTGAAGAATTTTCATACCTTCTCGGCCTTTTGGCTAAGATCAAGTGTAGTATCTGTTCTTATCAGTGTGAAAACTGATACTGTCCCTACTGGGACATGTGGTTTCACATTAATTTTTCAAGGGGTCGGACAAACTAGTGGCTTGCCACTGGTCCCGACGCTGTTGCCCTTAGCATGCACGTAACTAAGGAGTGGCTAACCCTAACTTCCCTTAATTAATCAAACATAAAAATCTTTCTCTTTTCTTACTTTATAATTAATTTTCTAAAAAAGCTTTCCATTTTATTCAATTAAAAAAAAAATAAATTTAATAAAACACTTAAAAGTAAATAAATAATTTAAATAAAAGCCCATAATTCATTTTTAATAAATTTAATAAATAAAATTAAACTACCAAAATATCTTTTTAAGGTCAAAGAATAAATTATTGATTTTTTATTAAAATAGAATAAATTAATAATAAATTGTATTTAACTATATCATTCAGGCTATTTTATTTTGAGGATTAATCTTTAGATATTAAAAAATTTTATAGTATTTTAAATCAAACTTTTTTGTTTTTTTTGCTTGCTTGATTGCTTGTTAGCATGAATGGGAAATAATCGCTTTAAAAAAGTATCAATTAATATCAAATAACATTTAGATTAAAGAAAAAGTTATTAAAAATATTAAAATTTTAAGAATGGCTAAAAATTCAATCTTATTTAAGTTAGTTAGTAGCGCAGGTACTGGTTTCTTCTACCTCGCCAAGAGAAACGCTAAGTAAGAAATTAAATTTTAAAATTATAGTAAAGAAAAGCATTTTAAAATCATTAAATAGAGCTGAAGTTATTAAGAAACTTAGTTTGAGAAAATTCGATCCAATTATTAATTAATATGTAGTATTTAATGAAGCTAAGCTCTCTTCTGGTAAAAATAGACAATCAAAGAAATGATTAAGATTAAAAAAATAGAAATATAATTAAACAAATTTTAGCAAAGTGTTTAAAAAGTGTTAGGTTTGCTAAGGGATGGCTTTCCTGTTTTGAATATTGCCAATCATAAAATAATATCTAATTGAAAGTTTTGTATCTATCTATTACTTACCCTTTTTGTACATTTTATAAACAAAAGGTCTAATGGAAATTATTAATTTTATGTTAAATAAGGAAGTTAGAGACTTTACTCAAAAGTACTATTTAAAATATTTAATTTTATATGAAATACTACATAATATTTAAATTAATTAGTTTTTAGATTTATATCCATATAACACTGCTGATATTTCTATTTGATTCTTTTTGGTCTACTTAAATCTTTTAATCTTCAATATTTAGATTTCCTACAAGCTCTTTTAATATCTTTCAATTGCTTTATTTTCAATCAAACAGAAACATTTGTTTTCAAAAATAAAATTAAAAATTATTTTAATTATTTTATTCTTCAATATAAAGTTAAGATAAATATTTAAATTAATTAAATATATTTAAAGACTAAGCTTTTTAATAAAATTTATCAAGGATATTTTAATGAAATTTTAAGTAGAAATAAAAAGAAAACAATATAACTTTAAATATACAATTTTATTTATCTCAATCAATAATAAACAATTAGGATAATTTTCAAAATAATTAAAATTTATCATTTCAAAAAATACTTATACAATTATGATTTAGGATAATTAATCAAGGATCAACTGCAAAAAAACATACTATACACATCCCTCACAGATTCCCAGATATGCAAATAACAAAATGTGCATCTTCAATCAAATATTTATTTTATAAAGAGAAATTTAAAAAATTTTTAATATAAAATGAATGCCTATAATTTTAATCATATTTATGTTACCATACAAATACTTTTTGTATCTCATAATATTAAAAAAAGTAAATATTTAGTTTTATGCTAAGATAAGAACATGTGAGTATTAATTTAAGATGAGCTAGAGTTTTGTATTCTCAATTAAAAAAACAATAAACAAATTTTAATTTCCTTATATTGATTTAAATTTTAATAAAATAGAAAAATTCATCAAATAAACCTTAACCTAAATCCAAACTAATCCAACTTCACTAACTCTACTCCAATCATAAATGAGACACGATTAAGTATTGTTTGTTAAATTTATCAAGGAAAGTTTATAACTACTAAATAATGATCGTTATCAATGAATCATCGAAATCATTGATACACTAGTAATTTTATAATTTTCTAATCAATATTTTAATAATTTTATCAAAAGATATTTTCTTTACGATAATCTAAAACATACACTTTTGCTGTTGAAAATAAATAATTGATTATCAATCATAAAATATGTCTTAATCATTAGAAGGATTATTTTTAATTAAAATGAATGATATTGAAAAAATTTATACTTTAATTTACTATCCATTCATTAATAATGAAACATTTTAGCTTTTTTATTAAATAAATAACACAAAATATAATCAAACTTCATAAATTATACTAAATTTTTTTCTTATAAATAATAATAAAAATACTATTAACAACATAAAATCTTTATCAATTGTAGAATGTCAATTTTACTAACTTTGATGAATCATAAATAATTAAATTTATCTTAATACTCTAGGTGTGTTTACAAATGAAATAATATTAATATACATTAAATATTTATATTTTTTAAGATTAAAGAACACCTGTTTTTAGCAATAATTTTATTAACTTGTTACTTACTTAAACATTCATATTTTTTTTGTAATAGTTTTAGTTATTTTTTATTTTTGGAAATAAATTTTAAATGAATTTGCAAACAAATATATATATATTGATCTTTTACAAAAGAATTTAATAATATATTCAATTATCATCTTCTTCATCACTATCTACATTTATTTGATTCTATTAAAATTATACGAAAGGATCAAAAGAAGCCTTACTCACCTTAGAAACTTTACTAGCATTAGATTATCCAGTAGCTCCTCTTATTCCACTTGAGGCATAAGAAGCGTTAAGCAATCTCATTTCATTCCTATTAGGTTAACGTTACTATGTATTTTTATTTATATCTACAGTAGCATAAGGATTAGCCCCTAATCCATAATCGTCATCTTCATCATCACCATCATTTTATTAATTATTTGTGAACATTGGATAAGATTATCTAATATTTTGCATTGAGGGTTAAGTAGGTCTTTGCCCATTATACAAAAAATTAGTTTAAGAAGGTATGCTGCTAATTGGCTATGTATTTCCTATAAACATGTTAGACTGTGAAGGAATTCTAGGCTAGTTCATAATTGGAGCAGTGTTATCTCTATACTAGTTAAACATTGGCCCATTTAATTAAGATTATGAATTAATTCGTTAGTTATTGAATTGATTACCTTTTTTAATATTTAAATTATTTAAAAAAATTTTTTTTGAGAAAAAATTAACAAGTTTAAAATTTTTTTAATCAATATTGAGTTTAAAATTACCTTGAGGCTATCTTTGATAATTATTTCCACTTGATGAATAATTAATATTTTATAGGTTTGTAAGTTAGATAGTAGTAGGAGTGACTTTGTTATTTTAAGAAGCTATTAATTATGAAAAACGTTAATTAAGTAATTTTAGATGATTTATATAAATTTATTACCAATAATTGGAGTTTATTAATTCGAAGCTGCTGTATTTATTCTAAAATTAGATTAATTGAAAGCAAGACTTGAATTATTATTATTGTTTTTTATGGTTATACTTTTTTAATTATAGTCATCACTATCATTACTATTGTTTAAATTCACTAATTCTTATTCCCTAGTCTGTAAATTATTATTTTTAATTATAGCTGTTGGATTTTGAGGACTATTATTAAATCCAGATTTTTCATCTGTTATTAAACGTTATGGAGTACCATAGTTTGTTTGTGTATTAAGAGTATTAGTCATAGGTTTAGCTCCTAATAATGTAGAATCATTAGCAGGTTTAATAGCTCCTGTAGCAGTTTACATCTTTGTTGTAGCTGTATTATCATTTATAATGGCAGTGTTCTTTTTATTTTTTTAAAACTCTTCTTCATCACTATTCTAAGAGTCTTCATCTTCACTTTAAGCTTCTAATAAATTTTATACACAAAATTAAATATTAATCTTCTACTTTTAAAACTCAAAAATTTAATATTTTTGTTAGTTAATTAGTTACTTTCATCATCTGATTTATCTTTTTCATAAACTTTATTCTCATCTACATTTACACCAGCTTTTGACTAGATTTTATATTTTTCTAAATCTTCTTAGACATAATATTCGAATACATTTTTAATAAAAGGTTCCACATATCTATTCTCACCATAAAATATTTCTTGATCAATCAGGTAGCATTAGATTACTGATTTGCAAGTTATATCATATGACCCAAGAAATATCTTTATGATTTTATTTTAAATTAATAAAATAATTAATAAATTTTTATTTCAATTTTTATATTTGAAACTAACTTTTTTTAGCAAATAAAATTTGTAGAATTCTTAATAAATCCCAATTAATAAAGCTATTTACTATCTTAGATTTTCAATAAATTGATTTTTAACAAATCAATTTTTTATTTGAAAATTAATTTTATTTTAAAGTAAATTTTTTAAGTTTTAATGATTGAATAATTTTTGATGAAATTTTATATTACTGATGAAAAGAAGTAAGAAAACATTCCAACTATTAATCCAGGGAAAAACTTGTTTTCGATTTCTGAGGTACTGTAATTTGTCAAAGGTGTTGTATTGATAAAACTAAGGATAACATAGACAAATAGGAAGGACGTAAACGAAATTAGGAATTTTATATTACTTACTACAAATTCTTTTTATTTTAATTTTTTCTTATAAGTAAATTTAAAAAAAAATAAATATTTACATTGCATTCCATCCATGTCAGATATCTTTTCTTTATTTCTAAAAATCAAAAAATATGCTATTTTAGAGGAAGGATAAAATTCCATGCTTGTAATAGCAACTTGGACAAGAGAGCTTTTGGAGAAATAACGTAAAAACTTCTCATAAGAAAATAAACAGCAGTTACAAGTAGCCTAAAAGTAACGAACTGAATTTAAATATTATGGCAAACTTCTTAGTGATCTTCTAAGAGCCATAATAAATATCTTAGGAATTGTGATTACAGTACTAATAAGTGAAAACATGACTACAGTACCAAAGTGATATCTAAAAATGTTCTTGAAAATAACCCATTTAGGAATCTAATTAATAATTTAACATGCGTTTAATAATAATTGTCAATGCCACTTAAAAAAATGTTTAATTTACTTGAACTGTGTCTTTTCTTTTTGTAAAAAACCAAAGAGTAATGCTATAGCTTACAAATAAATCTCTAAATCCTAACAAAAACAGCATCCATATGATAAATATAAAAAAATCATAAAACCCTATAAAGTAAGCAAATCCGCTAAACTACATAACTTTCAGTTTCCCTCCACTGATTGCTATTTAATATAATTTAGTTTATTAAAATCAGTAAACAAAAAATTAATGAATACCTCCTGGGTTAGAATTTACAACAACAACATCAGCTACTGATAGTCCAAAAGGGACATTAATAAGAGATAGAGCAGCAACAACAATAGCAATTATAAGAACATAAAAGGGAATCCACTTAATTTGTTACATGATTTATACAACCTAAGATGCTATTTTAAGAAATCCTACTATTTTAACTATTCTTTTTGATAAAATCATTAAAAGTATCACATACAAGCCTGCCAAGACAACAACGCTAATTGCAGCACTCTATAAAAATAAAATTAGTTAAATGTAAAATTAATGTTTATATTATAAATAAAACTACCCTAAAAGAGTAACCTCTTGAACCAACACAATTATTTTCATCTCTTAAAGTGAAACAATTTTTTTGAAGTTCCTATTTTTTTTATATTTAAATAAAATTGAATAAATGTTTAAAATAGTTAGATTTACTAAAAGGTATTCTCTGTAAAACATGAACGCTAAACCACCACAGCACATCAAAATGAATAAAAATACTAAACTCACAAAGCAAGAAACCGTGCTTTAATTTTTTAAAAAATACAAAAATGAAAAGGACAAAATAACTGTTAGTAATGCTCCACAAAGCATGATATCAACTCCCTAAATTTTATTTGAAAATTAATTTATTTAAAAAAATTATAGATTTAAAATTTTTAATTACAAGCATAATATCAGATGCATATCTCTTGACAGATAGATCGAAGCTTTCTAAGTAGGAGTTTACTACAGCTCCATTAATGGGTTCATTAGGAACACAATATTTACTCCTATTCGAAGACTGCATTTAGGTATAACAGAATTTTGAAAAAACTTAATCATATGTCTTTCCTGATGTGTCGTATAAACAAATAAGTGGACCCTAATTTATAAAAATTATGATTATTTTTTGATGTTTACAAAATATATTTACTGAAGAAGTAGGACAAGAAGAGACACACATAGCTACTCTTATATCTTAAACAGGGTTTAAATAATACAGATAAGGCTGTTTAGAGTACTTCCCATTTCCACAAAGTTCTGTTCTGAAATCATAGCCATTAGCGAGACGAGATGGCCTACCATCACTTAAAACTATAGTAAGTACATAAACAAATTAAATTAATTTCTTTATTCATTTATAAATTTATTTTATAAATTAATTACCATAAATAGAAGTAAAAACAAAGAAACCGTTCAAAACTATCCATAAATAAATACAGTATTTATTTGTTAGTACTCTATCACCTAATATTTTTATTTGTAATTAGTTAATTTTAAAATATTTTTAAAACCTAAAACTGTACAAAAAGCAAATGAATAAATTACTTGTTGGTCCTTTGAATTTTGTCATTGGCTTGAAAAATTCATCTTCTTAGTCTTGTGCTTCGTACTTTTCTAAAATTGAAAGTTAATCTGCATTAGTAAATTATTGCATTCTCTTTTTCATTAATTCTTATTCTTTCCTTTTTTACTCCTCTATTTTGCGTTATTCATCCTTCCACCACTCTTTCTCCATCAAATACCTTTTGACAAATTCTTCTTTCTTCTTCTTACGCATCTCTTTTTTTTTTCCTACTTCATTTTCGTCAATGTGATCCTCCTAATTATAATCGTCATTATCTTCAATATCTTCAACATGAACATCGTTTTATTATGTGTTATTCTCAACTTAACCAAAAAGGTCATCATTATTATCTGCCATCTGAAGAATATATATATTCTAACTAATAATTTCAAGTATTATTCTCTTATTATAATTTGTATTCTAACTTCAACTAAATTGTAAATGAATTTTAAAACAATTTTGAAATATCTTATAATTGAAATAGCTCTCTCTTCTACTAAAAGATTTATGTAAATTTCAAAGTAATTAAGTTTTACTTGATATATAAAATCAATTAATTAATAATTGATTAGAAATCTATTTATTATTTTTTAACATAAGAAAGGCATAGTTCTGTCATTCATTAATACATATAAAATATGTTAGTATACTAAACTATTGTTTTTATCTAATCAGTATACTTTTTAAGATTATAAATTAAAACCAATCATTCATTTTCAGACGTGAATTTCAATAAACTATAAAGTTAATTTGAATAAAAATCTTTACACTGAAGATTATTAATAAAATTTTTGGATATATAAGTCTATAAACAATACATGAAAGCATTTCCAAAAATTTATAAGATTTCTTATATTATAATGATAATCATCAAAAAAAAATTATATAGAAAGAATAAGTAGTAATTGTATTACTTGTAATATCTTTTTTGAGCTTACAATATTTAAATACTTATATTTATTTTAGTGAAATTTTATTTTGTAAATTAATTACTAATATTTAAAAATAAAATATTTGAAATTATTTAGATAGTAAATTAATTCAAATTATTTAAACAAATTTAGTATTTGATAACTTAAATAAAAGCCTTTATATAAATAATATTGAGATAAACTTTTAAAAAAATTCTAAGCAATTTTGATACTGTATATAAAAAATTCTGCTATGAGGGCATATCTACATCGAATTTATTTAACTTGAAAAAAGATCTCAATAAAAATAGATATTTCTTTATAATAAAGTAAACAATTCAAAGTAATACTCTCAAGTATTAAGATTTAACTTAATTAAATGCTATTTTATTCTATCATAATAAGAATTTTGTGAATTAGAACAATTATTCTTAAGAATCTAATTTTGAAAAAATAGTTTTTATTTCATTTGCTTTTAACAAATATGCAAATATTCTATGATTGTTATTTTTATTTTAGCCAAAATTAATTAAAAACTTTAAATTTTAAAAATAATTTATTTATTTTTCTATGTATTTAATTTTTAAAAAGAATAAAAAGAAAAGTAAGTTTTACATATTATCTGTAAATATTTAAAATTACAAATTAATATAAATTTTTCCTATTCTTTTTACATATTGTAAAAGTTAATTTTTTTAAGTTAATTAAGTAAAATTACTATTTAATTTATTAATTATTTTCACAAAGATTCCTTTGCAGACATTAACTAATAATAAGAATCTGATTTTCAATTAATAGTTAATATATTATAGTCTCCACCAGCACCTTTTCCTGCGTTATTTTACTTCCTTGAAACCTTTTTTTAAATTAAAATCATTATCAGTAATAATTAATTTATAAATTTTTTTAATTTTAGATTATATTTATTACCTATAATTTATAGGTAAGGAATTTTTTAAGGTCTGCAAACATTTATTATTGTCTAATGCTGGGCTCGTGATTTTCCTTGACTAGTTCTCTTTGCTTTCTAAGGTCAATAATTTATTCATCTAATCTTCTAGCCTAAATTAAGATTAAATAAATTAAAGCAATTTTTTAAAAATTTGTTTTATATTTACTTCCCCATTGAAAAGTTCAACATAACTTTTATATTAACTACTGAGTTACTTTTCTCCCTTTTAGTATTTTTCTTCTTCGTTAAGTCTATTGAGCTTCAAGTCTAAGATTTGTTGACTATATTTCAGGGAAGTTATTTTAGTATCATCTCTATATACTTCTTCCTTCAATTTCTTTACTTCTTATTCAAGTTAATTTATTTCAGACTCGCTCTTAAGAATAACTCTGTCGTATTCAGCTTTTTTAGTTTTCCAAACTTATTCGACTTCCTTTTTTTAAATTTAAGAATAAATACTTAATAATTGATACTAATTTTCTTACTTCCATCTTTTTTTGCATTTCTTTTTATTCTTCAGCTTATTATTTGAGATAAACTTATTTCTCCTTCTTCATTTAGTTGTATTTAACAGTGAGTTGAGAGAATTCCTCTAGTTTTTTCTCCTTTTATTCATTCATTTCGTTATTAATTTGTGTTAAATTTTCACCTTGTTGGGCAATACCTGAAAAACCTTCAATATTTTTTTCCTTTTCTAGCTTTTTAAGCATTTAATCATATTCTGTTTTGTTTTTCTTTAAAACTTCTTCAGTACGTGAAAGCAAGATTTTTTCTTGTTCTAAATTAGACAGTTGCTTTCTCATTTCTTTGCATTTTGCAGCTTTTTCTGCAACAGTTTTGACATAAGCATTCATATCACTTATTCCACCTATGCCTGCACCTATTTTAATATAAGTAAGTATGTTAATTATTTATTAAATAATAATTTATTTAAAAATAATTACCTCTTTCTTTATTTAATTTTTCTGTTAAGACTTATACCTTCTTTTCAAGAGTTGTTTGCTCTTCTTCCGTTCTTTTGAGTTCTTCGATAGCTTTTTCTTTCTTACGAGCTACTTGTTATGCTGACTATCTGTAAATGAGAAGCTTGGAATCATCCTATGGTGGCTTTTTGGCAAGCTTTTCTTCAAGTATAGTGACAGCTATTTAAAATTAAGTAAAGATATAGATTATTATTAAATTTTTAAAATTTGTTTATTTATTTTACATAAATTAAATTTTCAAAAATCTATAAATAAATAAATATTCAAAAATTAGTTATAAATTAGTGGTTTCTTTTTTATCATTTTTTCGTCATAAAAATAATTTATGAAATCAATTTTAATAAATAAAATAATACCTCTTCTAAGTACAACAAGTTAGTTGTCTAAGTTTGACAACTCACCTTAGGTCATGGGAGGTTCCATAAGGAGCTTTTCAGTAGCTTCAAGTTTTTTTTTCTTTTCATTGATTTCGATTGCAAGTCTCATTGTGGAGAGCTCTCTGTTCTTTTTAACTTCATTTCTCATTGATTGAAGCATTTGTTCTGGAGTGTTGGAAGGGTCCATACTCTTTTATGCATCAAGCAAACGCTATTGGGCTGTTAACAATTGCTAATCAGTATATTCTAATTATGATTTTTATTGATAAATCTTGTCATCTAAACGAGCTTCTTCTTCTTATTCTTTTCTAAGCAAATTAGTTTCTTCCAAAAGAGCTTGGAATTCAGGATTCATGGTATTTTTAGATTTAGAAATGTTAATTTTGCTAATCAATTGTTCTCTTTCACCTTCTAAACTTGCTAAAACCTTTTTCAACTCAGTTGGATTCTATCATTTTTATTTATAAAAAATATTGTCATTCACAATTTAAAAATCAATATTTTATATAGAATATTATTAAGTTATTTACTTAAGATTCGCGCAAAGCAGCTTGATAATCTTAATGGTGAACTTGGAATTCAGCTTGTAAATCTTTATATTTATCATTGAAAGTTTTCATTTCCTCATCGAAAGGAATATCTTCAGGAAGAGTGAAAGGTACCAAATACTTAGCTAAATAAGCTCTTTGTTAGTGCTCTTCAAGTCTGGACAATAAATAGTATAAAATAGGATTAACAACTCTCTTTTCTCCTTACAATAATTGAGTTTGAAATGGCCTTAATATTTTTATAAAAAAATTTTATTTTTAATCTAAATTGAAAATTTTGTTGATTAATTTTATCATTTCAAGTGAATTTTAAAATCATTTATCAGGATATCCATTTATTATAATGCATTAAATTAGATTTATTTGTTTTTGAAACTGATAGTGTTTATTTTATTAAATTTAATAAAAAGTATCTTACACATCATTAGGAGGAGGAGGAATGGGATAACCTAAAATATTTAAGAAATTGCAAGTATCGGAACCTATTTATTCAGGCATTTTCTACTTAATATTTTCGAAGGTATTCTTGTCTAAATAGAGTAAAACTTTGTATAAAACATCAAGGAGATCAATGCTAATTATAAGATAAATAAATGTAAATGAATAATTCAAACAATTAAAATAATTCAATCTAATAATTATCTTAATTAAATCATATTTTTAAAGCGAATTACTTGCTTAATTCATCGAAGGTGACAAGCTTGTAGTCATAATTAAAGGGTTTATCATTCAAGCATTTAACTATGAGCTTTAATTCTTCGTTACCTATAATTGTCTTGATGGGTAAGGGCTGCTATTACTGCTATTGCTAATTCTAACCAGGACCTCCCTAGTACTGGTTATATTATTGGTATTATTGCTATTGCGGATTTCCGTAGCTATTATAATTCATTTACTGAATGTTATGTTTGTATTTGACTATGTTAGCGATTATGCTTTTCTTTTTTACAAATATTATTCAATTAATATGATTTTTGATTTTCTCTGTTATCTTTTTTATAAATAACTTATTAATAATCAAGAAAAAATAAATAATTCAAAAACAAAACATCTTTTTATTTTTAATAGTTTGGATTTTAAAAATTTTCAAAAATTAAAGTAAAACAAATACTAAATATCTAAAAATACAATTCATTCATTTTTTAAGCACATTCAATCCATTAGTCAATATAATTTCAAGAATTTAATTTTAAAAACAATTTAATAATAAAATGTAACATCAGCTTCAAAATAAAATGATATCATAGCAAAACCTTGAATTGTAAATTCTTTAAAAATTTAAAGAACAATTTTGACTAGTTTAGCTTCATTTTTTATTTAAAACCATCAGCTAACTAACTAAATGAGTCAATAGATAAGTAAATTATTAATTGTACTAATGAATACTGGATTTTTAATTTTTGTTTTTTCTATATCTTATAGTATCTTATAATTTTAAAGAATATATACATAATTACAAAAATAAATATCAATATTTTTATTTTTAACAATTAATTATTTAAATTTTTTATATTCAATTCATTTTTTTTTCTATCCATTCATAGATTTTTTACCAGAAGAAGTGTCAGCTTTTTTAGTTTTTTTGCTAGAGAGTCCTCCATACTTTTCAGCTAATGAATCTAAAAAGCTTAAAGCGTCTCCCTTTTTAGCTAATATTTATTAAGCTAAATCTTTTAATCCATTCTATTACTCTTCGAATCCTTCCTCTTCATCCTCTTCCAACAAAATAATTTTACTCTTTGTTTTAGCGAATGCTTTAGTTTTTTTTAGTTTATTGGCTTTGAAGAGTTCTTCATACTTTTGAAGGAATCTATCAACATCTTCATTTCTGCTTAAAGGAATACACTCAAGAATAGTAGTGAGATCGCCATCATTTCTATTTAAAAATTTTAAAATGATTATTAAAAATATTAGAAAAAATGTGTCTATCTGGTAGAAATTACTCGTTATAAAAATTTATCAAGTCTTCTTCTTCCATATCAGAGCCTCTATATTTTTTTTCAAATTCAATAATATCTTCTTTTTCTATTTTTTTGTAAATTGCTCTATAAAAATTATAAGCTGCTTCGAATGCATGTTAATTAAAATCGTCGCCATATGATCCTAATTTTAATTAAAAATATTTAGCTAGCTATTTTAATAGAATCTTGCTTATTTCTTTTTTGTGTGCAAAATTTTTGTTTTTTATTACCAGTTTCATCATAAACTTTCTTCTTTTCAGGATCACTCAATATATTATATGCTTCTACTATCTTTTAAAATTTTTCTTTAGCTTGAGGGTCATCTTTGTTTTTGTCTGGATGGATCTTAAGTGCTAATTTTTTATATGCTTTTTTCTTAATTTACAAAATTCATTAATATACAAGATCGCCTTAACTAAATAATTTAAATTACTATTTATTCAATAGTAGCATCCTTTTCTATATCCAATAAATCATATAATGTAATTTTCTTTTCAGTATTTTCTGATCCACCGTTTTTGTCTTATTCATCATCATCTTCATCATCATTGTTTTCTTGCAGGTCATTATCTTCATTATCAAGTTAATCTTCTACTTCATCTTCCTCTTCTTCTTCAAGGTCCTTTTTTTGCTTTTTTGTTGATTTAGAATTCTTTTTTTCAGCCTACTTTTGCTGCTTTGATTAATCCTTGCTGCTATTTTTGGATAGTCTGCCCATATTTCGATATATACTACAAATACAAGGTTTTTTTTATAAATTGAAAAGATATTAATATTATATTTAACTAAAAAATTATTGGTTTTTTTATTTTCTTTGTGTTTAAATTGTAGCGGATTGATTATAGCAAACCGCTATTTTTTGATAATATATTAATTTTCAAATACTAAATTAACAAAAAACCCTCCTAGTAAATATTTTCCAAATAAAACAATATAAAAAACCCTCCATAACTAAAAGAATCCATTCATATTATATAATAAAAATAATAAATTTTTATAAACATTATCAATAATATTACAAAAATAGATATATAGCAAACAAATAAATATTTTTAATATTTTCAAAAAATATTTACTTTGTCTTTCTCTTAGTTCAAAAATAATTATTTAATTTCCTTTCTCTTTTAATAATTTAACATATATAATTTAACTCCATTTTTCTTCTCCCAATCCTTCTCAAATTCCTTCATTTGCTGATCTTATCTTTACTCATCTATTGATTTACTTCTCTTTACACTTACAACTTCAGATTTTCTTTTATGTGAAATTGCTAAAACGCTATTATCTAAAATAATACTCTTTCTAGGTTTGCTTATATTCAAAGACTAATGTCTTTTATACTAAGAAAGTTAATTTTTATCTTCAGAAACTAATAATTTGTTCTTGTTAGTTCTAGTTCTCTAAGATTTTTAAAATGCATCTTCATTTATTTATTAAAGCTTTAAGAAAACTGCAGTAGGATCTTCTCTCGAATGGCTGGATAAAAGAGGAGTAGAGCCTTTTAGATTTATTTTATTTTCAGCACATATAGTATTTTTATGTGGAGTGATTAGTAATTGATTATTTATTTAAGTATCTATTTAATTGAATAAATTAGTTATGCAAGAATTACTGCTATCAGATTATTTAGTTGCTTGATCTACTTCTTCTATGTTGCTATATATTCTATTATGGCTTTTTTAGCTTGCCATCTCTTAGGCCAACTACATTGTGCTTTTATTATTAAAAAGAGAGTCATTAATTAATTTATTCACAAAGTCACAGTTTAAGTTATTATTCTAATTCTAATTATTATTTTAAGTTAATTCTACCTTGTTGTCAGCCAAATTGATTCCAGATTTTTTGCTTGCCTTACTAGATGGACATTCCTCCATTATAGATGAATTATTATCTTTTTATTTTGAACCTTTCCAATTAATCTTATTGTTGTCCGATAGAACGTCAACTTAAATAGTCTCTGCATCTTACTTTTCATTTATAACTTAGAGTTTTGAATCTAAAATCCCAGTTTTTTTAGTTTCTTGAGAGTTTTCTTACTAAGTGCTATCATTTGATCTTGACTCAAATTCAACGATCATTTTTTATCCTTAATTATTTTTTTATTTTTAGTTCAAAGGCTATTCAGTTTTCACTTGCTTCAAAGATTTTATAGAGGCAGGTATTTCTTAGAAAGATTTAATATCTTTGCTATTTGATTTCGATCTGGTTACTCTATTAACTTAGCTACTACTTTAAGTACTAATTCTGTTTTTCCTCTCAGGAATATTTTTAATAGTATTAGAAACAATTTATTTATCATCTTTAGAATTTCTTCTCATGCTTTATTAAACATTATTAGTTTCATTGGGCTTCTCAACTCCAGGTAAATTGCTAGTTTGCCTCTTAATCTATTTTGATTACTGCTTTAAAGGCAATTATTAAGATTATATTTTTTCAAGTTTTTACTAATAATCATCAGTGCTAATTTATTTTCTCTTTTTAGTCTTAGGCAATTAATCACCCTTTGATCTTACGAAAGGAAATACCTTATTATCTAATTAATTTTTATCATTTTTTTTCCCCCTAGACTTTTAACCCTTATTTTAGTAATGATCATCATGATAAACTAAGAACCACTAGTCAAGCTCGCTTTTCTCATTTATTTTTGTCTTCAAAGGATCATAATAATTCATGTCTTTATTAGGTAGAAATTCTGAGTAGATAGGAGCATCAAATACAAAATCAAATGTTGTCTATTGAACATCTTTCTTATCCATTTATGTAAATTTTAAGTTCAATAAATTGACTTAAAAAGGATATTATTATGTATGATATTTTAATTTTTGATTTCTAATTTTTTGAAATTAAAATTAAAAATTTGCGCGTTTATACCAAGTTCTGTCAGACTAAGATAACAAAAATAACAATAACAACTTTTACAGCAAATATTTATTTTATTAGCAAGCTACAATAATATTTAATAAATATACATTGTTTAAAAATATTAGCTTATTTTTAGTAGAACATCAAATTTACCAAAAAATTTAAACAAAGATTAAAAAGAACCTTCAGTATGAGTGTTAGTTACCATTACTTTTTATTTAAGTAAGATAGTTTAAAAGCTTTAACACAAAAACACTTCATAATATAATTTATCTAAAGAAAAAATTATTTTTTTTTAAAAATAAAATACCATGAAATGTGATTACTATTTTTGAATTTAATATTATTTGATCATTAAAAGACCAATTAAATATGAATGTTTCAAATTAAATAGAATATCAAATTCAAAATTTAAAATGTTAGTTTTATTGTATGAAATAAAATTAAAATATAAAATAGGAAGGCTATTTAAATAATTTTATTAAGTATTAATTTATAAATTAAATAAAATAAATTAATATTTATATTTTAAATAAATATTATATGATATCTCCTGTTCAACTTTATAAATAGATATTTAAGATTTCGATCTTTTAAATAATTGATAAGATAATATTACAATTTCTATGTAAATAAAAATAATAATAATAAATTAATATCCTCAATCCATATACTCTTCCTTCCTTCCTTTCATTCAGATAAATAAAAGAAAAACTTGTTTCATAATCATGTGCATTTTTGAGTAAAGATTATTATATTAAAATTTATTGTTTAAAGACTAAAAATCATTAGATAAAACAGAAAGAGATTTCGATTAATTAATTGAGGGAAAATAATTAAAGTAACAACCAACTATTAATTCTTATTATGGAACAATCAATGATTATTTTTTAAACAAAGTTTTTTCAAAAAATAATCATCTAAAAAGTAAATAAAACAATTTTATTTAAAAATTAACAAACAAAATATTTAGTTTGTAAAGTAAAAGTGCATTCATTGAGCTCAAGATGAGTATTTTTATAAATTATCATAAATATAAATTATAAATATTATCTTTATGAATAAATTTATAATTCAAGCAAATATTTTTATAGAAAATACTTAATTAGTAAGTCATATATGAAATATAATATATGTATGGATGGATAGATAAATAGTTAAGTTGATGAATAAAAATAAATATTTTTATGATAAAATATTTGATGAATAGTATTATATAATTTTTTTCTTTTGTTAAGGTTAAATAATTTAGGATTTTTAAACATATTTTAATAGGTTGCTTATTTTAGAATAAATAGGGAGGTATTTTATTTAGATTAGAGATTTTTAGTTTGATTATTCTTTTTTAAATTCATTTTTATCTTTCCATTATACTGGCTTGTTTTTAAAAATTGATCAGTTGATTATAATTTAGATTATTTTAACTAAACGAATTGGTGGTTAAAATAGCCACACTGCACAGAAAAATCAGATTATTAATTCTTATCTCAATAAGAATTAGTTAAGTTTTTCTATTTCCAATTTACGTTGAGCAAAAGTAGGTTGTTTTTTTATTAGTTTTTGTAATCTGCTTTAATAAGCATGAAAATTTTTTTTATTTTTTCTATATTTTGATGTATTTTCATATTTTGATCAAAATACTTACTTTATTTAGCTGAAACTTACTTATTTTTTAGATATTCTTATATATGGAGAGGCTGTCTATTTTTATGATGAACATTTTAAAATACTCTTGAAATTAGGATGAGAAAGCTAACATTTCATTCCTTAGTCATTTTAAACTAGATTTATCTATGATGTTTAATTATCAGACTTGGGAGAACATTCTTTTTCATTTTCAGTGCTACCAATAAACTGTATTGAGGATTGAGTGCGCTAGTGGCTTAGAGATTTAATGCTAGAAAGACTTGTTTAAGACTTGTCAGTTAAATTAATTGACTAAGATGATTATTTATTTAATGACAAAGTTTCAGCCTTGTCTCTAATAATAGTTGATGCCTCAGAAAAATTTATTTGCTACTTATTCCTTAAAATATAGTCACTTGCCGATAATGGTTGAGGCGATTAAACCTAATTGGCTTACATCAAATTTTCGTTTTACTAGATAATGAATTAATCAGAAGTATTAGGTTAAACATAGAGCATACTTCTGACCAGCTTTCTTTTTTTATTGGAAGAAGACTACGTTATTGTGGGAATTTGACTAGGTTCTGTAGTTTACGTTTCTTAAGTGTTATTACTATCATTCTGAGTGCTTTATTAATTAGAGAGATCGGCATCGCATATTTTTATTATTCTTCTTCTTCTTTTAGTTTAGTTCTCATTTTATTGTGCTTATTGCATAGATTTCTTCTATAATTCTGGACTGTTACATTCACTGTGGGATATGAAATTGCTATTTTATTTTTTATAGGCACTGATTATTCTGTTTGTGTTATTATCAATTTTACTGAGTATCCATTTATTCTGACTATTTACCTGAGGATCATTATTTTAATGAGAAAATATGTTAATTTGTTTTGAGGAACTTTTATTGGTATTATTGATTGTGCCATTTAAAAAGCTGGGCAAGACCATGAACTTATTTTTTAGAGAAACTAAGCTAGTATTCATTGGATTTACATCCCCAGTTGAAGTATTTTTAGAGTTTTCGTTCTGATTAAGTTTTGGAAGCATAAAAAAAAGGTAGGTTATTAAGTGAATAAGATTTGTGTTTAAATTTTTTTATTTTATTTAAATCTTATAAAGTAAATTATTTATCACAAAATTTTAAGTCTTATTTCTTTCTTTTTAATTCTTTGCAAATAAACAGTAAGAAAATAAGAATCCATAAAAAAATTTAATATTTAATTATCGCAAAAGTTTGTATTACATAATTAATCATAAAAACCAGTAATATTTTTATTATTTTATGGTAATCTATCAATAATTAATTGATAATCTAATTTCATTAGTAATTATCATAAAATAAATTTAATTTTTCTATATTTTGTTAATTAAAATCCTAAAATAAAAAATTATAATAGCTATGCATACTACTGTATTGTAATTCAAATTATTTATTTCGATAAAAAGTTTGATTTTGATTTAATAAGCACAAATGCTAGTTAAATATGTGTTTAATATTTTATAATTAATAATTAGCCTTCGAATCTCAAAAAATTTATCTCTTGTCACTTCTATTTGTCAGCGAAGAAATTTAGACCTTTTCTATCTATATATTTATATGCTTATTAATTTATTTAGAGAAAAATAATTAACTAACTCCAAACACAAAGTAATAATTCTAATAGAAAAAACTATTGTAATAGCTGGCTAACTTACTGTTTATGATTTGAATAAATGTATGTTGTTTATAACTTACTTTTAAACAAATGTTATCTAATCAGATTTAATATTACTGTTTTTCCATAATTTTAAATATAAAAATATTAATAGATAGTTCAAATATTAACTTTCAGAATACTTTTTTAGAACAAAAAATAAAATTTTGTATTATTGCACTTTTATTATTATTATTATAAATAAAGGAAAAAGTTCTTTTTTAAACATTATTTGATATATTACAGCTTGTAATTTATTGCATGATGCATGCTTATGTGTTTTTTAATAATTTTGAAGAAATGATAAGTTTTTACCACAATTAGATCTTCAAAATTATTTTAAAGTTATAATAATACTTTTTTTTTAAAAAGTAAAGAAAAAATATTAACTATTTGAACTGTATTTTTGAAACCATTATCGCTTTTTCAAATAATAACTTAGTTAATCTATATAGGTATTTATAATTTATCATTTTTAACAATTTGTCATATTTTTATTTTCTCCGCTATTTAATACAAGCAGGATCTATTTCTTTTTTTAAATAAAAATTGCTCAGTAAGAATTATAAAGTAGAAAAAGGCATTAAAGTACTATTTCTTTATAGAATTTGTAATTCAAAACGTAAAAAAATGTTTCCAAATAATTCATACATAAAAATAAATTGTAAAAGTAGTTTCATTAATGATTTAATTAATGGTATCAAAAATCTTTGTACAATTTACAAAGACTACTATTAATTTTGGTAATTAAGAAGATTAAATATATTGCCTCATAATTGGCACCTAATAAGCTATTATAAGAATAAATGAGTAGTTTAAAGACATAAAAATTTTTTTTCATTAAAGGTTATATTAGAGATATCTCATTCAAGTATCAAATTTATTTAGAATAAGTATTATATAACTAATAATTACTATTTCTTCTTATTTTAACAAGAATTTAAAAATAAATACAAAAATTTTAGTGAAATTAGTGAAAAGTTTTATATTTAAAGCAAATATATTAAAAAATAAGGGTATTTTTCTGATTTTTTTTCTTGAATAATTTGGATGAAAATATAATTTTTTGAAAAATTTTATGTATTGTTTTACAACTATCTTTTATTAGAAGACCTCTTAACTAAGATATACTACGATAATACATACTAGACTAAATATCGCAGTTATTAATTTTTATTTTATATTTCCATTTCATAAATCCTCATTTCTCTTTATAAAATTTAATAGCAATTATTTAATAATTATTATTTACTTTAAATATTTTCCATCAGTACCATGGTCCAATATTTATAATTTTACAGAGAAAGAGTGAATTATTTAATTTGATATAAATGAATAAGTCCTATAAATTATTTACTAAAATTATATTTATTTATTTATTTTAATATAAGAAATTTACTGTTTGTTTTAAAAATGTATTTATTTTGTTTATTAAAATAAATATATATAAATAAAATTTTAAATATTGGAAATATTATTTTATATATATTTATATTTATTTGAAAACCTAATTAAACTATTAATAATCACTTTGAGTGAATACAGTAATCCTATTATTGATATGTTATATTTTTAAAAATAAATTTACTAATTAAAATAACAATTTTATTCTAGATTTAATAGATTTAATGGAATTTTTGACAAATAACTAGATAAGATGAATTTAAAATAATAAATCTTATTCTTTCTCAAAATTATAATTTTAATATTTGAAATAACTAAAATATTTGTAAAAGAATATATCAAGAAATTGACGATTAAATAATTTTAATTTTATTTAAATACCATTGAATTAAATTTCTAATATGAATTTTAATAACAATTTTAGTATACAATTAACTATTCAAAGATAATAAATGAATAAACAAAAATGAAGGAATAAAAAGTCTAATTCAAAATTCAACTACTATCTATTTATCTATCTATTAATGTACAACCAAAAATTTTAAAAATAATTTTGGAATAATATTTGTAGGAATGCTAATTTTTTTAAAATATCATGGTTTTTTTCTGTTTAGTTACTTAAAGTAGCTTGCCTTAAAATATATAATTTCTTCCCTGAAAAATGGTCTAGCTTATTTTTATTTTTAATTGACTGATCAAGTAATTTAATTTAATTTTTTTACCTAATCAAAACAATAACTATAACTAATTTCAGTGAAAATTTTATATTTACATGTTAGACTCTTTCTTTTTATTAAATATTATCACGAGCATTTTAGTTAAGAATAGTTATATAACGGGTATATAAATTATCTCGAAATTGTTAATTTAAAGTTTTAAATAAAGTTTTTACCACAATTTTTGTTTTATTTTTTATTTTTGGTTAAAATTTTCAGAAAAAGTGCAGAATACTTTCTATTCCATCCTGAATTCATTAAATGTATTAATAATTAATAATACAGAGGATCTTTTTCTAGCTAAATCAATCAGTAATATAAGCTTTTATTATATCATAATTAATTTTCCTAATATAAAACTTTTTCTATATAAATTTTAATATTTTTAAGTAATTTTAGCATTTACTCAAGCTTTCATCTTACAACTTAACTTCTGAAAATAAAAAGTGCATTATAATTTTACTGTTTTTGAATATAAAAAACAAAGAGATTTGTTAAAAGGCTGGAATTAAAAATTCTTATAATAATGACGAAGTATGATATGATTAGTATCCAAAAAAAACAAGAGAATCGAGAGAATTAAATTCAAGTCTTTACAAATAAAATAAAGCAAATAATTTAAAAATACTAACCAATATTCAAAAAAATCTGGGTAAATAAATAATAAAAATATCAAAATATAATATAAAATGCAAAATAATGAAAATCATGTAAAAGTTCTATGCAATCAAATATTTTTCTTTATTAAAAAAATTGTAATTTACCTTGTGCAAATAAGCAAATTTTACTTATTTTTTAATTTTACAAATATATTTGAGTTGGTTTAATTTATTATCATAAAATGAAATAATCTAACTAACATAGCTTTAAAAAATGTAAAAAATTAGCCAACTAAGGGAAATAAAACAATATAAAATATAAACATAATCACTCTGATATTTTATTTACTTATAATCTAGATTATTTTATTTAGGATTTTGTTATAGAATAAAATAATTATTTACCATGGAATTGATATGTAATGGATGATTAAATTATAAAAATGATCTTTTAAAAATATATATACATATATTATTTAATATACAGTAATAGATAGAATACAAATTTGTTTTTGTTAATTTTGGATAATTTAAATTTATATTATAGAGAAAATTGAAAATAACTTAATTGTTTATTATTTGTTTAGTTAATTATTTTTTATAAAATAAGGAAAGAAATGGTTTGATTAGTTGTTTAAGTGTGTGTTCAAAAATATTCTTTTACTTTACTAAAGCTTACTCTTTTTTTTATTATTTTTGTTTAATTTACATCAAATTGTTTTGGTTAGCTATTTTTAAGAATTCCTTTTACTGAAGTACTCTTTTTTAACTTTTTTTTATCAGAATACAAAAAATTGTAAAGATTTTAATAGCTTTAATCATCTTCGTATGGGGATTCTTAACTATTTTCACTGCTTTCAGGAGTTTTTGGTGGAGAACTATTGTTTAAATTTTACATTTGATCTTCAAAAGATTTGTCTAAAGATTTCTTTATTTGCTCAGAGGATTTACTTGGATTTTCTTCTTCGAGATATGGATTTAAGAAGGGAGAATCTTGATAATTTTTATCAGATTCATTAGGTATGTATTAAATGGAACATTAGGTTTATTTGGAACTATTTGATCTGTTACTAAATATACTGCTTTATGAAATTTATTTTGCTGAAGAAATTGATGTCAAAGAGCTGCTTTGATTTAAAGACTTCTGATTATTACTGGCAGTGATTGCAAAGCCTTAAAAACTGCTTTTTCTTAATCTAACTGAGTCACTATTTACTGATAATAATTAAGGAGATTAATATTCTGATTAATTGCTCTAATCCATAAGATAAAATTTATCTTAGTTTTATGGGCTATTGATAGTTATGCGAACAACTTTTTTCTTAAGTGGTCTTGACTTATTCAAGGATTAAACATTGTTTTCAAGATTATTTTATTACTAAACTGAAAAAATGTTATTTTAATTACTGATTTACTAGAATTAAGGACTATTGTTAGAAATCATAGATTCAGAATCTACAGATTTTATTATAATTCTTTTTCTTCTGTGGCTGTTGTTTTTCATTCTTTAATCACTCTCTGTGTTTAAATTAAATTAAGGTAGGTCTTCAGTAGTGTGCAATTTTTCTTTTACATCTTTTTTATATGAGTTTAAAATTTTGTTTGCATTATTATCGATTTAATTGAAGATCCATCTATTTTTACTATTGTAAAAAGAATCGTTCATGCCATTAGAAAAGATGTTTACATTATAGTTATTATTGTTTTTATAAAAAGAATTGTTAGCATTAAAAATAGAAGGAGACATCAATAGTTAGTTTTTTAAAGCAATCAAGTTTGGACTGACCGAAGGAGAGTTTAGGCTTATGCAACTCTTGTTGCCACCTATAGTTAACTTTGGGAACATCTTCTCAATAATTAATTAGTTATTAAATGTTGTTTGTTTGTTTTGAATTTTGTTTTTTTGTATATCTTTTATTTATTATTTTTATCTAAAATTCTGCTTGATTTATTAATATTGCCTATCGAAATTATCGCTAAAAAGTTTGTTTAATTTTTTTTGGTTGTTTAAAATTAAAGACAATTAAAAGAAAATAATTACAAATTTATAAAATTGTGTGCAGTATTAACAATTACAAAGTTTCTGTAGTATTACGACGAGTAAATTAATTTTTATTTAATTAAATTTTTGCGATAATTAATTAGATTAACAAAAATGTACCATATGTATGCTAACCATATAATTAAATATAAAAGCATTTAGAACGTTCAGATAACTAAAAAGCTAATATATAAATTATTCCTACTTAATCTAAATCTAGTAAAAATTTTTAGCTTCATTAATTCATAATAACCCAAGCGTTACAGTTAGATTTATTAGACAATATGTTAAATCTATTTCTTAAAAAGAAATATAAATAAATGGCATATTTTACTGGCTTTAAAAAAAGACTGATTGATAATTATTTGTCTATGTTCTTTTATTAAAACATAAATACTAATATTTTCAAGAATAGATGCTTAAGCTTTTTAAGTGTACTTTACTTTTTAATTTGAATTAAATTATCCAAAACTGTTGTTAAAGACAACTGCAATCCCCATCAATCAATAAACTACTTTGAGGCATTTAAACTGATAACTTTTCGTAATTAATATAGTTTCCAAATAATCTAATTACCACCACAAATAGATAAATCATTATCAAAATTTACTCAATTTAGTGTATTAACATATCAAAGATAAATCTCATCTATTAGACAAATTTTTCTAGTTTTTTGACAAGGCATTCTAAGTAAAATCACATTAATTTCAAATCTAACCACCCAGAATCGTTTTCAAAATAATAAATAATTAATTGAATCTTACATCACTGGAATCACCAAAAGCAGATTAGTTTCTACGTAGTTCATAGATTGAATTAAATAAGAATTTCTGTAATGATAATGGAAAATTTTTTACATACTTGAATGATGTTCAATTTATTACATTTCATTAATTTTTTATTTATTTTATCATGAAGTATATTATCTATAATTCATTTAATTCCTATGGTTTAAATTTTAAATAAGCAAATTTTTTACTCTTATTTAAAAACAATTAATTCATGGTTACATATTTTTTTTAAGGAAAGTGTCAGCATAAAAATTTTTTTAAATATACTAAAATTGGTTTTAAGATACAAATATCTAAGCGAAATCTTTAAAAGTTACTTTGCAAATTATCTACTAAATACTTTATATGTTTAAAATCTTTAATATTTTTTCTGAAGATTATCTTTGAGTTTTGTAAAACTAGAAATTGTTATATGCATTAACTAATAATTCCAAATCAACTTCAGTTTATTTTTATCTTTGCAAAAATTATTACAAATTATCTTTGTAAAAGGTTATCAAATCAGTGATACTAGTAAAATATTTTACAAAAAAGAAAATCTAATATCAGAGCTTATACAAGTATGAACTAAATTGACAAGCAAATTTTATATGAACATAAAATCTAAAATGGAATTATTAGAAAGTGTAAATATCACTGTTGACTTACAGTTAGCTATATAAGTTTATGATCTAAAGAAAATTTACCACAATAAAAAATACTAGTTTTTACAGTAAAAAGTAATTATATACTTATGATTATAAACATAATGTGTTATAATCAAAAAAGAATGATGATTACTACTTTCAATGTAGAATTTTATTATTTATGTTTATTAATTTCACATTTTCTAGTGGGTAAATCATAGTTAATTA